AATGGGAGTGAAAGAGGAATATCGGTATTTTAATTTGTTTTGCTCTGTCGAAATGTGTTTTGTGTACCATCCATGCATTTTAAGCACTTTGAGACAGCATCCTGATGTGAAAGATACTATGTAAAGGTAAATCGTTGTTGTGTAATATTCCTTTGATGCTTTTGAAGAAAGGCAACTTTGGGCAGAATTCCACATACGCGATTCCACTGAAGTCACACATTGGCTTCTCTGCCCAACCCCTCGATTCCCAAACTGTTCCGAACTCAACAGTTTTTAAGCTTGAGAGATGACAACGAGGGGCTTTAGAGCACGATCCACTTTTAAGAAAGCCTCCTCTTGCAGCTTGGGACACCGTCAGAGAGAAGAAAATATGCTGCGACGTTCACCGTTCATGAGATGATCGTGGGAGGGGAGGGGAGGGCATGGAGCCTTGGCACATAAAAGCAGCAAACAGAGCTGACCTTCTTTACCCTGGGACTGGATGAAGGAAACATCTCGCCCTGTAGTGCAAGCCTGCAACCCTGCAACCTAGCTTCCTTTCAGGCTAAGACACTACAGAAGAGGCCGAAGCAATGGCGTCTTAGAGACGAAGGGATGAGCAACAGCACAAATGACAACAAGGCGTAGAAGGTACAGGTAAGCGAGTAAGTGGCTGAGTTGAGAACCCAAACTCCTGCACTTCTCCAGGCTTGTTTGTGTTGTCTGACGTGGCTGAGGGATGTTGGAGAGCCATTGAAGTTTTTCCTCTGAATGTATACATATATACATATATACACAACTGACTCATGAACCAAGACTGTTGCCATGTGTGCATCTGTCTGTCTGGCTCAGTCAGTCTTACTGCCATGTTACAATATAAGCATCTCCCTTATGAATATGTCAAATTCAAATGTAGAAAATAATAAAATATAATAATATCAAATTGTATTTGACACAGCGCCTTATCACGTCATCTCAAAGCACTTCACAGAGGATACTATAAATTAAATTGACTGTATATTTTGTGGGCAAATTGAAATAATATTGAGTCACTGTCTGCTGGTAAACTTGCTGTTAACTAGTTTTGCAAGTAATTCAGAATTTAATTTTTTTTACAGCAGTACAATGAATTATGAGATTCAATTACACCAAGTGGAATATTTTATCATTCAATCCTCACCAAGATCAGAGAATCGGTCGGGATTTGTTAACACTAAGTCAAAGAAATAGGTTTGTCAGCAGAAAATAACTTTTTATGGCCTCATTGTTTTGAGAAATCATTGAAATCATGGGAACCAGTCACTAACCAAAACGTCAACTTGCGATTGGGGCAGATACTGTTAGCTCTTCTGCTTTTATGTGTCCAGATGTTTTGCCAGATGTCAGGAAATTCCATCACAAGTCATTATTTCCAGACACACAAGTAAACAAAACCTCAGCTATACAGAAATGGACTGGAATAGCAATTTATCTGATTTGGTCAACTAAGGCAATACCAGCTGACAACAAAACATATAAAACATTACCAACTTAATAGACCAACGTGAAGCATCAGCCACATTGTGTGTGGATCCAGACATACCAAACAAACTTTAGAATTGTCATAGAACTTTCAAATGACTGAGGTGATGATAGAAATTCAAGTAAACTTACATTTCTCAATAAAGTCTATTTACAATGAATTTTGGGGGGAAAGAATGTTATCCAAAATCAAGATAGAACTCGATATTTTTATTAAATGACAATACAACTGGTGCTTCGAAGTTAATGAGATGCAGATGTTGAGCAGACAGAATTCAGAGCAGTTGCATTTAACCATGAAACAGCTGTTTCCCATTTTCACTTCCATATCTTGAAACTTGATGTTTCACCAAAATGTGTATCATCAAGTCAAGGAACAATGCTAGACTGACCTAGTGACTTGTCTTTCTGTCTAAGATAGGAGAGGTCTCATCCTTTTGCGACTAATCTTAGTGTGTTTTGCTTACCAGCCAGTTTCCTGCCTATATAAGTAAGGCTACTGTCTTGCACTTCTGCTTTTGTCTATCTGTAATATTATAAAAGTAGTAATTTAATCTTGATGACTTTTCAATGTCCTACCTTCTCCTGATTCAGGATGACTAGGGCTTCAGAAGAAGCTGGATAAGAATATAAGAATTTGCTAGGCGAAAGAAGACCAAGGTCCATCCAGTTTGCTTTCCTGGCAGTCGCATGTCCCAAACTATATATTGTATCCCAAAATATTATTTCCGAACAGAAATCTATCTCACTCGTTCTTGAAAGAATCGACAGATCGACACTTTCTACTTCCACTGATTCCCTAGGGAGTTTGTTCCACACGTTTTACTACTCACTCACTCACTCACTGAAATAGTGTTTCCGTAAACTTCTTTTGAATTTCCCCCCACCTTTCAATCACAAGCCATGACCTCTGGTTCTATTATTCAGTACTGGATCCTGAATACAGCATTAACCCTCTCTGTATTAACTTATGTTTATAGTTATGGCAAGATACAGCCTGCTGAGTAGCTAATTATCACCACTGGAATGGAACATGTCATGAAAATCCTTTTAGAATTCGGAAAGGAAGAGTCTATGTGTCAGGTAATGATGCTGAAGAGCTTAAAATAGAAATAAGAAAAGAGGTAATGAATCAATCCAACTCACCCTGCCATTGATATGGAATCCACTCAGACTCTTTTCCATCAATTTCCTGGATTGCCACATGCCGCGGTTAAATTCGCATTTATTTCCTGTAGGGTTCTATGAAGCTTGCATTCATTATAACAAGTAACAGCAATGAACTTGAAGCAGTTACTCTTACGTTTTGCCCACCAAAAACCCCAGTCAATTCACTTTACAGTATATTCTGTGAAGCGCTTTGGGACATCTTGAAGACGTGATAAGGCTGGGTATCAAATGCAAGGATAATTATTCTTATTGTTTGTGTCCAGATTGCAGGATCCTTACCTTACTATCATGAGCCCTTGTTCTTAATTCAGTTCATTTCAGGAAGAGGGTCGTTCTTGCCACAGTCGTTAAGTGCCATGTTTTATTGGCACCCAGTACAGGGGATTGCCAGGGTTTTCCTGTTGCTTTCCTTGCGTGGGAAATCTCTAAACTAGAAATATTTACAACAGGAATTGTAAGAAACTGCTCCCTGGAGTCACATCTCTCATTTTTTTCTGCCTTAAGGCCAAGCATTTTGTTTTTTTAAAAAAAAATTAATTAAAGGTTTCGCCTCTCTGATTCTTATATTTCTTTATTTGGCATTAACTTAATCATTGGTAAAGTAGTCTTATATAATGTAAATACGTGCATTCCCTAAGGGATGAAGCAGGAAGTGGAGCAGGAAATACTTGAGTGGAATTTGGTTTGAAAATGTTGAATCAATTGTGCAAATTTTTTGATGTGCTCTTATGACTAATGTCATTTTATATGTGCGATTCAATTTTATGTTAATAATGCATTGCTTATAAAGTTGCACTACGGTTATAAATCACAGAGCAACAAACTAGATGAAATTAACAAGCATAACAGAATAGTGAAAGGAGCAAAATAATGCCTGGAATCATTAAGGAGATGTGTTGACTTGGCCCAAACATCACTTGCAGCTTAACCTTGGCTCAACAATAGTAAATGCGATTGGAACTGATAGGCACCACACTTCCGCATTTTCATTTTGTTTCACTTCTGGAATTGAATTGCTTGGACGGCTTTTGTAAGTGAAATCAATGTGACAATCAATATTCCCTTGGTGTGTGTTTCTATTTTGGAAATCACTGATCTGCAGCATTGTCCTGCAATGAAAATCCCCGCACACAAATCAATCAGTCTCCTGAAATGCCACTTTATCCAAACAATGTTGAGTCTGTTAGATGATATTTCATAACCATTAGTGCAACATCCAGCAGAAGCTTCCCAGTTATCTTTAGCTGCTCACCAGTTAGCTTTTTGTTTCAGCCTGGCTCAGTCTCGCCTCTCAGTCAGAAGGTTGTGGGTTCAAACCCCACGTCAAGACTTGAACTTGCACAGTCTAAGCTGACACTCCAATGCAGTGCTGGGGAGTATTGCATTGTTGGAGGTGCTGTCCTTAGGAAGAGACGTTAAACGGAGGTCCCGTCTGCTTGTTCAGGTGGATGTTAAAGATCCCATGGGACTATTCAAAATGAGAAGGGAGTTTCTCCTGGTGTCTTGGCCAACAGTCCCCCAAATAAATTGGTCATTCAAGTCACAGCTGTTTATGTGACATTGCTGTGCACAAATTGGCCACCGCCTTCGCCAACAAATACGCAGCCACTCAACTGTACAGTAAATCCCGTGAAGCGCTTTGAGATGTTCTTCAAATGTGAAAGGCGCTATACCAAATGCAAGGATAATTAGTATTATTATTGCTTTTCAGTCCAAAGCAAAGAAAATTCACGAAGTACTATCCAGGGAGAGGAGCAAGCATTTCCAGAAGTTGAAAGACATGAGCATTTAAAGACGTCCTTCAGTGCAATTTATGTTTGTAACGCATATCTCCATTTTTATCCTTTGCACCATAGATTTTTTTCATATTTCAATCCAAATATGGTAAGCGAAAACCAAAGATATATTATGATATTCCTTCACGGTAGAAAATAATATAATATGAACTTTGTACCCTTTTTAAGTGAAGATCTGCAGGTCTCTCTTGTTCTTGGACCCAATACATAGCACTCCAGTGCCTCTCCCTGAAAAAGGTAATAATGATAATCTTCCCTGTCGTGTTCACGTCAATAGCTCGTGCTTTCATTCTGATCTTGGTAGTTTGAGGATAATACAAAGAGAATTATTTCCCGGCACACTGGCTGATCAAGCAACTGTTGCATTTCAAAATGTATTTGTTGCGTTAAATTGACCAAGTCAGCAAGTGCATGTCACTTTATTAACAAGGAGCTGACACTTTCAGCGTAGAGCTGTTAAAATACCATTAAGTGTACAGTCCGATCCCTCAAGTGAAGTCATGCTGTAGAAATATCATCTTCTGTACTTTTATTTCTGTCACTCTACCTTACACAAGGGTAGAAGCTTCTTCTCTCTGGATGAATCCCTATGCTTCTTCTTCGCAACTCCTTGGCGATATGTAAGTTATATTTTTTCGTGTGAATCTGGAAAGCTACTAAAAAAGATTGGACCTTATTTGCTATGTAAAAAAATGGAAGATAAAACCCTGAGTTTTGACAAGACAAATATATAGCAGCTCTCAACTTTCAGAAAAAACTGCCATTTTGAAACTGTACAATCAAATCAAGAATCCCCTCGAGATTTGGTAAACTTTGTATTGGTTCAGTTTTACTCAGCGGATTATTTGACAAAGTATCAAATCGTTATTGTGTTTGACATATGTATCTGATTTTTGGTTTAGTTCTGTTAAAATGCTTTGATTACTGCTAAGGATCGGTTACTGCTATTAGTGTTTTAATGCACATATTTATAAGGCAACTGTATGGAGATAATAACTGTTTGTGGGACATTGCTGTGCGCAATTGGCTGCCGCGTTTTGCCCACTAAATTTACAGTCAATTCACTTTACAGTATATCTCAATGACGTGATAAGGCGCTATATAAAATGCAAGGATTTTCATTATTAATATCTTGTCAACTGACTGTAGACTTTTCTCTGTTGTAGTTGGTGAGAAGCTTTGATGTTATTGTTGTTGTTGACCTGTTTTTGTTGATTAGAGACTAGGGCTGTGCTTATTTCTTTTCTGTAGTGCACAATGTTTTCATTGTTACGGGAGTAACTTATAGATGAAATCCTCTAAGAACAAGGGGACATGATTACTAAAATCAGAGATAAACTGGTTGGAATTGAGTGAGAGAACATTTCTTTACACAAAGAGCTGTTAAAATGTGGAATGCATTGAGATCCCAGCAGGTTAATAAATGCAGAAATGGTTTGCCATGTTTAAAGGGGAAATACAGATATACTTAGAAAGTATTAGAAGTATGGAAAAGATTCAGAAATAGTATTAAAATGTTGCTGTGATTAAATTCTGTTTGAATTCAAAAAAATTCTGCTTGAATGTATTTGATTTGACATAAGTGATTATCCTTTAACTGCTTCTTAAAGTGATGCGAAAAGCAGCTCCTGAAAGCTTCATTGATTCCATCCACTGGGTAAATTGTCACTGCGTAAGAAAAAATCCAAACTGCAGAACATTCAGCCATCTCCTCCTCCCTCCTCAGTCATTTCCTCTCCACCATCCACAAAAGAAGACAGAAACCATCATGTCTCATAGACTAAGATATAACACTAAGATATTTATCCCGATTCTCACATTTTAGGATTGAACCATTGGCATCACTGTCTGATCACTGCTCAATCCTTCACAATCGCAAAGATTTTACACTGAAGCAACATGCATATAACATTTGCTGTGTGGGTGTGTGATTTTGTGCACCATGACTCAATATAAGAACATTTCTTTCAACGAAAAAGCAAAACAGAGGCACAGGTCAATCAATGACTTGCCTTCAGCAGTCACAGCAAAACCCGTCCACATATTTTTGCTGAGATTGAAATCCAAAGCATCAGCGGTGAAGTTAAGGTGTTAAATATTTGTCAGACAGGCCATTATCTCATCTCTCCAGAGGAAACTGCAAGCTGTCATTTTAACCTAATCCTCAAACCACAGGCAATGGCTCTTTAACTGTCTCCTTTTATCATGCTACGAAGCAGGAGTCAAAAGGAAAATCTCAACATCGGAATAATCAACCTGTCACTATAATCCCCTGAACTACCTGTTAATCGTTAAATGTTTATTGTGCTGTAACAAAATAAATGGAACAATCAGAAGACAAGAAGCCTATACCAAGGCAATGCATTCCTGGAAAAGATACTTTTTGTCAAGATCATATACCTTCCAAATATATATTAACCCCAATGAAAATAAATTAATTATAGTTTGAAGTACGTGCTGTCTAGATTGGCACTCCAGTACTAATAAGACGTTAAGACACAGCTAGAACACTCTACGGTAAATCCTGTGAAGTACCGAGTCAAATCATTGTCATATTAATAATAAATAATAATAATAATAATCCTTGCATTTGATATAGCGCTTTTCACGTCGGGAGGACATCCCAAAGTGCTTCACAGAACACACTGTAAATGCATGTGTTATTATTATTGTTATTATTATGATAAACTGAAGGGAGTCACTGGTCTTCTCCTCAGGACTGGTTGTTGGACTGGTTAAAAAAAGCAGGCAATAATGACTGTGAAGCTTTTTGAGATGTTTTGACGTTAGAAAAATTTAGGTTCTTCTGTTTGCATTAGATGGTATTATTAAGTTTTAATAACAAATATTGTGTTGTACACTTCTGCTACAGTTTAAGGCCCAATCATCATGATGGACAATCCTGAACAAGATGAAGGAACCCTCCCAGAACAGGTAAGTAGTGTAAAATATTTGGAACAAGCCCACCCTTTTCAGATTCTCTGTGGACCAGTTATTAGCCTGATTCTTTTCTCATCTTTCAACCCAGACAAAGATTTCTGAATCCTGCAAATTATTCAAGTACTAGGTCGGTGACTCATTCAGTAAATTAAATAGTGGTTAGACACTGACACACAGCAACCATGTTGGAACACAGTTTATTGGAGTCAAAAAGATAGACTCTGTGTTATAACTGGTCTGTGGATCAAAATAGCAGCTCATCCCATTTCTGGGTAATTTCTTGTGTAAAATACATCTGAATTATACATTATGTTTCTGATAAGTCCATCGTAGACCTGCCCTACGAGGAAATCTGAGTTGAACCAGTGTAGTCTGTATTTTTCAGTGTCTATCCTGCACCACAAAATCAAGAATAGTACTTTGCCTAAATGTACATTCTTCATGTCTGACTTTTAGACAGTGTCTGTTTCAAAACTGTTCTACATTGTAAAGTTTTATGCCATATACATTCGTCACTTCAGCAGAAGTCCACACGAGTAATGCCATTGGATAGCAATAAAAAGAGGGGTCCCTGACTAACATTCCCCTCCTTAGCACAGAACATTGAGACTATTTGCTAGGCCTCAACTGCTTGGCTGAGATCGATTAATTCACCATAGACCAGGGAATAAACCTCTCATTGATTTTTAAAACAATTCAGGACTTCAGAGTTTTCTCCCAGATCATTACTGTTGTTTTCTTTCAAACCCTGAATTGATTCAATTGTGTTTTTATCATATTGGTGTGATTACTGCTCTGTTTATCCCCATGTTTTGTTTTTACTTTGTTTACGTGCCTTCGGTCACCCTCCTACCCCTATCCTCACTGCTCTCCACCCCTCTGATCCCAACCCCCCCCAAACCCCTGACTGTCCAGCGCCTTGGGTCATCCTCCCGACGTGAAAGGCGCTGCATAAATGTAATTTATTGTTGTTGTTGCTTGAAGCGAGCAGTGGAAGTTGAGCGCAAACAGGATGACGATACAGTTCTGAAGAAACTGGATGAAGAGAAGATTCAATTAATAACCGACATGAGGGAAAAGAAAGAAACAGACAGTCACGAACAGCTGGAATGGGTAATGATGATCTTTTATTTAGGACAACTCCCGATGAGAGATAGGAACTGACCATTCTATTTTAGTGTTTGACAAAACTATAATTTTCTTTAGATGAAACGCAGACAACAAAGAGAACAGAAGGAGAAGGATAAAGTACGGGAACTTGAAGAAATGTCCAAGGTACAAGACTAACATTTGGAATTATTTTTGGAAGGTAGCACTCTGTGTTCACAAGCTTAAGGCATTTCACACTCTCAGTTCAGTGATACTATCCAGAACTTTTCTCACCAGTGTCTGAATCTTATTAATACACAATTGCTTATTAATACAGAACTATTATGAGGATGAGGTAAACTGTTTGACCTTTTTTTTTAAACGTGAATGATTTTAAATTGATGATTAAAAGTCGATATTACTGTTAGCAATGCTATTAAAACTCCCCTGTGTTGCAACCAGAAATAAGGTTGAACCAGCGCGTTAGAGGAAAATATTAGGCACAATTTGCAGTATTCATTAATAAATTCTTTATTTAAAGAACACTTTTGGGAACAGAGGTAAGTGGTGTTTTCCACTTGAGGCCCTAGTCCTGCCATTTTGTTTTTTATCCTGAGGTAACTACTTTATTTTTATAAATGTTTTACCTTAAATCAGGCTTTTAGGTTTGTTTTTCCAGTAATTGCTTACCTCTGAGTGCTGAAATCCAAGCTCTTTCAGGGCCGAAATTAACTTTTGCCAATCAACAGAGGCTTCCCATGTTATTTGATACAACTCACAAGATTTAATAGTAATAGTGATAATCCTTACATTTGATATTCCGTCTTTCACATTGGAAGGACGTCTCAAAGTGATTTAATAATAATATTACCCATGGCATTTGAAATAATGTCTTATCACATCATTGAGACGTCTCAAAATGCTTCACAGAATATATTGTAAAGTGAAGTGACTGTATATTTTGCGGATGAAAAGCGGCAGCCAATTGCGCACAGGAGTGTCCCATAAACAGTCATGGATTGAGTGACCAAATTATTTTTTATATTATAAGATATACTGTCAAGTTAGTTGACTGTGTAATGTTGTGGACAAACACAGCAGCCAATTTGCACACACTATTGTCCCAAATTTGCATCTTGAAATGCATTTTTTCTATCCTTCTCAACTTTCAGCACTTGGTTGTTTCATTGCAATTAGTCCTTAACAGCCCAAGCTTCCGTTTTGCACGTTTCTGACATAATCTATAAATTTATGCAGACCAAACAGGTAGAATGGAGAAGTGAAAGAGCGAAGAAAACAGCAGGACAAGAGAAAATTCTGCAAGAAAGAAAGGAAAGACTGAAGCAATTTCGTGTAAGTTATCTGTTTCAAATGTATTCCAGTTTCCTTCTGCTTGTTTCAGTTATTCTCCTTTGAGTAGCATCTAATGAATGATATCCCAGTACCCAGTTTCTTTCTTAATTACATTCATTTCAGACAACTGACATAAAACTGACAAAGTTTGACTTTGATGTGACCATTAATCACAGCCCCTGTGCGTTGGATATTGATGTTGGCTTTGTTCTGTTAGGAGTAGGAATAGACAAGTTTGCTAATGCTGATTACTACCCGGTGACCTTGTTCCCCCCTCCAACGAAAGTGCAAACATGTGAATTTTTGGTGAGGACAGATCAGACTCGGCTGTGATGCCTCCGGTCGTTCAATGTCCTACCACACGTAAAGAATGGCCTTTAGGGCAAAGTACTGAAGGGTGATTGGTATCTTTGGAGTCATAATGCAGAGCAGATTAATTCTCTTAAGAGAGAAAGGGAATAAAATTGTTAGGCTTTTAAAAAGGAAACAAAATTAAGTTAGTTGCTAATTGGGGTACACAATGAATTGGAGCTTATATTCCAGGCAGAGGGCGAAACCTTGGGCAAGTTTCCTTACTCCACACAGAGCCTAATAATAATCCCTCCAAAACCAAAAACAATAATAAATTGGTCATTTTCAATCTACGACTGTTTGTGGGACATTGCTGTGCGCAATTGGCTGCCGCGTTCGCCCACAAATATACAGTCAATTCACTTTACACTGTTCTGTGAAGCGCTTTGGGACGCCCTCCAGACGTGAAAAGCGCTATATCAAATGCAAGGATTATTATTATAATTATTATTATTATTATATGATCTATTTAAGACAGCTTATATGAACTTCATTAAAATGAGATGGGAAGAAATTCCCGTGGCATTATAGAATTTGTCAAATGTTTTGCCCGCAAAATATACAGTCAATTCACTTTACTGTATATTCTGTGAAGCATTTTGAGACATTTTGAAGCCATGATAAGGCGCTATATCAAATGCAAGGATTATTTTTATTATAAATTCTTAAATACAGCCTTAATTTTGAAGCCAGTTTTCAGTAAGGTCTTTTAATTCAGAAATTTAAGACAGAATTCAACAATTCGCCAAAATTCTGGAAGCTCTAAAATTGCTACACAAGTAGAGTAAATCTTGACTCCGGGTGGAATTTCTTCCCGTAAGTTGTTTATTCTGACTGTAACCAGAGGAAAGAAATTCTATGCATCTTTGGCATTGACAAGCTATGAGTCAGTGGGACAAGAAAGAGATGGTAAGGTTTGTGAGACATCAATGGAGCAAGACTACAGGCAAAGGATTTGAGGCTTGGTGTTGGAGGGATAAGTACATTGAGGTTTAGCTGGTGACTTCTTTTAGGTTTGATCTTAACAAAGCTGTTAAGTGACTGGCCTCAGGCTTATCGGTGAGTGGAATTTTCCAATTCTGCCTGAGGGATAATTCCTGAAACACACTTCATTCTTCCAGTCAAATGCATTGTCCGCAAAGGTTTGAATTTTCTTTTCCCATTGCACCTGGATGCAGGTGAACAAGAGTGGAATACATAATGAGTAAAGATGATAAATACATAATAAAACACTAAGTCTTATTAATAAATGCTTCATTGAGCAATATTTTGAAATCAAATCATGTTGCCCAGTGCCTATTAGGGCATTTTCTCACCTATTGACATGGGCTGCAGAGATCTGAATGCAAATCGTTCAGACCTCTGCAGTTCATGTCCTCTCCCACACCATGCTCCGTGACCCTATCACCCCATCCTCGCCCGGCTCCACTGGCTCCCCATCACCCAGAGGATACAGATCAAAATGATGCTCCCTTGAAACCTATTTGTGATCTCCGCTGGTGCCTCAGTCTTAGTTTCTGATGCTGACTTTATGTTTCCTTCGAAGTCTCAGGAATCATCCAACTTTTGTTTAATTGAACCACAGTGTGATTCGATGTAGAGCTGCTACCCACAATCTCCAAATCAGCAAAAGACCTCTTGGCACATCTCCTCCTCCAGCTGTTCCTCCTTCCATTCTGACATCCATTGACATACAAAGCCGTAATTATTGTGTCAATCTTTTTTCACTACAGATCCTGACTATGATTTACTGAAAGCCAAAATTTTGTGTTGTATCAGCAAAGGAGGATAGAAAACTCCTGTGGGAGTGCACATTAAAGAGAGATAAGCAGGAGCTTTCTCCATTTTACTGCAGTGAGCCATCTTCGTTGACTATCAGTAAGATTAAATTATGTAAAAACATAACTACATAAACTAATGTAAGAGTGAGAATTAGGCAAGCAGGCGCCAATTTTGATTCAATCAACTAAGACCCGTCAAAAGGCAAAGGTCTGAGGACCCCAGAAATTCTAGGATCTTACATGACGCCAATCTAAAAAGTCTTGTGTATCACTTTGCAGTGTCCTTTGGATGTGAAAGGTGTTATATTAAATGCAAGGATTAGTTTGATTTTACCTGCTAAACATGATCATGAAGACAAAAGATACTTCACCAACACGGCTGGTGTAATATGTTGAAATATGAACTGTCCATATTCATTGGACATTATGTTATTAAAATCAGTACATATGGCTAGTGATATATTATCAGCAATTTGGTGTTCATCTTTGTCAAGACTTTCTCAGAGTATCAAATACTAAGTGGTGGTATGATTGAAGCAACGCTATCCTATGATTGATCCTACAATGTCTGTATCAGTTGGCGCGTGCCATTTTGTGCCAGAGTTTGCTTATTTGTGAAGAAAAAGCTCGGCTGCTCTTGCTTTGAAAAGCAACATATTTTGACTTCTGATTCTTTTACATTTCTTAATTGTCCTTTTCAAAAAATCGGAGATATTTGATGTGTAATTGTAGTGCAAGAGTAAGTGCTGCAGACCACACAGTAATTGGAATGCAAGTCTGAAAGCATCTTAAAAAAGCAAAGCACTTTGTTACCATCCTCAAGTTAGTTTCATTAACACAGTTGAAAAAAACAACTTTTCGCATTGGGATTCAGTAATAGTGACTGAAAGTCACTGATAGGGAATCCTGTTGATAACTGCACAACTTCTGCTAAATTACATGGTTTTAGCTGGTTGAATTGCATCAGTATCCAGGTTTTGCCTTGTGCCTTCAAGCCTTAATTTTTATTAACCCACACATGTGTTGTCTGAAAATAGACAAGTGAGGTGTTTCCGTTGCGAGATTAAACAGTCTGAAATTGGCAAATTCTCCTCCTGCGAGTTTTCTGTAACAGTTACAGGAGAAGGCCTTTAACCGTGGCGAGGAGTTCCTTTTTCGAACACCATTATGGCTGACTGAAATAAAACATTCCTTTGTATTTATTGGATTTGCTTTCCTTGCATTTACTGTGTGTGCTCTGTGTGTTCTTTCTCTTTGTTAGGAATTTCAAAGAAAAGTGCTGAAAGAAGAGACTGATATTCCCGGGACCGGTTTCTAAAGTTATGAGAAATAAAGATCAACAAAGTCGAACATTTATTCAAAGGCTGAATAAGAATATTTCAACAACTGCAACATTGTGAATGATTTTGTAGCATAATCCAAATTTAGATAAATGTTTGGACGTTTAGACATCTTACAATACATCATTAACTTCAATAATGACATCTCATCTTTTTGGCCTCTAACATATGCATCTTATTAGAATGAATGTTAAATTGAAATGGCGCGTGGTGAGATAAATCACTGGAAATGAAACGTAGATATTGCCTTGTGTCTTCATTCACTCAACGTAGATATTGCCTCGTGCACTCATTCGATAAATGAAATTAAATGATAAATGAAACAGTGGTTAGACACTGATACACAGCAACCATGTTGGAACACAATTTATTGGAGCCAAAAAGGTTCGATCTGAGTGCCACACACTCTTTGTTGAAATTAAGTTCTCCCTGAAGAAAAGTACAGAGCTTTGCTTGCTGAACATTCCCAGACTGTTGTGTCATGCAATGGGATTTAAATGACTCCAGGCCAATATAACAATAAATATACAATAAAAACAACTTGCAGTTATATAGCACCTTTCATGCGGATAGCATCTCGGGTGCTTAACACTGGTGCTTGATACCGATACCGAGCTAGGAAGAGAGAATAGGTGACCATATTACAGAAATCTCCACAAAATGATACGCTTCCTGCAACGCTCTGTTTCGTTTTGCGGTGAGAGAAGTTCGGTGAAATGGATGTTATTTCTGGTGCAAAGAGTAACCTCAGCCATTAGTTTGCAAGCACAATAGGAATGCTGAAACTCATTTCTAAAAGCTATTGAAGCCATTGATTTCAAATGTCATGTTAAGCTCCTTGCATTTCCTTTCTGAAACTCACATATCATAGAACTTTAACTTGGTGTAAAGTTTATTTCCCTTAATCTTTACATCGCTTCGTTACGGTTAGAGTATGTGTGGACTGAATCCTTGTAATAATATAATCTAATAATTGTATTAGAAACCACATCCTCACTTTTCAAAGTCTCCCTCTTCCTTCAATAAAAGTTGGGTCAAACCTTAGAAATGACAAGTGCGGCCTATTTTGTAAGAAAATAGACCCAATAGAGAAAAAANTCCATTACCCTAATTTCATGATAATGCATTCTGACATTTTACTGTATGTGAAAGATATTAAATACTGTGAATCAAAGATGCTGTTGCTCAGATGGGAAACAATAAATGAGTATGACACATAGTGTTGAAAAGACACAGAGAGAAAAAGACTCACCGATGAACACCGACAAGAGAGACAGACTGAGTTAGTCACACACGCACAAAGAACCAACCCACAGCGAAACTGGATAGGGATAGAGAGGGAATGCAGATAGGAAGTGAAGGAGACAAAACCGCAGATGCACACAAAGATAAATTAGAGACTCATATAGAAAGTATACATATGCTCACTGCCATACAGACCTTGTAAAACAAATAATACTTATTAGTCACTCAATCCACAACTTCTGGGAAGCTGCTGTGCGCAATTGGCTGCCGCGTGTAGCCCACGAAATATACAATCAATTCACTTTGCAGAATATTCTGTGAAGCGCTTTGAGACGTTTCTAAGATGTGATAAGGCGCTATATCAAATGCAAGGATTATTATTCCAGCGCCTTGGGACGCCCTCCCGACATGCAATTTGTTGTTTTCAGGAAACGTTCCTCCCTAGGAATGAGATATTTTATTAGTTATGTTATAAGGTCTCGATAAACTTAATAATTTGGAGGAGTTCACTGGAAAGACTTCCTGAGCCTGACAAGGTGAATGTCGTCGATTAAAATGCACACAATTGGATTGGGAGGAATGCAGAATCCCAGCAACAGCTTTTGGTTTGGTTTCTTCATAACGTTAGCCTCAATAACTCCTTCCAGGCAGTTCTCTATGTGCCGCATTTGGGTCCAGTGATAAAATAAGCATATTCGAAAAGGCAATGTTAAGAAAGAAAATAATAAATAGATAAATGTTAATCATAATTCTTTTTTACATGTTTGAATTTTAAATATTCGACAGAAGATAGCTCTGTAAGTTTACCTAACGGGACTGGACGCTCAATGGTGATTTCCTTGTGTTGTGTTTATTTTAGCAATACATTCTACAGCAGTGTCACATTCTGTTATTGGAATTTTCAGCTAAAAATAATCTTGAGATAATAAATGTCTGGCAAACTGCGCAAACAGTAATTCAATGAAGCAATGGCGCAATAGAGCAAACCACACATTGCACATGAACATAAGCAGATGTGAGACTGAATTAGTGCCTTGAATTCTGACTGGTATTCGAGAATTTTTGTGATTCAACATCAGATTCAATAATACTAAGGTCTACGCACAGCTAGAATAACTTATTTTGATTTGCAGTCAAACACATTGAGGTTAAGATGATTTTGCACTGGTTCTCTTGACATGAGCTTCTCATTGACTGGAAACCTTTAATCAATTCATGAAATTCTCAGTAATGCTCCCATCCATCAGCAGCTATCATCGTATCCAGCATTGCGACGCTGCTCACACAGAATACCATCAATGTGAGGCCATCATTGATATCTTCAATATTAAGTAAACACATGAACAAATATGTTTCCATTAATACATTTATAAATAGTGTTGCATTTACCGATGTCATAACATCTAAGTGTTCAGATTTATAGTTAAATGATTTTATTCCTTAAATTTCATAAAATCTTGAATAACCTTAATTTATTGCAATCTCGAAGAGACAAGGTGACTTAACGGAATGTTGTCTGCTCCACAAAGTGTTGAACAAAGTCCTCTGCTGTGCTCTCTCTACTACCCTCTCCTCCAGGTTTCCAGCCAAAAAAGTGCTACTGAAACAAACACTTAGCTTACACAACAACAACAATAACTTGCGTTTATATAGTGCCCTCCACGAAGGGTAGCGTCTCAGAGCGCTTAACAGTGACAGAGCCTGACTCCGAGCCAGTAAGGGGGTTGTGGGGTAGGTAACCGCAAGATGAAAGTTTTTCGACCATGTTTTTCTACACGGAACACGTATGTGATTTCCCATTTGAGTTTCTGAGAAAGAAAAATAATTTACCGTTTAAGGTGATAGTGTAGGTGGTCGGTGCTGAAGGTTTTTTTTAAAAATATCAAGATGTGATTGATGAAACCACTGCTGAGACAACACAGCAAAGAAAAGTTTCCAGTAGTATTCATGGTATCCCATTAAAAACAGCTGTGACGTTCATTAGGAGCCCTCGTGACCCTTTCAAAACCAATTCCCTGACACAGTGATTTCCTTCAATTACAAGCTGAAGGTAACCGATTGCCTGACTTTTTCAATGAAATCCAATGACGTTTGCTCCAGTCACAACAAATGTGGCTGCTAGTTGGCACAGAAATGTCCCACAAACAGTCGTGGATCATCTGACCTTATTAGTATTACTTTGGGGGGTGGGGAATCTATTACTACTGGAAAGCAAGAGGTCAACTGTTTACTGGTAGGTAAACAGAGGCGTGTGGAGTAAGAAAACTTGCCCAAGGGAATCAAACCCAGGTCTCTCGCTTGCGAGGCGAGTGCACTATCCACTATGCTATGGGACTCCAAATTCATGGGCAACTTCCTCCAGTTGTATTTGTTATTATTTTTAAGTTAGCGGACAAAGCCACAGATAAAGGCACCTTAATTCACTGCCAATTCATAAATTGGGTTTATTCAACTTACTGAAATAAAGCTTATATCGACATCGATGGGACCTTTGGCATTTTGTCGTCATAAGCAGATTTTCAAAATAAACTGGCTCACTGTTTAGAGGATTCAGCTCCTGCATGCTCTGTGAATCCCTGAAGGAGCTCAAAGTGAATGATAACGTTCTTCCCGCTCGGTGGCAGTGATGCTGTGGTTTGGGAAAGCCCTGTTTGGGATTTTGGGCAGTCTCCTGGGTTCGGATTAGTTGCCTCATGCTGGCCACAGTGCCACACTCACTAAATCACTCACTCGCTCACTCACACGTGATAAGGGCCTGTCAAAACATAAGTGTAACCATAAGTGGTGGAGCTTGATGTGTAATGTAGAGAGTAAGGAAACTTGCCTAACATTTCACCAATCACGGGAATCGAACCCGCGCCCTTACGCTTGCGAGGCGAGTGCTCTAACCACTAAGTTACAGGACACCACATCATTAATCAATAATACCTCCAGTGGAACGTTTTTGGATCCATGTTAAACTGCTGTGGATAGACTGTGGACAACTGTGTTATATTGTGTTGTAAAAAAAAGTTCACAAAATGCTAAAATTATTTCAAATAAAGGTCCATTTATTTTATCTATGACGGAGAAAGACTTTCCTTGTTGTCAACAGACAGTTATCTACATACACACTTGTGTTATCATTTTAGCTACAAGTAATTGTAAAGTACCTTATTCAACTGCATATTAAAATATTACAGTAAATTGAAAGCCCAAACAGACATCTTTTATTTTCTTAACAATGTGCAATTTATATGAAAACAATGCCACGAAGAAGTAGCCATCTTTTACATTGATCATCTTATACTGAGTTCTTCTAAATCTAAGACTGTGGGTCATATTAAGCTCTCATTAGGGCCCTTTCTGATCTCTGAGTCGTGTTTAATAATAATCCTTACATTTGATACAGCGCCTTATCACGTCGTTGAGACGTCTCAAAGTGCTTCACACTATTTGGCGGGGTTGGTCCTGCTTACTTCGGTACTTTCTTTCACAGAATCTTTCAACCAGGTTTATCTTGTCAATCCAGAAAATGATCTGCTCTTGAATTAAAAGTGCAGATGAATCGCAGTTGCATTTCGTGCAATTGTTTTGTGTCGCTCTTTTGAAGTTTCTCAAATCGATATTTCTTTTTCTGGACAAAACCATTAGCAATTACAATTGGTGTGTAAAGCAGCAATTTATTCCCTGTGTCAAGGGCACATGTGGTTTGTCCTCTGAGATTCTGGACCTCACACATCCGTGTGCTGCAAGCTAAACGACTTTAAGCTTTTGTGCTGGTTTCTGTTATAATGAGTGAAACTGGCTGCTCGTGTCGGCCAGGCTCCATTTGCCACCTTCGGTTTCTGCCTTTGGTTTGGCTTCAGAAAGCTTTTAATCAACTGGAGCTTCTCATCTTCTTTCTTCAGGAATACATCATCTAGCAAAGTCTTCTCCTTTTTGATCCGTACACTGATGTCTTTCGGGGTGCCGGGAATTAACCAGTCCACCACCTCGCTCAAGAACATTACCAAATTCTGAAAATCAAGCAACACAACAAGGTGATTGTACCATTGTGCATCAGGCACCAATTGCAAGATCACAAGGTTGGTCCACTGTCTTGGTCTCAACCACCCTTTCTGGCAACCTGTTCCACTTGTTAATTATTGGAGTAAAGAAAATCTTGACTGTATTTGCTCCTGAAATGACCCTTTACAACTCTAAACCAAGCTCCTCTTGTTCTATTGCCCCGGTAATAATAATAATAATAATCCTTGTATTTGATATAACGCCTTACCACATCGTCGAGACGTCTCAAAGGGGCTTCACAGAATATACTGTAAACTGAACCGACTGTATTTATTAACAGAATAGGTGCCGAATACATTCGCCTTAGATTTTCCTCTTCAAGGATCGGACTACTAGGGTAGCCTGATTCAGTTAGAAGCAAACATGTGCAGACCTCTTGGTAACATAAACACTCCATTTCCATCCAGATGGAGAGTGCTTGAAGCAAAGAGGCACACTCGGGATTAACCTATGCTGATTGCTAAAAATAACAACCCTTTCCTATAATAAAGACGTTGAAAGAGGGCAGCTACTTTTAACATTTATCGTATTAACCCCCTCTTCTCTGTTTCAAGCAATGTTATTCCCTCCTGAGGCAATTCCTGAAGTTCCCCTAGCAGCTCAGAAACCTTTGAATGTCTTTAAAGATTTGGCTTGTGTTAATACGTTTTCATGCTATATCTGTGGTTCACAAACATAGGTTTATTATTCTCAAACATGATAATAATAATCCTTGCATTTGATATAGCACCTTATCAAGTCGTCGAGACGTCTCAAAACGCTTCACAGAATATACTGCAAAGTGAATTGACTGTATAAATTTGTGGGCAAAACAAAACACAAAATGCAAAAATGTAGCTGAAATGCATCTGTACAATAAGAGCACCTAAATGTATCAGTCAAATGGATCAGATGCATTCTAATCTGGAGGTTTTAGCTGATTGATTGATTGATTGATTGATTGATTGACAAGAGACAAAGTAGAATAATTAGGCTCAGCATCTATCCCCTACATGGCCACAACAATGTGCATTACCAGCACAATTAGTCTCTTGACCATCTCCCGATAACAATGTGATGCCATATCATTCAATTACTGATGGAACTGTTTTTGTAAGAAAAAAAGCAACTCAAACTGTGAGGACTAAATGGTTTTCCACAGGGCATGATTGTCCCTTTGGTAACCCACAACTAGCCATTGTGTAAAACGTTGGGTGTTTGCGGGAACTTTCTTCACAGGGCAAACTTTAACTTCAGCTGAATACTGTTGAATTATTTATAATTTTAGTTCCAAATACAACAACAACAACTTGCACTCATCTAACGCCCTCCACACAGGGTAGCGTCTCAGAGAAATTAAACATTAATGCAAACTGTAACAAGGTCTCAATCTCCGCAACAAACCTGGAAGATGATAACAAATGCCAAGCGAGCAGCCAATATTGCCCAGTACTCCTTGGAGTAGTCATAGGCATCCTCTGACCATGGTGGCTCTCTGTAATCTTTGTACCTAATGATAGTGGAGAAGACACGAAGGACATTGAGTAGCACGATATGATTTACAAATCAAATCCAATCCTTTGTGAAATCATTTAAGGTTTGAGAAATTCTTCTTTGAAATTATAATCATGAATAATAATAATAATAATAATAATAATCCTTGGACTTGATATTATTATTCTAAAGTTTGAAGATACCTGATATAATTTATGTTTCTATCTGTATGTGTAACCAATGCACATATGGAAATGAAATATCACTATTGCTTCACAACACTATTATTTACAGTGCGGAATCACATGGCTTAATTTGCTAATGATCCAATAATTTCCCTGTTGATCGGCAAAAAATTACACTACATAAAAGGTATCTTGTAGATTAGGCTCACGGATCTATCTCCTTCTGCACTGCCACAATAATGGGTCTTAATCAGCCACAGCAGAACACATCCCACTGCATAAATAACATGATGATTTCCCACATCAGTACATCATCTGAGGAATCCTGTAATTAACATCAATTACTACAGAATTTTGGACAGTTTTGTTTGCTTTGAGTGAGGGAAAAGAGCCACAATTGCTATGAGTTATGAGCCAAGCTGTTTGCTTTTACAGAACGGTGACACGTACATCAATTAACCTCCAGCAACCCTTCTAGAAATATACACTTACCTGCAGACTTTGACGTTGATGAACTGTACTGATTGTGGATTTGTTCCCTGTTGAAATTCGCTGACATTGAAGTAGGACAAAGTATGATTGACAAAGCCATGCATGCTCCCATCATCACTATACATGTACTGGTAAACCAGGCGTGGGATGAAGTCTGACGTGACAGCGATTACAAATGCCTGATAACACATCAATAACATTTTGCATTACAATTTGAAATGAATATGTAATATGTACTTTAAACGCTGCATATTGAAAGTAAAAACTGGGAGGCATATGTGGATTTGATAGAGCTTGCCAAGGGAGAAGCTGAGATGCCTTAAGTACCTCCACTGTACATAAATATGTTTTAATTTATCTTTTTTTTAGCGTATTTAAGAAAGTGTATTTTTAGATGTTGTGACTTTCATCTGGACATTATAATTTAAGATCCTGAGTGAAACATCATTAGAAGGAGTTAGGAAAAGTTGGTGACTTACATTGATGATGACAGAGAATTTTCCCATACCACTAAGGATGTTATACCAAATTCCTAACAGAGGAGAAAAAGACACACTTAAATAAAGACACAAGCAATTCAATTGAACCAACTGCAATGGTAGGATTCCGACAAAACTACTGTGCATAGTATGAGACTCCGAATTTACCTATGTCTTTTGCACGTACTGCATCCGCTCTCCTTAACTCAGCAACAAATTTTTTTGCGTCCAGTCGTATCTCGATGATGTTGTTTAGAAGAGCAAATAAAGGAGCCAGTGGAAAGGACGCAACAAAGAGTGTCACAAAGCCAAACTGGATAACTGGGGGGGAAATGAGAATGATGTATAAAGATCTATTAGAGCCATGCAAAGGAATGGTTACACTCCACTTGATAACAAATATAAAGAGACTAAAGACTAATCTGGGAGTAATTCTATGGAGACTATGGTACTTGGAAATGATTAATCTTGTCAAACAAAACAGACACATCAAACTCATAAGATGTATGATATATGTCCATAACTACCATTCAACCAGAGATGAGATTACATCATGAAATCAGACTATCTATATGTTCTTTTAATGCTACGAATGAAATATGTTGTGAATGAAGCAGCAAGGTTTTGTCGATCTTTAGATCGGTTTCTTTCCTGATGACTATGGCTCCGAGTGCAGACACTAAACCAGTACACATGATAGCATCCACTTTGAAGGCATAATGAGGATGTGATTATTGCTGCAAATGTACTAAGTCCATAAACAATGTTGTTGAGACGTCTCAAAGGGCTTCACAGAACACATGGTAAAGTGAAGTGACTGTGTATTTTGTGGGAAAAACAGGAAGCCAATTGCACACAGAAGTATCCCACAAATAGTCGTGGATTGAGTGACCACATATTTTTTTGGAGGCATTATTACCCCCGGGAAAGCGATCCGTTTATATGATGTTTATATCAAAGTTTATATGATGTCATATAAACCGAACAAACTCTCCCAACCACGCTTATTGCTTTCCTCCTTAACAAGGATACAGCTTAGGCACATTTCTAATGTAATTTTATTTCCAGTTTCAGCAAACAAAGATCTGAAATACTGGAACAGTTGATTGCGCAGCTGAGATCAACGGCATTTGAAAACACACGTGCGTGTAAATGAAGTAATCTGCTTTGCACAACTTGTGTGAAATACTCTGAATAGGATAAATTCACGGCATCACATTGCAGCGAGACATGAACAGTACCAGACTGCAGTGTGAAATGTATATCTGAAGCAATCTTTTTACTGCGGCAACATAAATAAAAGTATGCCATCTGACACACTCTGTAAAAAAAACAATGTTAAACAAATGTTCTTTTCACAAAATATTTGGAGAGAATGGGCAGTGTGCCTTCTTTATCACACATGCTTTGCAAGCCTACACAAGTAACTTATTTAATACAAACAAGATGATACCCATTCCAGCTGATGTTCATTACACCTACTGCCAAGATTGCGGTACAAAGTGTGTACATTAGACCAGTTACTGTGAGTACATTTGACTTTAGACTGAAAAACGTTGCTTGTCAAACAGCCCAAAATTTTAGATCCTTTCAACCTTTCTCTGGAACCAATTTATAAAATTGAAGTGGTTTTATATAATCGCAGGCTTAAATTTTCTAAAACCCTCAGATCTTCAGCAAATATATCGTGCGGGAAAAACACGTTGATCGAGTAATTGCATTTAGAAAACATTTTTTGGGGAAGTTATCAACTTGTCTTAAAGGAAATGCTAGATGCATATTAAATATTTGGTGTAACTTACTCATCTCCATGTATTCAGGGGTCAGGCCAGTATAGGGTTCCAACTTGTAGTCCTGATCCCACTGCTGAGCTTGTCTTGTGGGAGTAGAATTGGTCAGTTCTTCAGGTTCAGCCCTCTTATCCTTTAGCTTTCTGTACAATTTTTTCATTCTCCTTCAGAGCAAAGCCATATGTTATTTATCATACATTTTAACCAAGGAATTAAGAAACAACAGTCTCAGCTGTTATCTCTTTGATAACCTGGACATACATCATACATCACACATCAGTCTACTTCAAGCTGTGATGTGGAAAAATAGGGAGTAATAAGCTTTCCTTTAAAATATTTAAACTACTTAAAGTAGCTGAAACCTTCAACTTCTGGTTTCAATTCAATACTTTAAGTTTTTGTTTTTAAAATAGCACAAATCCCTAAATTTGGCAAAATCCAAAATATCAGAGAGTTTGCTTTCTGGTCTTTTGTGTTAACTTATTTCTTCTCTATATTGAAATCCATTTGCACACAGCTGCAGAAGGTAATGAAAAAGGCTAATGCATTGTTGGCATTAATCACAAGGGGACTGAAAAACGAGACTTAAGAAGTAATAATAATCCTTGCAATTCATGTAGTGCCTTATCACGTCTTCGAGACGTCTCAAAGCGCTTCACAAGATATACTGTAAAGTGAACTGACTGCATATTTTGTGGGCGAAACACGGCAGCCAATTGCGCACAGCAGATGTTACAGATGTATAAGTATCGATAAATAAGACTGTTCATTTTGAAGTCCTGCAATATATTTTTCACAGGATTTCAAGGTTCTGAGCTCTATTGGAGCCTTTTACAGTCGGAAAGGATTTGAAAGACCAAACGCACTGGAGTACTTACGGAACTCCAATTTCAAAGAGGTTGTTTTGAATGAGTTGCTTTCCCAACATAATAATACTCAGCTGGATGCAGAGTTCCATCAGACATCCTCCAGGAGCGCACTGTGGTAAAAATATGATGAAGAACTAAAGATAAGTGCCTTTAAGATTGAATACAACGCTGAACAATTAAAGACAAAAAATGTAAGATTTGGTGGAATTAATCGCCACTGTGGAGTTGTAACTTTCCTACCTCCTCCATGCGGAAGTTATTAAAGACGTAAACATATTGTCCAGGCCGGCCAGCAAACCTACCAGAGAATGTGATATCTGTCAGCAACTTCAATATGAACCTGAATCTCCTCATAAAACTGCGCCGTGTTCATTCACAATAATAATAATAATCCTTGCATTTGATATAGCGTCCAGATGTCTCAGAGTGTGTCACAGGATCTAGTGTAGTGACTGTGTAATTATAGGCAAACGTGGCAGCCAATTTGCACATTACAATGTGCTACAAACAGGCATGAAGTGAATGATCAAAATAATTCTGAATACATCTGCTTCGAAGCAGGAAAAAATAAACTTTTTTAATGTTTTATGAAGTTGACAACTTTCTGAAACTTACCGTCCTTTAAAAAAGGCCACGTAGAAAATGGAGGCGTAAGAATTGACAAATTTCAATAGAAATGCTTTCAGAATTAATCTCTCTTCAAAGATTTTTTCTGTTTTGGGTACTTCTGCAAGAAATAAAATAAAATAAACAATTCTAAGTATGTTCGGATCAACTCGAAACCCCAAATATTACTGTGGTTTAAAAAATTTAAAAAAAAAAAATGTCTTTTTCTTTATTATTTTGCCAGTTGTTTGCATATTTAGATGACAAGCAAACAAAGAGTTCCAGATAAGAGTTCTTGATCATTTTATATAATAGCTCTGAACAAAATGTTCTTGCCATTTCACTGTTAAAGAGTGGAATTGATACTGGCATAACACTCATACAGTTAGTACAATACAAAATAACATTTCTAAAGTGCCCTTCACATCGGGAGGAAGCTTCCCAGTGTGCAGATTTTCTAAGCAGGTCTTTGTGAAACAGGCAAAGACCCTATTAATGCGGTTTTGAATGTATCAGCAATTATACTCATCTCCACATCTCCCAATCCTGCTGATATTAAGATCCCGGGTGCATTTGAATGGTTCATAATTGAAAAATGTGTACTTACAGAGCCTACTCCAGCTGGTGAACATATCCCTTGTATTTAGTAATAATCCTTGCATTTGATATTGCGCCTCAGCACATCTTCGAGAAGTCTCAAAACACTTCATTAAAAGGGCTGACATACTTTGAAGTTCTACGACAAGGAGTCACAACCACACTCATTGAAAGAAAACCTAGTCCCAAATTGAAATGATTCCATTTAGAGCTAAATTATTGGGCCATTCAGTTCACCAGCCATGAGATGCAAGTAGAGCAGTCACTGAGATCATTTTCAACCACCATCTTGAAGATGAGGCAAACTCTATCCCTCTCATACCTTGTTGAATCTGGAATATAGCCATATGGTTTTGAATTGTCAGACTAAATCTTTACTTCCTGTATATATTAGGTGACCGTTTGTTCTATAACTCAACAAAGGTCTAAAAGTAGAGTGGTGACTCATTTAGTTATGTTTATCTCAAAATTTCCCCCAGCTTCTAATCACGTCTCCTAGATCTGTTCTCCTGTTTCAGCAGAAAGAATATCTTGCCATTTATGCCAACGATTCTTCTCGTAATTTAAAATCGGCCTTGCTCCTCACAGTAAATCACAAACCCACAATAGCAGATGAGATTTACCCATTTCTGTCAGCCACGTAGCTACAGCTCCATAGATCTCATCCAGGATGAGAATCACCAAAAGATTGATGATGACGGCTGTTGTAGTTACTGTGACCCGGATGTTTGACTTTGTATTCTCGTTTGTACTCAGGGCCATAGCTGCTTCTACGGAGATCCGATAAATGATCACTCCAAAGACAGCAGAAAACGTCAAGCCAATCTGCGGAAGAGAAAGCATTTTATTATTTATTTACCTACATTTGCACAAGAAGCAAAGTCTGATATCTCAAATGACAATGAATGTAAGCAGCAGAAAGTCACGTTTCCATTAGTTACTGATCATTCCTGAGTTTTTGTGAAGATGTTTTTCTCTTTCAATTTTTTCCCCTTCTTCTCTCGTGAACGGGTCTAACTCTTTTTTGCCTTCTACTTGGATTCTAGATTCACAGGTACACGTTGTCAATCCAATGTGTCACATAAGTGGCTACTGTTCATGTGTGAGTCTGGAAATGATTGTGGTTGGTCTATTCAATCATGGCAACATCAAAGCCAAGCCCAACCTTATCCTCACCTTGACGTCCATACACGAGGTCATTCTAAGATTACAATACGGGTAACAATAAGATGAGGAACCCTGTTCCTTTCCCCTCTCCTTTGCGTTCTCATTTGTAATCACGGCCATCGCTGCTGCTATGGAGATTCAATATATAATCAAGTCAATTGTAGCACCCAAACTACTGCCCCGACTGAGGTACGATAACACGGCATAGCCCAGGCTTCAAACCTGAGACCTGCTCTGTATGACTTGATTCATAACCAAGGACATTAGTTACTAGATATTGGGGAAACATTCATGTTGTGTTTTTTTTCCCCAAAGAAAAGGACATAGTGCATTTCCTTCATTTTTAATAGCTGCAAAGTCCAAATCCCTGACTGCCCAGCACCTTGGGATGTCCTCCCGATGTAAAAGGCACTGTGCAAATGTAATTTTATATTGTCTTGTAATTCTATGTGGTTGCTGACTTACACTGTACATTGTGCTACATAGAACTAGGGTATATTGTAATATTTTTGACTTATCATTTCCATTGAAATTTGTCATCTGATACTGGACTGTTGATGCTCTGTATCTGGGCCATCCAGACCTTTACAGCTAAGACAGAGTTTAATCTAATCAGTCGAGACGTGATCAAATGCAGATCCCAGAGGTAAAAGGATAGTGTTCTAATCCTCAGTGTGACCTCAACTTGTTTCACAACATATTTGCATGCCAACTCTCTACAATAAAAATGTCACAGCACAGAATAGAATTACTAAACCTTACATGAATATAAAGATTTGACTTGCAATCCTTGTTGAAATCACGTATTTGTTTGTGCTGATTTGATGTTATCATTAATACAGCCCTGCATGGAGTTGTTTGATCATTAATTGGGCCAGGGTAATGGTGCTTTATAACAGTAATAGCTGAACTTACCATGAATAGGATTGACACAAAATTCCCCAGGTATCCAGGAACTCGATCCTTCCAAGTCAATTTGTCATTGTCAGCCTGCTCCAGGAAAACAATAATAAAGCAATAATTGACTTATCAGTACACATGCCAATTAAAATGCCTTTTTTTTTCTGACAACTAGTTTTCAGCAAAGCTCCAAAGGTCTTGCGATATATGTTTCCTGGCACTAATGCATCGACCGCTATTTGCAAGTGGTTTCTCTTACAAAATCCTTGCACTACGTGACTTCTCAACCTACATTCAAAACTCTATTAAATACCCGTGAATTATGAATTACAATTAAAATTCCGACCTCCCTTTTGAGTTGAGATTGGACAGCAATGGCAGGCCTCATCACCATTTGGCACGGAATCCATTCTGATTCAATTTTAAACTCTATCCCAAAGTCTGCTTAGAAGGTTATGAGGCCACTGAGAGAAAGCAACTGCTATAATTCAAGGAGTCAAAACCCTTTGATGTCTAGTATTGGTCTGAACGATCCATTAGTCTAAAGGTTTGCTTTATTTTTCCTTTCAAAATAACGTTGATAATTACAGGGTATTTATAAGGGATTGCATGTATCCTTTTTGGGGACATAACATAAAATCTGAACTAATACATGGTGCATAGATACATATACAAACAAATCATTACATTGCTTTGATTAGTTTACTACCTGTGTGCAACGCAGTTAGCAGCAAATCATAAACGATTCAACGCCAACCAACTGCTTTGACTGTCATAATATTTATTTCGTTTTATAAATCACTTGCCTAAAGGAAAGCAGCAACTCCAGGCAAGATTGAATAATCAACTGAAATAACATCCTTTGGTTAAACAGTGTGATTTACCTTCTTTGCCTTTAGTTATTTTTTTTTGTTTGGAAAGTGCCTATGTTTCCTTGCTATCACTCAACCGTATACAAACCATATTATTTTACCATTTTAGACATTGTCAAGATGTTCTGTACACAGAGCAGCATACATAGCACCAGAAGCAAGCAATTCCTTAGATTCAGATATCAATACTTCATTAATCAGTTTAAGGTGCAGGCACATGCACGCAAACTGATTTTGTATCCCTCTCAAATTAAATATTGAAAGGTCGTGCTACAAATGTACGGTTTCGCCCACACAATATACAGCCAATTCGCTTTATATTGTATTCTGTGAAGTGCTTCGAGATGTCTCGAAGACATGGTAAGGCACTATATCAAATGCAAGGATTATTGTTATTATATTACTTTGATTTATGTTAATCACATGTCGTGTGTCTCGCTGTTTCAAATTTCCAGCCTCTTTCTATTGAAACTGATGGACAGCAATTTTATCAAATCTTTCCACTCTCTTATCATCTCTTTACATTTACCAGCTATCACCTTTTTTGATTCCAGTTTCATTTTGAGACAGGCTTGGGGATGTAAATGACATTGACCTATGGGAAAACCTCTACTCATAACCTATCAGGATACCATCCATCCAAAATAACACTACACAGGACACTTCAAAGCCCTCACAAAAAATTCTTCGACATCTGTTTTTACAAGTAAAATAAAAGCACCAGTCAATGTGATCTACAGCAGTTCATGGCGAATAAACCACTCGCGATATGGTTGATGTGATTTACAGCTGTATGATTTGTACCATCATTTTCTGACACTGTTCTTATCCTTAGTCACTACTGTTTACACACACAAGTTACTCTTCTTCCGTTTCACAGGAGTGCAACATATTGTATAACCATAAATTCTTAGTGGAACTCTTTGTATTTCCTCTCAGCTGGTAATTCGCGAGATTAATGTTCTACATATTGCATAGAGAGGCGTCGGCAATTTATTTACAGTCTCGAAAACGTGTTAAAGTGCTATATCAAATGCAAGGATTATTATTATATTTATATTATTATTATAATTCGGACTTTGAAGCTCATTTTCTGAAACTCTTTTCAAGAACTACAGAGAACCAACTTTAAAGTTAAAGCTGAATTCAACAGTTATTCTAAAACACTAAGAAAATAAAGCAAATCTAGATCCAGATGGATTCTCTCCCTCCTTTGTTTGTTTATCTTGTTATAGTTTCTTGCAAATCGCTTCATTTACACCACACGAGTAATGATGCAAATCGCCCATAGAATAATAAGGTGGCACTTGAGTTACTCTGATGAAATAGTAGCCCACAACTGAGAGCTCAGAGCAATTTGTGTGAAACCTAAGATGCTTCTAATTTCAATGATTTATTGATGTACACTCTCCATTCTGTTCCTAAACACAAATTAGAGTATTTCTATAGCCAGCTTGTTACATTATTTAGCGGGCTATTAACCTATATTGAACACATAATACATATTGAACTCTTTTCCGAGCAACAACAGTTGCTGTCACTTGCAGACAAACACGACAGCTACATTTTAGGGGAACATAAAGAGTTCTGATACAAGTTGACTTCAAAAAGCACAACCATAACAGTATAAAACATACAGAGCTTTCCTATTCTGTAATTAACAATAATACATTTGTGTATATAATCCTATCGAAGAAAGATCGCCACGTTTTATGAAATACATTGATATTCCAAGAGTCTTTCACCAAATTCAGAGGGAGCAGAGCCATTTTTTTTGCTAAAGCTGTGACAATTTGTTTCTGCCACTAGATGACGTATATATTTTTAATTCTAACCACTTGTGCTACATCTGCTTGGTGCCACATTATAGCAGCCAGGAGCTGGAGACACATTTTCTTTGAGCAATGGTGAAAAATTATATACAATGAAAACCAATGTTATGCAATGAATTCACAACCTGTATTAGATACAGGGTGAACAAAAAGCCGTGATAACTACCCTATTATCTAAAAAATAATCACCATTTCTTTAAGACTTATTAAACATTGGAATAGTATCACAACGTTTTAGTCACCCTACACTTGTTTTCAGCATCCCTTTGTTTCACTATTGTGTTGGAATGAGTAACAAATCATGTCATTTGCAGCTGTATATTGCAATGCAATCTAAACACAAAGAAATTAAAATACATTGGTAGGACATAGTTTATTAAAAAATGGAGTATTATAAGCAGTCTTTGTCAAGAAGCTGCATTAAGGACCAAATGAGACTTCAAAAGCACTCAAATCCACACAAAATTGTGCAGATGGTGAGGCTATGTTGGAGAGGATAAATCTGCCACAGCATTCTCGGGGTAAAGGGAGGGGAAAATCATCCAGGATTGCTTTTCCTGGTCGTTCTTTAGTTCCCTCTACTGGCTGTGTAAGTCTGTGTCAGCCTTAGGAGGAGTGGAGGAGTCCCTCATCTGTGAGATATTCCTGTGCACAAATTGGCTGCTGCATTGGCCTAACCAATACAAAGTCACTGCTCTTTACAGTAAGTTCTGTGAAGTACTTTGAGACGTCTTCTCCATGTGAAAGACGCTATATCAAATCCAGGGATTATTGTAGTAGTAGTATTAAACCTCCAGATGGTGCTTGGAATGATCCAGAAAGGCAGTCTGCAGTGAATCTGACAGCCACAAAACAGAAGAGTTGGTTCGGAGCTTCAAGGGACAATTTCTAAAGCACAGTTGTTGGCTCATGTCCAGGTACAATTGGACTGAAATTTCATTTGATGTTACACCTTTGACAATGGGTGACATAATGGGGAAAACCCATTAGCAGCTGAAATTGCCAAAGGTGTTACCCTGTAAAGCCAACTGAAGATTAAGCCAAAATGCTACGTTTTGCATGTGACTGATGTCTAACCTTGGCACTACCTTCTACAGCCATTTCCCTAGTTTGCTGCTGTAGGATAAGATACAAGTTAATGGAAGTTCGTATTTTAAGAAGGAAATAAATTATCAAAGTACTGAGCAACAATTTTGAAGAACCCACTGTTTGCAGCTATATGACAACTGACAAACCAATGTTTTATAAAGCTAGAGATTAGCACCAGCGAGACAACAGAGAATTCAATGTGATTTGTTTGTTCTGCGCAAATAAGCTCTTAATGAGCTTAATTGTCTGTCAATCACAACTTGGGACAATGATAATGAGAGCTCCTCGGGTTAATATTGCAAGTAATACAGTTCAACTAATATTTAAACAGCACGATAACTGACAAATGCATCTTTTTTTTAGCCTTATAGTGCATGAGCCGAGAATGTACAGAACAAAAGATCTACAAAGTGAAGGACCTGCCTGGACGTCTAGGATTAACGTGTGATTCAAACGTGTGGCTTCGACAAAGATAAACACTTTAAAGAGGCTTTATTGCCATGGTTAGAGGGCTGTACGAGACTTCCGTATATCTGTACACAAAGTATACTGTAAGCAAAATCATTCCAACAAAATTGCAGTGATGTCATTTGCAGCAAAATGTATTTGGGTTCTCCTCCCCCAAAAATCCAGCTCATTGTGCAAAAAGCTTGCCAAAATATGTTTAAACTTCATCAAATTCCGTCTGCTGCTGTGCAGATGTGTCACTTGAGGGCAAGCAGGAGGCATTCAAAATAAGCTTTTAAGAGCAGTCTGGAGTTTGGTGCAGTTCGGAGTTTAGTCGAGTCTGGAGTTCAGTGCAGTTTGAAGCATGAACTTAATCACACTACCCCACCCCCATATAAGGCCAACACTGCTCCTTAAGTTGCAAGTCTGCAAGCTCCTAAATACAAAGACATATCTTTGGTCAGCTGAATGTCTGACATCTGCGGAAACCCATCACCATGTTTAAGAGTGTCTAAACCATACCGAGAATTTCATGTATGCCACCTGCGTATGGAATTATCTGTGCCTGGATTGGAATGCACACTCTTTCCCTAGAGAGTCACGCGCCATGTTACCTAATTCCAATGAGTATTGGGCACAGGTTGCAAGAGCCAAGGCTTGCGGATCTCTGAGTGTGCAGTGGGGTAACTGCTTTATGTCCATACCAATTAAAAGGCAAAGAGGCAACAATTCCTTTGAGTGTTATGCCAAATGGAGTGTGTAATGCTCAATGACTTTGTTACTTGGAAAAAAAATGTCGTACAGGCTAAGTCTCAGTGGAATTTCAGGCCAGGATTGTGCATCACAGAAGCAAGGAAAGCACAGAAGGAAATGAAGGAAGAGCTGCACTGATCACGACTCTTACAAGAAATACAAGCGTTTACAGCTGCACATTACAAAAATAACTTCTATAAAGAGCTTTGGTACACATTTACATAGTGCAGCATTTTGTATTGGAGGAAACAGGAGCATATTAAGCCCGCCAACTCATACTTCAGTTTATTTACTGAAGCGAGACTCCTGGTATTAAAGCAGAATGATGTAGAGTGTCCTCTGGTGCTGTTACAAAGAAACCAATACTTATGCACTTTACCTGGGAATAGCTCAGTTAGAGTGCAGTTTACTGTTCTGTAATATGACATGTTCTGGTCATATTCACACCAATTTAGTCATTTTACTTTCACCATCAATTCACTCCAAGAGTCCTATTGTAATAAAAGGTCAATTCTGTTTTCCAGCAGCCAAACTGCCGCCTTTCACCCAAACCAACTGAGAGAAGCCCAGGCTTTATAGACTCTTTGAAATATTCACATTGATTTACATCGTCAGTTGATTACAAAATGAGGCATGTCATCGGCGTATATCAGGTTTCTTCTGAAGACGTCGAAATCCATTGGTTATAAAGCAGGAATCTCCAAGAGACACATGTGGTTTCAATGAGATCACTTCATTTAACTGCATCATATGGGATATACAGTTAAAGAGGATTGCATCAATCATTGTTGAAGAGAGTTTGGAGACTACCATAGGATTTTCCTTATGTCGACAGATTGGCACTTTCTTGACCTTAAATACGCTATCTTGGCTTTTGAAATTAATGTCACAGAACTCTCCCCACCCTCCACTCTCTCGTGTACATATGCACTGTGCGCTCTGAGACGCTATCCTGGGTGAGGGGCGCTATATAAATGCAAGTTGCTGTTGTTGTTGCACTGAAATTATTGCACTAACGTTGCACTAATTCTCTAAAATTAACTATTATAAGTATAAGATTAGCAGATTTGCAGTACAGGTTTTTAGTAACTTTGTAACAATACTGTTAATATTTCTATGTTAGTTCCTGACAAAATGTCCAGATTTACGGTATTTGCTTGGGAAATGCCCCGGTTAGGGTTTTAATAAAGATTGAGGCTCATAGAATTAATGTCAAATTAACTTCAGGACTAAAAACTGACCTGTAAATAGAAATGTGAACGTAATGGATGTGATGATCAGAGGTAAAGCTCTGCTTGGAACTACAAATACTGAGGACTGTGCCTCTGTGCAGCCTGGCGCAATGATAACGCTCTCGCCTCTACGTCAGAAGTTGTGGGTTCAAGTCCCACCTCAGACTTGGAATCGCATTGTCTAAACTGACACTCCAGTGCGGAGCTGAGGGTGTTGTATTGTCGGAGGTGCCGTCCTTCCGATGAGACGTTAAACCGACGTCCCGTCTGCATGTTTGGGTGCACGTTAAAGATCCCGTGGCGCTGTTTGAAAAGAGAAGGGAGTTTCTCTCTCCCGGTGTCCTGGCCAACAATCTCCCAAATAAAATTGTTCACTCACTCCATGGCTGTTTGCGTGGCATTGCTGTGTGACAACTGGCTGCCGTGTTTCACCCACAAAATATACAGTCAGTTCACTTTGCAGTATATTCTGTGAAGAGCTTTGGGATGTCTCAACGATGTGATTAGACGCTATATCAAATGCAAGGATTATTATTATTACAAATTGTTTATTTGGGCTCTTTCTAAAACCTTGCATGTACCACCTGTTCAAAGTCTAACTAAGGGCTGAGGACATGTCTGTCCAGGTGAGGTTAAGCAAATAGGTTGCATAACCCTATTCTCTTTCAAGTCAAAATCCACTGAGAAATAAAGCTTCAAAACAACTAGATTCTATGAAGGCATCAAGCAAAAAAATTCCAGTGACTTGCAATGAAAGAAACCAGAACACATCATGTGTTAGTCTGTGGTACAACTGATATGATTTAAGCCAGGAAAGGCTTTGCTGTACAGCAGAAATCACACAGCTCCTTGGGGCAATGAATCCTGGCTTCCCCAAGAGTCCTATGAAATCTCATGTGTATATTCCCAAAGCACAATGGGGAAAAAGCGACACATCTGTATTTGCCCACAGATCATAGAATTCTTTTTTTTTCTTGTTTAGGATTAAAGACACTTAACTGACCACAGGTGTTTCATGCCGTAATAATGCTGTGAAACAAAGGAAATACTCCCCTCAAGCTACAAGAATTAATGTGACAGGAACTGTATTTATGATTTCAGAATTAGTTTAGATAGGATCATTATACTGCAATGTTACAAGCAGAAAATAAAGTATATTTCATGTTTCCTTAATAATACTTTTGATTTGTTGTAGTAAAATGCTAACTAAATCAAACCCAAACCTTAAATTGAACAGTCAGAACTGATTGCTAATCAACACAGGGCAGAATAATAGAATAATTTAATGGCCAATATTATCATGTCAGTTTTCAGGTTTCTAAAACCATATTATTTCCTTAATGTGCACGATTATAAATGCTGCAGCAGACATTTGGACTCACAAATTTGCAGTATTTCTTAATAAGATTCCTTATCACTGATGTGCAAATGCAGATTTGATCACATGAGCCCTGTGAGTATTGTACTTGTACACCCTTTACTTCTAGAGCAAAGTTCCTCCAGTTCTACATGATTCTAAGAACTAATTGTATCTGCTGCAAAATGAACTATTTTTTTAAAAAGATTTTTTTTAGCTTTTGTCTTACCATTAATACATTTGTAGTGCCGGTCATAAACACAAATGTAACACATCTTCCTCAGTATATACATAACAGAGTTGCATTTGTTACAGTAAATGGTGTGGTTAAAAAAAACTTTAGGCTGGATATTCACAGGTCAATACAATACAAAGTAATTGAAATGATGATAGTTACCAAATTATTTCCTCCCATAGATGACAAGACCTTGTTACTCCATTTGTTTTTGCCTTTTGTATAGTCATCCAACTCTCTCTTGTTCAGCTGTCAAGTAATGCAGTTTATTTTTTCAACAGACATGAATTTCAAACTTAAGTTACAAAAGGATTGACGTCATTTCCACCGACCAATGAACATGATTAAATAACTTACATCTTCATTCTGTTTTTCGTTCAAAAGTTTCTTCTGTAAAAGTTTGGTTTCGTATTCTGGTCTTGGATGCTCCTAAAAAGTACAAAAATAGGTGAGGAAAATGTTGATGCTCTTGAACAACATACACTTGAATTCCGAAGAGACCACATAAAAGAATGTCAAATCTACCACCACTGAAAATATATTTATACAGTGCTTAGAAAAATTGACAAAAATGCCAATTTCTTTCTATAATTAAAAGGTCCCAACCTGCATGCGTTCCTTGATGCATATTTGGCGACAGAAGAAGGAAGCAAAAGACACATTAAACCAAATGTTCAGACAGTAAAAAGGCATTCATCTCAATTGGAATTGGGATAATCACAAGAATTTCAGTAATTCTTAGTTTTCTACAGAACCAATTTGCAAATTTATGAGTAAAATAAACATCTTTACACGTGGGTGATATGTTAAAATGTATTAATGATAACTTTTTAACAGTAGCTAATTAGTCACTGTGTTACTTGCAATAGCCTAAGGCAGAGTCTCCACAACAGAATTTACAAAGCAGAAGATAAAGAGCATAAACAAATCCTTTTAATTTCTTTTACATAATAGGTGGCTGACTTTCACTTACCACTCTCCAAAAGGAATCGTTATGTGGATGGGTTCCAATATTTTTTGCATAGAACTTCTCAAATGAAAGCTTTAAAATGTACGTGGTTCTCAAGACCAAAACAACTAACCTCTGCACAATAAGAAGCACTATTGTAACATTGTACAGGGGTCTGATTCTACGTCCAGAGTCCATGACACTACAAATCAAGCTAATCTGTCAAAGGTGTTTAGACGAGAAAGCCGTTTCAATGTACGACTGAAATTCTATCACTTTACGTTTCTGAAATATCCTCCATCTCACAGATCAACTCTGTTTTGAAATGTTACAAATTTTATCCATTTTCCTACAAAATATTAGCTTGTCAGCTTTCAGTATGTAAACCGTATGGTATGACATATTGAACGATAGTCCAATAGTCGGTAAACATTAATGAAGTAATAAATCTGATAATATCTACTCACTTCTTCCTCTTCCAAAACAGTTAAGTCCCACTTGTAAGTTAACCTCATCTGCCGACGTTTCCAGCAGGCAAGAAATACTGTAGCTGTGAAGATAATGTTGATTTTTTTTTAATGAAGGATATTCACAAAATAAATTCAAAATAGCTATATTTAATAGTTTCAAAAGTGGTTTGATAAAGGATATCTAACATCCTGTTCCTTGGCTATTATTGTGCATGAACCTGCGGCTCAACAAGATGATGAATTAAATATTTTTTTTAATTTTGGTACATGGTATCAGCTTCAAGGTCAGAAATGTAATGTAGAGTAAATCTCCCGTTACTTTGTCTTCCAATGAGGTAAAGATTTCATCTAAGAATACACCACATTGCCTTTAGCGATGTCAGACACCAATGGGATTTCCCATGTTATCACGATTCACCAAAGACACAATGTGTAGCGCTGAATGGACCTTTTACCCAAATGTGTCGTAACTTCTACGATTCTATCTATGGGGAGAGAGCGGGGGGGTGGGATTGACTTAGATAGCTCTTTTCAAAGAGCTGGCACAGACACGATGGGCCGAATGGCCTCCTTCTGCCCTGTATTATTCTATCTCTAGCTTCTGAAGTGTCCAATAGTTTTGAGTGTTAATGTTCCATTTGCCACACCCACAATCCTCTGATGGAGGCTGTCAATTTGAATCATATTTTAGCAGAATTCTTGTTTTGTGGAATCAATCCAAGAGGAGGGAGTTCTAGTCTAGCTTCATCATGAAGACCACATGCTATTGTACATCGGGTTGTTCCAGCAGGTATGTGCACTATTCTCTCCGCAAACTGCCTGTCCTCATGAGGCAATGTAGCATGCGTGCTCCACAGATGATCACTGGGTGCCAGAGTAAATACTCTTGTTAGCAACTGATGGACACAGAACTCTGGCAATAATTATTGGCAGCATGGAATTCCAGATAAATCCGCTGAGCAGAGGGGGAAGCCAGTAGTAAATGCCTCGGTTTGACTGCAAATTGTTTCCTCATTGACTGCTAACTCCAAACTCTTCCTCATAGATGTGTAAAGAAGCTTCTCAGGGGTGCAGGAACTTGCAGTGGGCACCAAAAAGAAGAAATGAACTATTAGGAGCCATCAGGATTCTTTTCAGTGAAGCTACTGAAAATTGCAGCCGTGATCACAAGACAGAACATAAGTGGAGTCGTGTAGTTCAGTGGTTAGAGCACTCACCTCTCAAATGAGAGGATCTGGGTTTGATTCCCAGGCAGGACAAAACATTGCACAAGTTTCCCTACTCCACACGCCTCTGTTTACCTCGTAGTAAGTAGGAACCCGGTTGTTAGTCGATTGGCGGATTGCTTTTCCAGAGGTAATAATCCTTTCAAAAATAAAAATAATAATAATAATTTGGTCACCCAATCCACGACTGTTTGTGGGACACTGCTGTGCGTAGTTGGCTGCCGCGTTTCCCCCACATAATATAGTCAATTCACTTTACAGTATGTTCTGTGAAGCGCTTCGAGACTTCTTGAAGACGCAATATATATATTTGAAGGGACTCCTGGAAAGCGTTCTGCCAATCGATTAACAACCGAGTGCCTACTTCATGCTGGGTAAACAGAATTCCAAAGCATGTTGTTGAACGATAGTTGTAATACGTTGAGTTCTAAAATGTCAGCAGTGAATCTCATTATCGGACTTTTATTTGAAAGAATGGGCAACACTACAAAAATATTTCCTTAGCATTAAGCATGTCCTCTGAATTCAAGGCACATTAAACCCTTAAAAAAAACAGTGTGATTAAAACAATATTCCCAAAGTTTCAATATTCAAGCAACGCAATTTAGATTATCCATGTGGGAGGTTATTATGATTTAAAAATGCATTACAAACAGATGTGCACTCAATTGACAATCACTGACCTATGTCCAAGAGCTTCTAAAAGTCTAATAAGACAGTTGCACTGTATTGCTTTTTTTTAAAAAGGCAGATGAAAGTATTTGAAATCAGAAGTTTTAAAAACTTTAGAACATGAAGATGTATCGTACAAGTAGCAGGAGATATGACTAGTCCATTCATAAGCGAGATATCACTAACCCCAGCCAATAGACCCTTGAGTCACCTACAGTTTAGAACCAGTCTGCGTTCTCTCAGAGAGACTCCCATGTAAAAAGAATTAAATCTAACAGTATTATTCCCTTCTTAAAATGAGTTGGTAAATAATAACTCGTGCCAGTTTCCCCTTCACTGCAATTCACAAAAGCTAATCTATGCACGGTGATGAACGATACTGTAAGACTACCTGGGGCAGCTATATGCCTGACAAAGGCCCTGTCACTCTGTTCAACGAAAGCTGGATGTAAGGCAGTACGTTCTGCTCTCAGCAGTGCAGCAATAACTGAAGTGTAATACAACACTCTATATTCCAACAAGAATTTGTTTTAATGCAAGAGGCATGTTTTCTTATATCAATACATCATCCTACAACCCCTGGGATCCAGACGTTTTCAAGGGTAAGGTTAGTTAGCTTTGTTGCAGCGCATATTCTAAAGATGTAGACTTTGATTTATTGGCCAAACAGTCTGTTCAGAATTTATTCTATTCCACTCTAATGCACATGCATTGGATACATATTCTCAAATGTATAACGGGCTCAATTAAAGGACAATACAGTATTATAAAAGAATAAAATAACATTGGGTGTGAGAATGGATGCCTTAGTTCACTAGTACTTGGGTTCAGATTCAGTCCAGCGTGATGCAATGAAAGTCCTCTTTTTCTGTGGTTGTTAGGATCCTATATCAAATGACATTTCAGCTCGATTCGTATAGTAGCTGTGGGCACACAACATAAATCTGACCACAAAGTGCCAATTACACTCCATATATTCCACACACATCTCTTGCGTGGGAAGATGAACATAAACTACAAATGTAGCTTGGTTTGTCTTTTGACGTTTGGAGTTAAAGCACATTGCTCGACGCGATAGATGGGGGGATCATCGCTCTTCAACTGGTGGCTTTATGCTTGATGTGAGAGTGAGCGCACGTGAAGTGACTGACATTCCTTAACCAGATGCCTATTGGCAAAAAAGGGCACACAACCCTTAATATACCTCCACTTAATTAGTTACTCATTGATTAACAATTGATATTGACTACCAATCCAACCAGAGGAACATATTTTTTTCTCTTACCCCAGACTGCCATAAAGATGGAGAAAAACACCGTGCCAGGGTTGTCGAACAGGTGGCTGGCACGTGCTGTGGAGCAAGCGTTACTGAGGTTCCAGTAGTCACAGGACTTGTCACAGAGTGGGCACATGGTGAAGTTGTTCTTCTCATCACACATCTCTACACTAAATACAATACAAAAACACATGCGATATTGGACACGAGGATATAATACATCAGCTCTTTTCAATGACAGTTTGCTGCACCATGTTTGCATTTACAGAGACAATGTTGGGATGAAGTTCATCCCAAGTCCAAGGACAACTCTTACCAGCTGTTCCAGCTGACATCAGTTCAATTGGTTTCAAATTTTAACATCTTTACCATTTTCAAGAATATTATTTTCAAAGAAGTCTTCCAATCATCTTTACTCAGAAACATCTTGCTATTAAACTCAACTTACATGGCATTTCCAATGGCTAGATTTAGAACCTAGATTCTGCTCACCAAATTTCCCTACTCTTCCCTCCACAAGCTACAGACCACGCAGAACACTGCAGCTCATCTCGTCTCCAGCACTCGGCTCCACGAGCCTATCACCCCATCCTCGCCCAGCTCCTCAACTCCCAGAGAATTACGTTCAAGATCCTCGTCCTCACTTCTAAATCACTTTTATTATCATTAATATTATTTTTTACTGACAATATGACCCTTTTATGACATGCGCATATGTACTGTTCTCAAACTACCAGAAAAACATCGGTACTGAAGATTGGATTTCAGTCCAATTCTTTATTTTCAGAGGCGATACACTGTCCGATTAGATTGAGTGTGGGGTTGGGGAGTATTTTATTGATTAATAGAGAAATCTTACCTTGGTATATCATTGTCTATTGTAGCACATCCATAAAGAAACACTATGATCCCAACCAGCGATGCTGGGATAAGGAGCTCTGTATACAGACCCAGCCAGGCAAAGTATAGTCCTATCTCCTCTCCAAAATATTTCCTGCGAAAGATGAATATATTAGCAATTTAATGATAATTCAATATCTAAATGATATCCGCAGCAGCATTGGGCATGAAATTGAATATTAACAGTAAAAATATCTTTTTCTAGGCTCTTTGAAACATATGAAGAACAGAAACAAACTAAATGATGGATTGTGAACACGAGGATTCACGAAAGAAAGAGAACTTGGTAAAGATTACCTTATCAGGTCTATTGGTTGGTATTTATATAAGACTGAATATCGTGCCCATGCTTGATACAGCAGCTGAAAGGTCAAAAAAGTCATTAATTCTTAATACAATAAATGACTTGTAAGAATCATTCAATGTTGAAATATGTTTGCATTTATACCTTTGGACAGTCTTATACAAGTGATTCTATCATGTATAAATAAATTAGATAAATACTCAACCTTGCGTTCATTCTCTTCTGTGTCATTGCCTTCAAAATCACCCTTAAAGAAATACAAATATATTACCTAACGTGAATAAATGTAACATGGTTAAATTGGTCATAGTGTGCATCATTTACTGCCTAAGTTATGCTGACCACTGTATATGTTGTCTTTCCCTTTGTTAATGTACCTTATATTCTCACTCTAGGTTTCTCAGCACTAATCACCATCCTCAACTAAGATACCGAATTGCTCTAAGGTGTTCCTGCCACTGTGTTGTACTTAATAATAATAATAATCCTTGTATTTGACTTAGCACCTTATCACGTCTTTGAGACGTCTCAAAGCGCTTCACAGAATATACTGTAAAGTGAATTTCCTGTATAATAATAATAATAATAATCCTTGCATTTGATATAGCGCTTTTCACGTCTTCTAGACGTCGCAAAGCGCTTCATAGAATATACTGTAAAGTGAATTTCCTGTATAGTTTGTGGGCGAAACGTGGCAGCTAATTGTGCACAGCAGTGTCCCACAAACAGTCATGGATTGAGTGACCATTTTTTTTAAAAAAGGAATTATTAGCCCCAAAAACTTGCCCAACATTTCTCCCTGCCAGGTCTCTCACTTGCGGGGCGAGTGCTCTAACCACCAAGCTACAAGACTCCACAGATGCTCAGAGATTATTCACAAGAATAGCCATGTACGGCTCTCACCATCACTGCCTTTCTCATTGCGAGGATACTTGATAATCACAATATTCATGTGCTCCCACTCTAAGCTACAGCTCCTTAGAACAACTTTGTGCTATGCAACACGCCCTTTGGAATACAAGCTACATGTTATACATGTCACACTTACATCATGGAGAGGATAAGCTGAATCATACACTCCATTCGCTATCAATGCAGTTATACCTGAAAAAGAAAGAAACATTCAATGAGCGTCGAGCGCACATCTATACCCATGAAAAAACAATTCATCATCTGAACCTTGGATCACAATACGAGACAATAACGCCTTTTCACAACTTACTGGATCATTTCAGAGCCCACTGTTGACCCTATTCAGAGGATATTGGCCTAAGACAGTGTGAATAACACTGGACACTGGCTGTTGCTGTGTTCCATGTCCTTTTCACACAAAGGGTAGTGGAAATCTGGAATTTTCTCCCCCAAAAGGCTGTGGATCCATTCAATTTTTCAAGACAGAGGTGGATAGATTTTTGCTAGGAAAGGCAATCAAGGGATATGGGGCAAAGGCGGGTAATTGGGAATTGAGGTACAGATCAGCTATGATCTAATAGAATGGCAGAACAGGCTTGAGGGGCTGAATGGCCTACTTCAGTTCCTATGTTCCTATGCTTGCAAATGGTAAAGGATATTTTGTTAAAATCTTCTACCCTCAACTATTTTGGATTGAGAATAGAAACAGAAACATAGAAGAGGGAAGGAGCAGATCATGTTGGTGGTGAGAGTGGAGTATAAAATCGGTTGATTCCATTGTCTTTTTTGTAAATGAATTAGCCCTAGGGATCATTTCCAGCTTCCTGTTATTTTGCCTCCCACACACAGTACACCACTTATAATGAAGTAGTAATTGGAAGTAATGTTCAATTTTCCATTTGATTAATGACCATTATCTAGTCAGGGGAGTCAGACGTGATTGGTGATGTTATGTATTACTCACAGTATCAGGAATAAACCCATGATATAATAATGAAGCAAAACAATTACTTGCAACAACAATAATTTATATGGCGCCTTTCACGTCAACGCAACATCTCTCAAAGCACTTCACAATGATTGGGGGCAGAGGGTTCTTACCCATATTATAACTGCCTTTGATACAGGTCGTTCGTTTCAATATTTCACATACCTGCAAGGAACAAGAAAGCAAATTGTCAAAGGCTCAAGCTGCAGAATTGTGCATGCCAGCGCTCATGGTTTTGGACATTCTGAATTGTCTCATCATTTTATCTGCTAACTAATTGAGAGAATATCCATGAGTCAGAAGTCCAATACTGTGAGAAAGATCTCTTGGGTTTCACCATTGAGAACAGCATCTATTCTTCAATTTATTCCAAACTTTTCATTGCAATGGAAGCTCGCTACTATTATAATCTTGATTAATGTAAGGTAATTTGATAGTTTAGTGAATTGATAAAAAATATCTTGTGATTGTTTAATGTAGTCACAGTATTTGAGAAAACGGGTAATCTAGGCAAGAAAATAATAATTTATTCAAGTTCAGCTTTGAGTATTGATTTACCTGAAACTAATTCAGTTGATTTAGAGAATTTCAAGATACTTAACAAAAATGTGCACTTATTGAGTGTTCACTTAAGGAGAGGCAACCAAACCTGAGTTCACAAACCATATACTGTATTTATCTTGCGGTATGTACATTTCCTCTGTCGAATTATTAAACAAATTTATAAATCAACTCCACCACAATACATCTGAGAAACATTGTATTTACTTTGCACTCTATTCAAATCCTTAAATATGAAAGCAATGGAATTTTCCAAGCCAATATTGTGATTGTGGGCTCACATTTTCTAATGTTACACAGTATATTTCTATGCATCCAGTTGTTACTATGGGAAAAACACAAATATGTTTTGATCTTTCTCAAATGTAATTAAAGAAAGGAGAAGTAACTTTTGTCTTTACGAAGCTGCTCAGTGACTTACTATTCGACTCCGTGTTGCAGTATCAAAAAAGGTTTCCTTATTTGTTATGTTGTACCTGCAGAAAAAAAGGAAAAGAAGTTTTGTGGAAATATTCAACAGACAATGTGAATGCTATTTCAACTTTATTTTTTAAATAAGACATAGAATTAAAAAAAATGGCATCTGGATCATTAAGCCTGTTATTAAAATAGATTTCTCACTTTACTCCACCAACATTACCAAAGCAATTTCCACAGAAATATTACTTTCCCACAATCAGTTCTCGGTATTTTAGCCATTACAAATATAATTCACACTTACGATCTATTCCACTGACTCCATTTCTACTGCTGATAGAAAAGCAACATTGCTTCTGGAAGTTAAGGTGACGTAAAGGGAAAATTTGGTTTAGAATATCCACACCTCATTACATTGATGGGTTCCTTAAGTAAAAGGTGAAATTCCCACGGTTGGAATAGGAAAATGTGTAATCAGGTCATAAAAAGTGCAGATATTAAGCTCCTTCATCAGGGAGCAGCGTAAAGTAATAATAATTTCAGCCACAAAATATACAGTCAATTCACTTTACAGTATATTCTGTGAAGCTCTTTGAGACGTCTCAATGACTTGATAAGGCGCTATATCAAATGCAATGGCCCACAAAAAGCCATTGTTTTCTTGCAATGTGCAAACATGTGATTGAGACTTGAGAACTTTTATTAAACAATAGATTATGTGGATTCCAAAATGGACTCTTAATAATAATAATCCTTGCATTTGATATAGCGCTTTTCACGTCGGGAGGACGTCCCAAAGCGCTTCACAGAACACACTGTAAAGTGAATTGACTGTATATTTGTGGGCGAACGCGGCAGCCAATTGCGCACAGCAATGTCCCACAAACAGTCGTAGATTGAAAATGACCAATTTATTATTGTTTTTGTTTTTGGTTTTTTTGGAGGGATTATTATTAGGCTCTGTGTGGAGTAAGGAAACTTGCGCAAGGTTTCGCCCTCTGCCTGGAATTGAACTCAGGTCTCTTGCTTGCAAAGCGAGTGCTCTAACCACTGAGCTACAGGACTCCACTTAAACATTATATAAGAACATAAGAATTTACTATGCTGGCCGACAGATGACATGTCATGTCCTAAATTATGTATTGTATCCCAAGATGTCTTTTCCTAACAGAAATCTACCTAATTTGTTCTCGAAGGAATTACTTACAAATGCATTCTTTCTCTGCAGAATGGAGATGACACGTGTTTATTCTTATTAATCGTTTGCGACTCTGAGACATTGGGCTGTAAAGGCTTCGTGAGCTTTTCCCAGATTGAGTTCAATTTGTTCTTGATTCTACTTTCCTCTTTTAGTTCGTAGCCCTGAAAGAGAAGGAAACTGGCTTAACACTAAAGCAAAACTATGGTACAAATAATAATAATCCTTGCCTTATCACATCATTGAGTATTTAATAATTGCCTTATCACGTCATTGAGATGCCTCAAAGCACTTCACAGAATTTATAGTCCTGTAAAGTGAATTAACTGTATTTTTTGTGGTGAATCGTGGCAGGCAATTGCACACAGAAGTGTCCCACAAACAGTTGTGGATAAAAAAAACTAAAGTATAATAATGGAATAAAATAAACAACAACCATAAATTATTTGATATTCGAAAGAGGTACTGAGAGAGGAAAAACAAACTCAATTATTTTATTTTGAGGCATGAAACAGTACTTCTTACTATTTCCATGACTTACCATATTTATTCAATCAGTTCTTTACCTAAATTTCGAACTGGTGGAAATTGAGTTATATATTTTTCTGATTTTGCTGAATAATATTGACAATTATTTGTAATTGATTTTGTTTCAATTTTTACGGACTGATTTTATGACTTTTTGGCCAAAGTTTCTTACACTTGGATGACATCAAACAGACACAAATTCACAATTGTAATAATAATTTATTCACACTTTACTGCCTGTATAAAGCCACGAAAACAATAATCATTGGTCTCGCCCACTTGCTAACAGCTATGTACCAGTAAGCTGGCTGTTTATTTTATTTGGACAAGAAAACAGCCGTGTTAATTCCCTTACCCTTTCAATCTCAGGTTTTTAATCAGACTCTTGTGGTTCTATTAAACTGACTGAATCATTCACCCTCAGGACAACACAGAAAGTTCCTTTCTCTTTTTGACTAGAACCATACGATCTGTAACATCCACCTGAAGACCGTCCTCCTCGACGGCCACCTCCTCTCTCCTCGGTGTCTTGCTCCACCACTGTAAAGCGCTCTGGGACGCTATCCTGTGTGAGGGGACGCTAAATAAATGCAAAGTGTTGTCGCTGCCAGTTTATACATTAGATAGCCCGTGGTTTAAATGAGTAGATACCATTGGATTATGGTAACCTTCTGCTACTTCACTGATCTGCTTCAAAACACTAACAAACAAGGAACTAACAAAGCAATTTTTCAACAGATTCTGGAGATGAGTTTTCCACTCACACAGATTCCAACAATGACTAATCGCTCAGGAGCTGTGACCTACATTGTCCCAACACTAATTGCTTCAAGCTGCTTAAATATTCTACCTTCTCAATCCAATAACAAGTACATCAGCCAGTTGTGTATTTGAGAAGTAATACTCGCTTGGACATTTCAGAAGCAACACACCGCAGTGCTTTAAAGGACTCAGAATAACCTGAGGGAAATATTTAATTCGAAACACATTTCAATGTTTGTTTGCTGCTTGCTTATTATGCCAATACTTCAATACATTTTGCATCACTCAAATTATACATGAGCCACTGGAAACCGTTCAAAATTTAGGGCATGTTTTTATATAAATTTGTACTGTGCCTTTAATAAAGAAAACCTTTGATCGAGAAAGGATTTAGTTGAGAAATGATTAAAGGGTTTAGAAGAGAAAGTGTTTTCAATTTCTATACGTTAAGTATTAAATAGAAAACAACTGTTCGATTTAAGTGCCTGTTCTGTAAATTATTGCAATATTTTAGCAAATTCAGTAAGTACAATTCTATGATATTTTTTTTCTCTTTTTAGCCCAAAAAATAGTCAATCCACTTTACAATATATTTTGCGAAGAGCTTTGAAATGTCTCAATGACTCTGTATCGAATGCAAGAATTATTATTATTATTATTATCATTATCTTTCAGCAATCACAATAATCGTTTTATTGCAGTTGGTTAAATGATGCAGTCTAGCTCTAAACAGGTGTACTGTTCCTTCACTTTCAATAACCCTGCTTGCATTTCAGTGCTAATAATAAAGACAACTACACTCTCTGTCACAGTACCTAGAATACAGTCACTTCACTTCACAGTAAATATCCTGCGAAGTGCTTTGAGACATTTCGATAATATGATAATAATAAGTTTTGCGTTTCATACAACATCAGTCTCTATATCAAATGTGAGAACAATAATATAAACAACAATATGTAACCCCAGAATTATCACTAATGTAGACGGAGTCAGAAAGCCATGGAAGATTTATCCTCACTTGTGTATCTTAATTATCACATTGCCGAACTCAGTAATCCTTCCAAGGTATAATAATAATTCTTATATTTGATATAGCGCCTTATCATGTCGTTGAGACATCTCAACAAAAACAACAACAATAATAAATTACATTTACACAGCGCCTTTCACATCAGGAGGACATCCCAGGGTGCTGGAAAAGTCAGGGATTTGGACCCGAGCTGGGGTTTGGGATCGGGAGGTGTGGAGGACTGGAAGGGTAGGGGTAGGAGGGTGACTGAAGGAGCGGGCGAAGAGGAGGGTCTTCAGACAGGCCTTGAAGGAGGCGAGGTGGGAGCGAGGCTGAGGGACTGTAGGATGGAGTTCCAAAGGGTGGGGGCAGAGAGACTGAAGGCCTGACCGCCAATGGCGGGGCAGGGTGGGCTGGGCGGGGGAACAATTAATCAGGGTTTTCATTCCTGGTTGCTAACCAGTAATCACTGTCTAAACGTATAGACGTCAGTTGAATTAGGCTCAGTTATAATTGCCCTCAGATCTTTGGGCACAGATAGGAAACAACCATTGCGACAGAGGCTTGGAGAGCAGCTGGTGCTATCGAACAGTCTTCCTGCACAAATTAATGACTTCAGGCAGAAAATCCATATAAAACATCAGTAAACAAATCGTAACACCTACCTTTTTGGTCTGTACTTTTACTTTTAAAAATTCAGCCTCTCGACTGAGGACGTGCCAAGGAGCATGTAGTCTTACAAAAACTGTCCCTTGGTTTTTAATCTGTAAAAATAAAAGGAAAATCATTTTTAGTTATCAGAGATATCGATATTGTAGCTTTGAGAGTCAATTAGTCGAAATAGCTGTTCACTGAATTATTATTATTATTGTTGATGCACTGTAACCTTATTACAGTCCAGATCATGAAACGAGATGTTCTTCAAACCTATAATAATAATAATCCTTGCATTTGATATAGCGCTTTTCATGTCGGGAGGACGTCCCAAAGCGCTTCACAGAACACACTGTAAAGTGAATTGACTGTATATTTGTGGGCGAACGTGGCAGCCAATTGCGCACAGCAATGTCCCACAAACAGTCGTAGATTGAAAATGACCAATTTTTAATTATTGTTTTTGTTTTTTTGGAGGGATTATTATTAGGCTCTGTGTGGAGTAAGGAAACTTGCCCAAGGTTTCGCCCTCTGCCTGGAATTGAACTCAGGTCTCTCGCTTGCAAAGCGAGTGCTCTAACCAGTGAGCTACAGGACTCCACATTTTGTCCACACTTTTTGTCCAAATATCCAGTATTAAAATGTGAGAAACTCTTCTTCCTAGAGTCTTTACTTGGTGAGATACATGTATGATTTCTGGAGAATGAACAGCATCATCAGGACTCAAAGGAAAGCAAACCTCTCCATGCACTTTCTCTGTGGTATCTGTTTTGTATCACTAACTCTCGGATTAAAAAATCATGAGTATATTAATAATAAATACCACAATGATGCCTACATTTGAACAGCACTTTATCACGTCTAACATCCAGAACTGTTTAATGTAATGAATTACTTTAGATATCAGGCAAATACTGTCCATTACTGTGCAGTTTTTGCCTCAAAGCGCTTCACGGAATATACTGTAAAGTGAATTGACTGTATACTTTGTGGGCAAAACGCAGCAGCCAATTATGCACAGCAGCGTCCCACACACAGTCGTGGATTGATTGAGTGGCTAATATTTTTCAAGGGATTATTAGTATTATTCTCTTACTCAGAATGTACTAGATAGACTTTCCTTTTAATCACACACAATATTCTATGGTAACCACAAGAACACAAGGGAGGTTCACATGAAGAGGCCCTTTGGCCCATTGTATCTCATTCTTATACAATGGGTTTTTTCAATTAACAATACCAATTGACTTGGTTTGATTACCCTTTTTTTTGCTAAGGAGTAGTTCTGGTGCATGGCAGAATCATAAAAGCATCAATGTTTATAGCACAGAAGAAAGACATTCAGCCCATAGTGTCTGCGCTGGCTCTTTGAAAGAACAATCCATTCTTACCTTTTCCCCATACCATACCCTGCCAAACCCCTGTAAATGATTTCCTCGTCACCGCTCTACCCAGCTGCCTCTAGAAGTCAATTCACTCTATATTTTGTGAAGTGCTTTGAGATGTCTCGGAGACGTGATAAGGCACTATATCAAATGCAAGGATTATTATTAAATATAAATACTTGCCTTGACCACTGTACCCAACAGAGCATTCCATAACCTAACAGCACTCTGTGTAAAAATATGTAAAAATATCCTCCTACAAACTCCCTTTTGGAAACTTGCTGACTACAATGTATTACGTGTATTCTACCAATTCTCCAAAACACATAGACAGGTATTTATTTATGGCACTGTGAAAAAATAATAAATCACCTGATTTTATGTTATCACCAGAGCCTTTCAAGTGTGTCAGTTTTATAATTCACTCCACATCACAACTTTTAAGACTAAAAAGGTGCTATACAAATATAATTTGTTGTTGTTGTTCATGAATAAGGTGTCCTGGGACAGACAAGGAAGTAATCACAGTTGATATGCTTTCCATTTCCTGTTGGAGTCTATTAATTAAGCTTTTGTTCTTCACAATGGTTCAATGTAGTCACAGGTTATTGCATTACTTTCTCACTTTAAACGGATGTGAAAATATTTTAAATGTTATCAGTATATAATTGTAAATTAAATTAACTTCTGAAATCACAGAATAATATCAAGCATTATGTGTTATATTATCCTCAAGTCATCAGTTTTAATTTTCACAAGAATTCAAATAAAATGTTAAAATAATTTTTTACAAATAAAATTTTGAATAAAACATTATAAATTATAAATATTATAAAGAAAATTATAATAAAATTATCCATCACACTCTCAGAAGAAATATCCAAAGCACTTGTACCTTTAAGCATATAGGGTAAAACTCGCAGAAGTCTTATCTTTATAAATTGAATAATTGCCTAAGTCATACATGCACCTGAGTCTCATTCAATTTCCTATCAAATCCACTTAGATTTCTTTGCGCTAATCATATTAATCATCTCCTGACTCGTAACATCGTTCCTCTCCTCCATTCCTCCCGCGTGTAACTGTTTGCATTGAATTGTTCGAAGTGACATCCTGTCCCATCGACACATGGGCACCTATGACCATATGCAAATGTAGTCTTGATCCGTCAATACATGCGCACGAGTATATCATTTCCCCGATTCAGTGCAATTCCAACGCTTGCCAGTAAGTGCGCATGCGGCGATGGGTCAAGACGCAATTGAAACCTGGAAAACATAGTCTTGACCCGTCACATCATGCGACTGACCGGCTGCAGTGACAAACTACCACACTCTTTGTAGACTGATTTCCTACCTCTTTGTCTTTCTCTAACTCAAGTCCACTTTCTAACAGGGTCTTCTCAAACTCTTCTCTGCAAATCCTTCCTTCTTCTTCCTCCAGATGATCTTCAAGCCTAACGATATCTATAATCACATCTTTTTTAGAACCAGGGAGATGATCTGGGATTTCACTTTTCTTGGGACTCCGTGTATTCCCATTAGGGATAAGAGCTCCAGGCAAATGAATGTTAGTCAGGTGTGTATGCTTTCTGTAGTGATAAACCAAGACATAGTCCACCCTTCTCTTTCCATCATTGAAGTACAAGCCAACTGTATTTGGCCGGTTACTGTCATCAAGGTAGTTGTTAGAAACCTAAAAACAAACAAAAAAGCACAATGAGTAAAGTGTTAATGAGCAGTTTTTTTTAAATTTAGACTGTTTGTGGGACTGCTGTGTGCAGTCATACTGCCACGTTTCTCCCACAAAATGTACAGTTAATTCACTTTACAGAATTTTCTGTGAAGCACTGTGAGATGGCTCAATGATGTGAGAAGGCACTGTATCAAATGCAAGGATTATTATTATTATTTCTCACCATATTAACGTACATTGCAAGTTATACAGTTTAATAAAGCATAAAGCAAGTTAATGATGAAATCAAATGGGACTTCAATGTGTTGTTATGAACTTCATGCTTGCAAAATGTCTTAAAAAATGTTTTTGGAATGATCTCAACTATGTATCCTATTGAAATTCCCCATTCAGAACATGAAATTAACCAAAACTACACTGCTCTATAGTATGTCTTTACAGTTCCGTATGTCTTTACACTACAGTATATCTTTACTCTATAGTATGGCTTACACTACAAGAAAATCACTTTTGAAAACAGGTAAAATTACTTTCCTTAACAATCCTTCAAAATATAAAACCGAATAGTGAAATGTAGGTTCTATATTGGCTTTTAATGGAAATGCGATGTGTTAATAGCTTAGAAAAAATCAGCACAATTGTGGAATTTGCCAACAATTCAAATAATCCTATGTCTCCCTATTATAATTAAAACATCCATTCCACCAAAACACAATCAAGAATAAGAAACTTACTGAGAGTCTGTGTGAAATTGTTCGATCCATCAGGTTTGCGTTCAAACTAGAAGTTAACATACACACACCATTCAAAATCAATACGGTCAGTTTGGAGGGATCAGCCCTGGTGACTGACATTCATTCACACAAAATAAAGGAAATAGTTTTGTCTCACAGCTCTGTGGTGTTCAGTGCCAGGGGCTGGCGAGAGCAGGGAGGTGCAGCCTTCGAGCAGGAATTGCCTTGATAACCTGCATTACAAGCCTCCGGGGTCCCCAAGTCACACTCGGGGGTCCCCAAAGCCTTGCTTGTGCCTAATATTTTCCGGAGTTAAGTAAGCAGGATGTGTCCCTCCAGAGAGAGAGTGAGTCTTTCATTCAAACAATCTATCTCTGGAATTTCCATGTGTAGGCGAGGTGCTCAGTTTGGTTTCAACACTCTTAAGCACGGTGATGGGTTTCCGCATGTGTCAGGCACTCGGCTGACCAAAATAAACCCTCCAGTCGCTTTCCCACGTACTTACCGATGGGCTGTTCGGCTCCTCCCCACTGACTCTGACTGAAGTTTCCTGCTCCAAAACCCCATTGATACTGTTCAAGTGCAGCTCCGTCAATCGCTCAGGAACCGTAAGATGTCTTTCAGAATGTGTCCGTCCATCACTTGCTGCTTCTGTAGGTGCTTTGTATGCACGATGTGTAAGGATTATTGGGCAATCTGTTCATAAGAGATTACAAAGGTCTCTTTGTATAACCACTGTAGTTAGTTGTTGCAGCAAGCTTGAGCAAAGACTGCAGCAAAATGCAATCTTTCTAAGTCATTTTTCAAATGATGTATTTTACACAACATATTCCAACATGTGAAATATTCTAACCTGGATAAATAGCTTCTAAATTTTGTCAAATAGCAGTTAACTTTATGATACATTATCGAAGATAGCACTGCAAAATGATATATGATGTATAAAATGAATTTTTGCGCAGATGAAGTTTGTTCAAAGATCAAATTATTTAAAGTTCTTTAAAACTCTTCAGAAAAATTGCATAATCCATTTTATAAGGCTATTTTTATCATGGGGGAGGGGTCGATGGTGGGTGGGGGGGTGGGTGGTATGAGGAGGGGGTTGGCGTGTTTGCAACCAGTTGTTTTTGCCAGCGCAGTTGTTTGGATTCATTTTTTATTTTAATCAAAATTATTCCTAAATTTCTGAACAAGCATTGAATCCTTTTCACACTGTCCCCAGAGAGCTGAGCTGTACAGTGAGAGAAAGTTATCAGGGTTTGTCCTAAGACATCAGTGCCAACTGAGGCAAATAGAAATACAGATAAATAAATAAATAAATAAATAGAAATACCTCACATAAGTGGTATCATACATTCAATATGACTTTTGCAAAGCACAAGTTATGTCAAACTTTCATAGAACATAAACTCTTGAACAGACTTGGGCAGATGTACGACTTAGGCAATTATACGATGTATACACATCAGACTTATGTGAGTTTTACTATATAGTCAGTGCTGTATTTATGGTCGTTGATGTGTATTCAAATGATTTGTTTCTACGTACAGGCAGGTTGAGCTGTCAGGCTGCATGTTCAGGCTTGTTAAGTCATGGTACTGTTTTGACATGGCTTTCCTGTATAGAATTTCCCCAGACTTACAAGGACGATCAAACAGCCAGAACTGATTATTGCCATTGTAACTTTCAAGACAAGTTGCATGCACTTATTGCCAACCGCCATCAATGCTTTGGAATAGGCCCAACAAAGTAAATAGTGTGAATTCCACAGCACAGACAGACAGACATACAGACAGACAGACAACAACAGTAACAACTTGCATTTACATAGCGCCTCTCACGTAGGGTAGCATCCCAGAGAGACAGAGCAGGGTTTGAAATTTGAAGTGTGGGGAGTTCTCAGGCAGTCTGCCTTGCCTGACCATCCTGAGATGATTGATTTTAGTAAGTTGCTGGAAGTCCTGCCCGCTCTCTCTGCCAATACAATGAAGTGATCCACATTCTGATAATGATTGGCAGAGCTCGTAAGTCCATTGGTCTATACTAGAGGCACCAATTCTATATGGAAGTAGAACTAAGCCACTTAGCATCAGCAGATTTGCACTGTAAACTGTCAATTAAACCAGCAACATATCCTTCTGAATGTATGGAGTCCCATTTTTAAGATCTGCATATATACTTATCTACTGAAAAGTGTATTTTGTTTATTTTGAGGGCAAACCACATGTTCTGTTCCTGATTGAAACCGTTACTGAGTTACGGTCATAAATCAAGCGTTGGGTATAATGTTAACATTTGCATTTCACTATGAAATTTTAGATTGAAATATAATCGTCAGAAAATACTTTGCAGACCGAATACATATGTGGATTAGCATTAGAGCTATCCTGCCCCACCAGTATCATGCAATCTGAAATCAACTAAACTGTTTCATGAACCAGATAATGACACTTTAGTGAATAGTACTGTATCTCTGATATGACGGATTGCTAGAGCAAAATAACATCACTTCACCATGGGCCTACACTGAAGTACAGTATTTCCTCAGAGCTCAACTACATCAGCTATTGCAGCTACGTTAAAGCATTCAATCTGTTTTGAAAGTGTCCTCCTAATACAAGTAAACACTGCAAAGTATTATTACAGTAGAAAATAATCCGAGACAGAAGGTTCATATATAATTCCTTGTCTGGAACCAACCAGATCAACCTGCACCGCATTTACTAGATACATTTCATAAATACCACATTTATAAAAAGCCTAAAAAGAACCTCCTGCTACTCTTCATCGACTTGTTTGAAGCCTCCAACACTTAGAATGACTGCTCACACGTCTCGGTCATTAATGGAAACCCGACCAAAACATCGAATGGATTGAATCCCATCGAATGGATTTATCCCATCGAATGGATTGAATCCCATCTCCTCAATGGAACGGCCCCGCTTCAAACACAAGAGCTCCACAAGCTTGTTTCTTTCTCTCCCCACCCCCCCCCCCCCCCGATTCCTTCACTGACAGAAAAGTGGACACTTACCGGGCACTTGCCGGCCGTGGTCTGCCATGTTGCGAGGGGAGGTGTCGATCTGATCTGACACGGGGCTAATCGCCTGTCTTTGTTGTACTGTCACATTGTACAATCTGTTTCTAGCTGTGCACTGGGCTAATCTGCGGGCAGCTCTTGTAGCTAATTCCATGACTGAACGAAATGTGTTAGGCGAGCCATAAACAGGCAAACAGACAGTGCATCTTCCCCTTTAATCACCACTCAACAAGTAAAATCATCTGCAAAGCCTCCATCGCCCTCTCGTTTCAACTTCCCTTCACTTTCACCCGTGTTCAAATCATCGATGCGTTGAATCATTTGGTGCAATTCTTCCAAATGACGCTTCTTAAAGGAAGGGAAATAAGTTATCCACACAGCCTGCTCAAACCGCACTCTCACCGCCAGTTCACAAAGAAACACGATAGGATAAGTCCTCTCTTGTAAAGGTATATCTTATGGTTACTCTACCACATGCTGGCAGGCGTGGAAAAAATAATGTCCCAGCAAAGCACCTTTAGAGAAAATGCTTGCGATAAAATCCAAGGTTCAGCGAATCTCTTCGAATCCTCTTGCCTGTGTTTATACTGTCCCTGCAATCTCACATTGCAATCAATGTAACGGTATGAATTCCAGATTTTTAAATGTTAATTATTCATCTTGTAAATGAGTGCACGGTTAGAACGTGCAAGTTTTCAGCCAGGTGCACCGGTGATCTCACATACAGTACATCACATCATGCTACTCGTGTGGTTTGTTTTGCACAAAGGATTCATATCTCAACAGGTAAAAGAAAGTCTACGACAATTGTCTTGTTTTACATTAAGGAAAAAGTCATGCGGGCAACTTGCATTTTGTTTTATTTAATAATCCCTTCAAAAACAAACAGATAAATAATTAAACAAATAAATAAATAATTGGGTCGCTCAATCCGCACCTGTTTGACGTGTTTCTCCCATAAAATATACAGTCAATCCGCTTCACTTTACACTCCGTGAAGCGCTTTGAGACATCTCAGCAATGTGATAAGGTGCTATATCAAATGCAAGGATTATTATTATCATTATATTCTCTGTATAATGTACGCAGTGTTTAAATTGAAGAGGCTAGGTGCGATTATTCACAACGTTCTTTGACAGCAGGTACAGGGGACAGAAGGGCAAAGAATGTAATCCTCCACTACATTTGTCAGATGATCAGTTTAGCTGAGCATTCAACCGTATCTTAAGGCTGGAGAGTAGAGCAAAGTAGAGCTTGTTGCTGTTAAAGCACCATAGGTTGCCCATTTATAATTTCAAAACACTCTGTTGTGTAACACATACATTAGCAGATGAAATAGGCTGACAAGAGAAGGATTCTTGTACCTTACCTTGTCCCAAGAACCCAGCTGTTATGTCTCTTCATTTGACTGTTGTTTAAACTGTTGCTGTTTAATTATGCAGTCAACCTAGCAGCGAAAGTGCAAGAGTATTTGGCTGATTTGTATCAGATGTAAATCAGAAAAACACCAGCTGAGCCACCGAACATAAGGTACAAAGTAGCACAAACATGAATAAATCTTATGCTTGAGATCACAACAATAATAATAATCCTTGCATTTGATATAGCCCCTTATCAAGTCGTTGAGACGTCTCAAAGCGCTTCACAGAATATACTGTAAAGTGAATTGACTGTATATTTTGAGGGCAAAACGAGACTGGCAATTGTACGCAGCAGGGTCCCACAAACAGTCAGGAATTGAGTGATCAAATAATTATTATTATTATTGGCGTTTTGCTCGAAAGGTGTGACTGTGTATGAGAAGAGGGCATTGGGATTCTGACCCACACAGAAACGCCTCACCACTTCCATAGAAGCAGTTTCACTTCACTAGTTGTGGAGTGTACGACTTTTTCCCCAGTTGGGAAGACATGAGTTAGTTGCACACTCTGTTTATGCTCAGAGTACCCAGTTGCAGGTTGGCAAAGTCAAGTCATTAGGCTTATTTAAAATTGGGGTAATAATCATAATTCTGCACCTGATGTTTGAAGTAGGTAGAGAACAGATTCCTGGTGATTTACACAGCAATACAGAGAATATCAACAGGGTAATCTTTCAGAGCTGTTCTCATGTTCTTCCCACAAGCTGAGTACAGAGTAGCATGAATCCAACAGTATGCTACGGTTGACAGGTTCTGTTAAAAAAAATCCAAGGCCCAGTCACCTGTGGAACTAATTCTCTTTCGTTGATGCAGCAATAAACTGAAGATCAAGTTGTACCAGAACTTATGTATCACCAAAGTCATACCAACTCGTGAATTAACCGGGAATGCATCTCGTTGACCTGCAGAAACTCCAGGCACTGGAGGTAGATTGCATCAAGCTCTTGCATGTTGGCATGACACCTTTCCTATTATCAGCAGAAGTCACTATTGGGGACTCAACAAATCATTGCATAGTAGACCTCTACTGGCAGGAAAAGGGATCAATATAAAATCAGGCCTGTGGGATTTCAAAGCAGTATCTTCCCATGTTTAATTCTAAGCGTAGAATTATATACTGTACTTTGAATTTCATTAATAGGTGAAAGGTTGGCATTTCTTCAAACATATCGAACCAATGCAAATACATGTTCCCTAAATAGATCATCAAAAATGAAAGAAATCAGGTTTAGAAATGTTGTTGTAATCCCATTCGAAACTTCACGCTTCGAAAATAATCACTCTGTGTCTAAGAGGAATTCTTTGGGATAGAATGTTAAGAAGCTTTATATCAGACCTCAGCAATACAGACACAAAAAAAAACCAAATAGATATTTATCTAAAATCTTGCTACCAGCATGGGGCAACACCATAGAATGAGGCAATTGCAGCATCTCACTGAAATGCCACTCATTTCTGTTAAGATGGGATCGTTGTCTGCTTGTTGTATGACGTATCCATCACAGAGATATTTGGTTTGAGTAAATACAAAAGCCTAATAGGCTTTGTCATCTAAAAATTGCAACCCGTATGCTTGCTATTGCTACTGATTATCATAAGCATTATAAATCATTCCATGCGTGTCACCCTATCAGATTAGGAGGCTGCTAGACAAGTCCACATCTTATTATCTGCACACAGGGCTTCATCCCACGTACACTAACAGCTGTTCATTTCAAATTTAAAATAATGATTTTGCAGCCACAGGAAACTAAGTCGATATTAATCGTGAAGATATACATTTAAGACACCTCAGTTCAATGGCTTGTCAGTGTACGAATGCTCCAGTATAATCCCAATAATAATCCTGGCCTTTGATATAGCGCCTTATCATGTCTCAAAGAGCTACACAGAATATATTGTAAAGTGGATTGACTGTGTATTTTATGGGCGAAACCGGCAACCAATTGCGCGCAACAGTGTCCCACAAACAGTCGTGGATTGAGTGACAGAATTCCAATACTGAGGAGCAATGTTACCACAGATTTAGGAAACTAACAAGACCTGGAAATAAGATACTAACTTCTATCACAACAACCTTCAGCTGCTTTCACTAAAGCAGCTCAGATTCTAGGATAAATGCAAAATAGAAAAGATAGATACACCACTTGATGTGTCAAATTGTAGGAAAACCGAATCGAAGTAACTTATATTGACAACTAATAGAATCATTTCGAGAAAAAAAATCGCCATTCTTTGAATGTCCAGCAGAAACTTCTTTTATAATACAGAACTAATGAATGGTTCGATACAAATAAGCTTTACAATGTTCCTTTGTGTAAATGCCAAACTATTACATTCAACCCTGTGATGGCAGTAAGACAGGTATACATTCAGAATGGTTCATACATCAAAGCAAGATGAGGCTATGGTATTAACCACATTTACAAGTGTGTGTTATTAGCAAGCAAGAACGCTTATACATCATATCAGTGGTTGATTAACGGCACCAAAAATGATCACCCAATACTGAATTTAGCCTTATGTGAAATGCGAGGCTCCAGTTCTGATAGGAATTGCCACTTTTACTATCTTTGGGCTTTTCTTTTGTTCATTCGCAGTGGCGGCTGACACAGGCACATTCTTGCATATCTGTTACTTCATGGTGTAAGACGGTCCCATTTTGACATTTCAGTGGCACCAGCAACTTTGTTGAAGCGGTCGCTGAACAGCAAACACATTGATTTTGCACTCCATCATTCTGCACAGAGTAGGCGGATTTACTTGAACAGCGCCCCTGAAAAAGAACACAATTATGAGTCCATAACTGGATAATTGATACAATAAGCTTGTCGATAGTTTAAAAGCAATTTCCGCTTTTATTATTTAGGAATTTTGTTTGATGAGTCAGGTGTATGATAAATACAGAGATCATCTTAGCCATACAAAACTGCTGAGAGTTTCCACAAACAAATGGAAATGACATAGTTCTGGAATGGAACGAGTACTCTTTCCACCGAGGGTCTTAATCGTCTAAAGTTTAACCACAGGTTTGCAATTGCCAAGGCTTGGGGAGCCCCGAGTGACCATTGAGGGTATTGCTGGAAATTAACCAGATAAAACCATGCAATTTGCAATTGCTAACAAGGCAAGCTTCCCACACTACCATTTAGTGCTTTGCCTTGCAGGGTTTACTGAGCTGAGTGGGAAGAATGCCCGTCTCCAGTCATGAAGCCCTTTGAGATGTCCTCCCAACATCAAAGGTGCTATATAATTGTTAATTTCTGTTATGTTCAAAATAGTTTCCGATTAAACCGCACACTCTTCAAATATGCTTTTGTTTTTCTTTTGGGTATAACATGTTACGTTTTAAGGTTAGAGAATGGAAACGGTTTCAGTTTGGGGTTTACAGGAACACCATCAATCATTCAAGTCCAGTTTAGTGAAAATGCCAAGTTATGTACAGTTTGGTGTTGTACATTAACACTGTCCAAATTCACTCACCTGAGAACTCTAACAAGTAGCAAAGAGAAGAATATTCTTTCCAATACTTCGGGCAGGATTTGAGCCCAGATCGAAGCAATAAATATGCAGTAAAATCTCTTTTATTGACAGAAAGTTATTTGTCGTGTAGCCTAGCTATTAGAGGAATATTAGATAACTGATAATATTCTAATATACATACAAGTTGTAAACAGTTAGCTATTTACGGACTTTACTACTTGATTACCTGGCCTCATTATATTCCTACTCAATGCCATAATGTTACATAAAACACTCGTGTGGTTATATGACATACAACTGTATGAGAAAACCCTAACATCTTGAGTTAGTGTTGGTCATGAAACTAAGAGATTCAATAAACCTCTAATTTCAATTCTGCTTTCATTACCAAAAGCTCAGGCACAGGTGAATGAATGAATGAATGAATGCCACTTGTACTTGCAGATAGCAGAAGCGTGGAAATAGTGTGTAGGAGGAGAAGAGGGGGAAAGAATGGGAAGTGAAGAAATCCAACCTTTAAATCGCTTTAACAGTTTAATAGATATAATATTATCATTTCGCTGATAGTGTGCACCACGGTGGCAAACAACGGTAGTGTTGTAAATCTCACACGTCATATTCCAGCACCATGTCCCTTTTATTTAACTGAATATTGACCAGGTGAAATATGCAGCGCAGCCACAAGTTTTTGGAGAACAGCACACTTTGAGGCTTTTCATTGAACAATAAAGAGGTTAAATTGGGCTTATAAATGTGACTCTGAAACATTTTAAGGAGGTGCCTCTGATGGTGTACAATCGGGTGCAAGGCTGTGGCACGCACAGCGACTGTTCTGAATTATTTTAATGAGTCTCAAATGACTGCAATCTGTTTTACAGCTCTTTATCCTGCTGAGATCTGGCAAATTCAGAGTTTGAATATAGTCAGAAACCAGTACTGTTTGCAAGGTCTGAGGCTGAAATGTATACAGGAGAGATTTTAGTTTATAAATTTAATGAATAAAAACAACATATGGTTATGATGTGTACATTTCATGTGTAACTCTGACTTATATGCCCCATGAAAAATTGATATATGGATTCCACATGTTGTTCTGAGATTGAGATTTTTCAGATATAGCTTGTAAAGGCTGCCATATATTCTTACGAGATTGGTTGAAAGGAGTTGTTTTGTTGACTGGGTTAATGTTACAATCAGGGTTGTGCTATATTAATAATAGTAATGCTTGCATTTGATGTAGCGCTTTATCAAGTCACTGAGACATCTCACAATTTCTCATGGAATTTACTATAAAGTGTAGACTGTGTATTTTGTGGGCAAATTTAGCAGCCAATTTGTATACAGAAATATCCCACAAACAGCCATGAAGTGAAAGATCAATTTTATCTGGGGGATTCTTGGCCAAGACACAAGGAGAAAGTTCTTTCTGTTTTCAAATAGCTCCATGAGATGATTGTAGGATGATAAAAGACAACTCACTTGTAATCTATTCCACATTCACGGTTACAATTTTGATTCAGAATAAATGCGACACTTAATAGATAAGTTGCTATGCTTTAGAACAGTAAGGTGCAGGAATAAAAACTCCACTCACCTCGCTTCAGTTATAATAATAATCCTTGCATCCTCTCAAAGCACTTCACAGAATATATGGTAGAGTGCATTGACTGTATATTTTGTGGGCAGCCAATTGGGCCCAGCAGGGTCCCACAAACAGTTGTGGATTGAGTGGCCATTTTTTTAATATATAAAATTAATTTATTTTTTTGAAGGGATTATTACCCCCTGGAAAAGCAATCCACCACAGTTAAAAGACTGCAGATCAATGGAAACCAAGGAGAACACAGAGAGATGCCTAACTGGAAATATACACATGAAAACCACAAACAATTAGATTTAATTAGTTCATGATCTCTTCCAATTGAATCATCACAAGTGGAGAGTAAGCAGAATAATTTGACATTTACGGTTAGTTCCTAAGTGGGGGTGGGAGAGGGTAAAAAAGCCTTTAACTTGGAACTAAATTGCTCAGTTTAATCACATTGCTGAATAGCCCACTGCAGCTCGCCTTAGCTGGCGTAATAGAGAATGTGAGTGCCAATAAAAAGTTTAGTAGGAGATTATACCAAGCACTTAGATTTCCTAACTTTCATGAAAGGTACACTTTAAACTATCAAAAGTATTTTGGATGTTTTGCACTAACTATTGAATGGCAACTCGGGAACTCAACACAAAACACTTTTATGGCTCACTTAAGCTTACAGCTCTGGCTGCAGTTTTCACTGACTTTCATTGACTGGGGTGCATTGATTGATACTATGCAGGCAAACAATAGTTAATCTATATCAGAAACATGCCCCAAACAGCAATGATAGGATTGACCAAATTTAACTTGTGCTTTTTTTAAAAAAAACAAGCAGATGTTTCATATGTTGCAAATCAATCTGAAATGCACATCACTTGAGGAAAAGCACGTACAGATCAGGGAGGGATGGGGGCCACCCTAACACAACTGCTTTGGAACCATCATGTCTCATTGGGTTTATAATGGAATTATTGCGTAGAAATACAAGCGCTTTTGTGACATTGACAGCATAAGGCACTGTTTCAAACGCGAGGATTGTTTTTTTCATAATTCCCGTTAAAAATAAGTAACAGGAAGTAATCTCGTTTCAACTAATCAACAACTCTGTTTCAGTTCCCAACATAACAAGACTGACAAGGCCCCCTGGAAATAGTGTCGACTCAAGCCCCAAGAGGGGATGAGCAGAGATTAAGCTTTAAATATAATGTTATTATATATAATGTTATTTTGAGAGCTGTACCTCACAGTAATGAATGTTAACTTCATTTTCCGTCATGCAGTCATCAATTCTTATGTACTGAACCACTCCTGTTATTTTTCTGCAGAGCTGTGGTCTGAAGTCACCTAAATGGAAGAAAACATTAAACTATTATGCAATTTGTTATATTCCATCTCACACTGTACAACAGTTCAGTATGTTACTTCATCAATTTACATTCATTGTATAAATGCCCTGATTGGAATAGAGTATTTACTGTGGAAAGATCAATCTGTGTAAAGCAAATTTAGCTCAATGCTCAAATGTTTGCAGCCTAAATAAGCAGAGATGTTAATGATACACATGCATTGAACAATTACTGAACAAGCCCTTTAAGACATCCTCCTGACATGAAAGGCACTTATATAAATGTACGTTGTTTCGTAATTACTCACATGTGAAACAGCAAGTATTTTCCACAGGCACCACTTCACCCTAATGACCAAAACAAGAATTAACATGTATGTCAGATATTACTTTAATGTTCTGCAGGGATTATTTCATACCAACTAGAAAACTCCGTCATTTGAAGACATTGAGTAGACTGAGCCTCTTACCCCATCAGATTTACATTCTTCATGATCGAACGAAGGGCATACTGTTGTTTGCTTCTCCCAGGAAAACTCTCCTTTGTCATTTACTTTGCATTTGTGCCTGTCACAACCATCTTGGAGGTTTTCACCTGCCTGTTAAAACAGAGTGTTCTGGTTATAAATATATATACTAGAGTAAGTAAAAACTCCCTGGGTGATCGAGAAATAAATGTACCACACAGGCTTTGCTCAGTTAGCATTCAGCTGTTTGTGATCTTGATTGTTATCCATTGATCCTTGCTGGAAAGTGCACTTGTGGATGTTGGGTGAAAAAAAGGACTTAAGAACAGCTGCAACGATTTTCACTCGAATAGCCAAGCAAAAAAAAACTGTAATCAATGTAGTTTGCCTAGTTTATACTGCTGGAAGGCAATGGAGTAGAGTGATCTAACTAGACTTACATTTCTTGCTCCCAATTTCTCTTGATGGAGTTTGAGGATTAAACAAGAACATGTGCAAACAAGTGAGAAATCGCAGATATGGACCAGCGTTACATTACTCTGTGGAAAAGCATGTTGCAGTAACGAAACACTAGCAAATTACTTTTGACGAATACTAACGTTTAATTTAACCCGGGTCTCATTCTTCAGTTGAATAAGGCATCCTGTGGCAACACATTTTCCACAACAAGAACCGATTTCTTTCTGTGGAACATATCCCTGAAATATAAAATTAATAGGAAAGAGTTAGGGTCAAACTTTGTGATGAGAATACATTTGCTCTAGACTTTTGAGAAGAATCTGAAAATGTTATAGGCAGATTATTCATCTGGTATCGAAATGTCACAATATAAATGGGAGCAATGAATGTGTTTAGCAGAGATACACAGTAACTCAATAGAGAAACAAAGATCAAACCTTACTACCAATCAAAAGTGAAACAGCAATGTTATGTTAAACTACTATAATTTGCTGAAGTCTCCTTGTTTTCTTTGTATAGATGTGCAAAGAATCCATACTTTTCTATGAATAATATTTCAGTCTTGTCCTATCTACAGTGGAGCTCTGTTATAACATGGTGGTTAAAATCCATAGAATCCATATTGACTTGTTTCGCAGTGTATGAGAGCGACACTCAGCCTGCTTTGTGTTTGCCGACCGGATCTGGTGCTCTGAAGAATAAATGGTTAACTTCCGGATCATCAGGTTGCAGCAATGTCATTTCCTGTGTGGTGCATGTCGCTAGAAACCTGGACGTCACCCATTTTAACATGAGTTCCGAATGTCATGTGAGAAGTGGGATTGTGCACGTGTGTAGTGAATGGGGTTCACACTAGAACCACCCCATATCGAAATCCACAAAGAACTATGCTATATTAGGCCTATTTTAATGCAGCTTAACCATCGGTGACTGCACTTTCAGCCATTACGTCCCAAAAAACTCTGGAACACTCTTTCTCTATCCCACTGCTTTGTCCCTTCCTTCCCCATCTTCAGATCATGCCTGAAGACCTTCTTCTTCGACCGTACCTACACCTCCCCCTGGCTCGGTATCATGCTCCACTTCTGTCAAGCGCTCTAGCACACTATCCTGCATTAAATACAAGCTGTTGTTGTTGTAGTTGTTGTTAGTTTAAAGACCACCAGTTTCTAGAGAATGGCCTTCTGATATAAATTGTAAAAACATTGGACAATTGAAGGGTGCTGTAGCTCTATAGGAGATATCAATTAATAAAACTGAAAAATATCTTACATCAGGACAAGGATGGCACTCTGATTTCTTACATCGGAGAACATTTCTATTCTTCAACAGGCCTCTCTCTTGAAAGCATTGACACTCGGTGCAGTCATTTATCTTTATAGGCCCTCCCACCTAGATAATAGAAAGAAACACATGATCGTAAAATATGCAGCGAGAACAAAGTGAAGCACCAAATTTCAGGACAATATCCAACTGGTAGTGTATGTCAGATCACTGTTTTTTTGATGCTCGAAGGAGGGGAATGAACCAGAGGAGTAAAGGGATAGGCCAAGTGAGACTTGGAGATGAGGGTGGAAGGTATAGCCGAGTGGTGTGGCTTCAGTCAGGGGGAATATGTCGCCTGGGGTGATCCGGATTTCTATGAGGGCGAAGGTATCAATGTTTCCATCAACAATGAGATCGTTGATGGTGAGGGCTTTGTTGGAAATAGGGAATAGAATCATAGAAATTAACAGTTCAGGAAGTGGTTAGTTCCCTTGTCTCATCAAGCCTACACCAGGTGCTAGTATAGAATAGAATAAAGTATTTAAATCATTATCTTACCCCAATGATGGTGCCGTTTATTACACAAACATTTCCTGGAACTGAAAAAAACCCACAAAAAGGAATCACAATTTTATCTTCCTGAATTTACATCAGAATTCTACGATTTCTAAACTTACCAAAGCAAATCTTGGGCAAAGTTATAATTAACTAAATCTGATCTGTCCTACTTCTGTCTTTGTTTAAACAGCACTGACGATATGACTAAAAACGCACAGATTGCAAATGCCCTCCAGATGAATAGCAACACAGCCAATAAGATGGAGAGCTTGGATTTTAACTATCTTAGCACCATCAAACTCACTCTTAGGCTGATTAATTCACTGGAGCTAGTCTCCCTCAGTGATAACATCAGCACTCACCATTCAAACAAACTCACTACACTTTATCGTAAATCCTGTGAAGAACTTTGAGATGTCCTCCTAACGTGAAGGTGCTATGCCAAATGCAAGGGTTATTTTTTTTTAATTGTAAAACTTTCAAGAACTCTTAGCGCACTGAGGGAACAAATAATTGAAACTTAATTATAATTATTCTTCACAATTGTTTTTTNAAAACGGAAAACTAATTGTTCTTTATAATAACACATTTTCTTCAGGGAGGTAAAATTTATGATGTTTGATAGCATATTCCTCAGGATACTTTCTTACTATTCGTTAATTAAATCACTGTCTTAAAATGACCTGCCATTCACCACATCAATGGGTTGTGCTGAATGGCAGGTTAGTGTATCCTGATGATAGTTAAGCAACGGTAAAAATTTGTGATGTTTCATATTGCGTTCCTTGTGGAGTCATTCAACACTTTTTGACACTCCACAAATTTCATCTAAAAAAAAAGCCGTACTATACTTGAATGAGTTATCAAACCTGGCAAATTTTGGACTAAAAATTAGAGATGTAAAAATGAACCGGAACTCAAACTTACCGCAGTGGCAGACAGGACAGCATCCACTGTCTCTACAGCTAAGTTCATGTCCCAAAGGGCATTCAGGGATGTTTGCATGGTTACAGGGCGCATTCTTTTCATGCAGCACCACCTCTCCATTGACCATTAGACATTCCATTAACATACATGGATTATTGGGGGATTCCCATTGCTCACCAGCCTGCACAATAAGAGAAGTCACATTCAGCAATTGGTTGATAGCAACTTCTACAAACTGTTCTTTAACTTTCTCTCCAAACACAACTACACCAAAATGTTGCAATAACTGCCTGAAGACTACCAGCAAAGATACCATCCATCAAAGCCGGGATGCTGACGTGCAATCAACATACAATGTCAGCCAAATATCTGCCATTGGCAAAGATTAAGAGCCACATGATTTTTCCTGAGCGGCATAAGGTTGCAATCATTATAAGATTAGAAACACGCAAACACATAAGGATCTGATATCTGCATTGTTTCGTTATCTACAATCAAGCTGGTCCAAACTTCTTTGGATATAAGACCTACAGAGGTATGCTCTTGTTGTTGGGTCTAAACTTATGAAGATAGTAGAGAAGAAATAATATCCTATCCTATCTGATCAATTCAAAGTCAGTCCCAAGGCCAATTTAGCACAGTATTTTGTACAAAGTAGACTGGATTACAGGTAATGTTCCAGTCATTTTGGTAGTCAAAACAGGAGTTATCCTCATGGGGAATGCTTGCTAAACTTTTCATTTATTGGGAAGCCCAGGTTAATTCATTCCTTTGAAGTTGATGTCAGCAAATAATCACAATCGAACACATTGAAAAAGTCATGCTCAATACTCACTGCATAGAGATGTTTCTGTGGGACAACATCACCCCTTTGGACAGCAATTTCTGTATATTCACACATTGACTGCCTGCATTTTCCACAACAAGCACCGTTCTCTTCAGTGTAGGTATATCCCTTCAGGAGAAGATTATTCTCAATGATTTCAGTATAAAACAGGAATTCATATTATCGCAAGAGACAGGTAATATCACCTGCGTGAGCTATCCTAACTATGCATCTGCGGGTTAATGTCAACACTTTTTAAAACCCTGAACAAAAGTTGAAATTGTACAAGTACAATTTCAACTTTTGTTCAAGTCACATGCTTGAGCGCTGGAGTTACCAGGAAAAAAATCCTGAAATTGGAGTATGTTCAAAGAGTATTGGAGATTAAATCCTAAATCTAGTCTCTGCTATTGTCTAAAGATCTCATTACAATTTGTGGTTCACCAAAAATATACATTATGTCCATCAGTTCCTTTGGGGTAGGAGGGTGCTTGAACTAATATGAACATATTACTTGCATAAATTCTTAATATTCTTAAATAATTGAATCTAGTCATTGTTAAATGATCAGATTAGAAACCATAAATAGCTTCTAATTGGTATGGAGAATGAATAGTAGTTTTATTAACAATAATAATAACAATAATGCCCTTGCATTTGATATAATGCTTTATCACATTGACAAAACGTCTCAAAGTGCTTTACAGGATTTTGATAAAATAAATTGTATTTAATCAGTATCACGTTATTGAAACACAATACAGTTTTACTTACAACTGGGCAATCCCTGATGCAGGTTTTTCTAGCACACTGCACAATATGAAGCCCTGTGACACTGTCCTTCCTCTCTGTGCAAGAGCACTCTTTGCAAGACTCCTCCCAGGTGCTTCCAACTTGGTAGAGAGCACCATTGTGGACACAAACCTGTCCAGTCGAAAATCAGAAGCGTTAGTCAAAACGTACAGTGGAGCCCCGTTACACCACAATAGTTGGGTCAATAAAATTCCAACCAATGTTCAAATAGGACATGATCAGCAGTCAGCGCATTGCATGGAGTGCAGATCAGCAGGTTTGCCATGGTAAACAGTAGCTGTCATGTTACTGCTTATATTATTCCGGATGACCTGGAAACTAACCACTTTTTAGCTTTTTAACAGAAAACCAGCCAGCATTTTCAAGTTAGCCAAATGACTTCTGTACCCATTTGGCTTTTTTGATAAGTAAACGTCAGTATTAAACCACAATCACACTGTAAGAGAACCCGTGTTATAACTAAAGTTTGTTATGACAGGGTTACACTGTATTTCATATACTACTTACTCAGGATAGTAATGTACTCTCTGAGTGATATATGTTCAGAGCAGTAATATATACTCCAGGATGTTTTAAAGAGAAATAGACAGATACATGGCTAACAGGGATATTTAGGGGTATGGTGAAAGGGTAGAACATTGGGATTAAAAGATATACTAAGATCTAACAAACTTGTGGTAAAACGGTTCAATGGGCTGAATAGCCTCCTCCTGTTCCTGTTTCAAGGATATACACCCAGAGTAACATGTGGTTAGGACGCTAATCTGCCACTTAGGGCAAGTAATTTGTATTGATAATAACTGAGGCTGAATGCAATTATACATTAGTGCTAAAATACACTCAATTCAGGTAGTAATGTACTCTGAGTACTATATGATCAAAGCATAATCATATGGTTACAGTAATAGGTCGGTCAGGCAGTTACCTCATTGGGTTCACAGGCAGACGTGGTACAATTGCAGTCATTGGTCATTGATTTGACTGAATATCCAACAGGGCAGTTTGCTTCTACATTTTCACAACTGCAAACACATTCATATTTGTCACAGCACTGTGTCTTTCTTATGTACGGTGCCCGGTGAGGTGGGCATGCCACAGACTGGGTTTCACACTGGTCCTTACTGCAGACTGCAAACACACAAACAGAGATTGGTTTTGTGAAGTGGCCATTTCCATCACTAAACAATACACCACCAACAACAGATTCCGTGTGTATAGAGTCTTTCACGTCGGGAGGACGTCCCAAGACGCTGGACAGTCTGGGATTTGGACGCAAGCAGGAATTTGGGATCAGGAGGGGTGGAGAGCAGGGAGGGTAGGGGTAGGAGGGTGACCCAATACGTTAATATGGTGTCTTACTCACGTGAAACATCCTAGACATCCATACATTGAATTTCATATGAAAACGAAAGTTGAAAGTGGCCGCGATAAGAAATGTAGAACGAAACAAACATTAAATAGTAAAAAATACATGTTTTCAAAAACTCACCACATTCATAAGCTGCCAAACAGGCGCCTGGATTTTTCAACGACAAACTAAGTCCATCTTCACATTTTGGAATAGCTGGTTGATTACACGACGGCAAATCACAGACTATAGAAGCAGGAAAAATAGGATTGAGTTGCTGTTAGTCAAATTTATTCCCAAACACCCAACAATCCCAAATAAGTGCATAAAATATTCAACGAATAGCACATCTGTTTCAGAGGCAGAGAAGTCTGACAAACATGTTATGTTTCATTCTTTGTTTCTATCAGGGATTTACTTGACAAGATAGGTTCAGAAGTAGGTCCTTTGGTCCATTTAAGCAAATCTGCTGGATGCTCCATAGAACTATATTAATCGAATAAATCTAAACCGAGGTGTGATTTCTTCCTACCCATTATGAACTACTGACTCTAATACCAGCAAAATAAGGAGAATGTTAATAGAGAGCTGTTTGCACAATAGATTCTTTAATAATATTACACTATCATCCATTAAAAGATACACCTGACTGCCCGCAACAGAGCCACAGAGGAGAGTCAATTAGCACTTGCGTTGTTCATACTGTGAGGGTTCAAATTACACTGTCCATAAAACATCCTCCTTCTAGAGCAAAACCCATAGTGAATGCCTCTAATTAAACAATATGAATACAGCATAGGGTATAACAAAGGGTCAATGTATTAACCTTATCAAAGTTAATAGTACGTACCACATTCATACTGTGAACAGCAGTTATCTACGTCATGGCTTATCTTTGGTATTTCACAAGGCTGACACCTCGGTACTGCAGGTAAGAATATAAGGACATAGCATCAATACTTAAAAAAATATTGCAAGAAAAACCTGATCACTAAAAATAGCCATTTTCTCATGGAATCTTTATAACAGGAGTTTCCATTGTAAAGATACAACGGGGAAGATTTGACTGGAAAGATCTCAATTTTTAACAAGCTATGTTGATTAGACTCTTCTTCCCAAAGAAGTTTTGGAAATAAAAATCATAAACGTGGAGCTCCAGATGATGTAAGCACCAGTTTTGGATACCAATGTGCAATTTTCTTCACAAATTACAAGTCGTGCTGTTTTACCTGAGAGGGTTGGGCAAGGTTTGCTGGTGCAGTTGATTTGTCTGTTGGCTAAGCACATGCACAGTTGGCATGGGTTGTTTTGCGAAATCCATGTATCCAAGTACTGCATAACACAATGTGTTGAAGACCATTATTAGCCTCTGTGCTATTCAACAATGCACACATGACAATGGGTGAAAATTGCAAGCAGTAATAAGTTAATTACTACAAAATACAGTCAATTTCTTAATACGTCAAACGTTACTCGATGTGATCCTACACCCAACCCCATTCCAACACCTTAATTGGGCATGAAGCCATTCTGCTCTCTGTACTTTACGTTTTGTTGAGTTAAAACATTATTCTGCTCCTCCTTCATTATGATGGAGTCATTTCATTTTCTTCCTTAATTTGTTGTATAAAATATTATTACATCCTTACCTGGTGAGGTGTTCCTTGATCATCTGTGCATTCAGTGCAAGCCTCATCGGTCACACATTTTCCTTCTAATAGCAACTTCCCTTCTGGACAGAAGCAGCCCTCAGTTGGAGAATCCAGGCATTGAGTGCTGTTGGTGATGCTGTCACAATGATGAGTGCAACTTAATCTACAAGGTTCATACACCATGGAAGCAGAGCACTGCATAGCTGAAAAGAAGTAAGATTTAGGAAAGAGCTACCAATCAATAGAAAACATTAGACTCCTCAATGAAGGTTGAGATTCTGCAAGGAATTAGGTTCACAATGCTTTGAAACTCAACAGACATGCCTGGCTTCATTGGGTATGTTTCTTTAGAGCCATTTAACCCCAAGTCGATGAGGTTTAACTACTCATTTCATCAACTTCACAAAGAAAAGGGATGAGTGAGCCCATGAACAAGCATCTGATCCCAATTGTCAACTCTCTGAATCACTTGACAATTTTGCACAATATCTTAACATATTTCTTAATTAGGAAATCCAGAGGTTTGTGACAATGACTCTTGGAAAATCGCTCCAATCCAATCTATTTTCAGAACAGGGATTTCTCTGGTCAAAGTGATGTGTGTGATATCCTTCCAGATCCTGGAAAGAGATCCAACTTACATTCTCAATTAAGAAACCAATTTCTTAAGACTTTAAAATAGACCTGATGCTTCATCAGTAAGTTACTCAAGTGTCCCAGATATTGCTATGAACACATTTCGCTCCACCTCAAGAATTCAGGGACGTATTTTGAAAAAGATTCAACGCCTGCTTGTGGGATTAGGATAGGATGACTATTTCAGTTCCACCAATTAAGACTTGCGTGTGAAATTAAACTGTAGCATAGAAAGTGCAGAGAAATAAATCACTTACGACAGAAATTGTCCGTCCTCCACGTGACACAGATGCGATGAAGTTGGCACCTGAAGCTGTAAGCCGAAATGGACGCACACTCATTAGTATCACATGCATCCTGCCGACATTGGGTGAGGTATGGTTGTACATCAACTACATCATGACATGCGGCAAATGTGGATGACAGCAAAACACTGCACTTATTACTTTCTGTTTCACAAGGTCGGGGCACCACTGGTGCCTTGTCATTGCAACTGTACAACGCTGATTCTTTAAGTGTCCATTCTTGTATAAACTTTAGGGTGTCATTGGTTAGGGAGCCATCCTGCAGCTCAAAATCATTGAGCTGGTTATTGTCGCATTTTCCTGTAAGATAAAATCAATAAGCAGTTGGAAAGTTGAATTAATCTTTTATCGTGAACAAAATAAACCTACCAATGGATTGAAATGTAATATATCGCTGTTAAACAACATTATAACAGTTGAATTTCTGTGAAGTGGCTGGTGGGACAGTGTGTTGGTGTGACAAAGTGTTATATTGTGAGAAATTGAGTGTAATTACCTTACACACAAGTATCGGATCACTGCCAGTCACTAGAGGGAAGCACTGAGGTGCTTCCTCAGAGAAAGGAATAACTGATACAGGAATACACTGCTGGAGCTCTGGGACAATAATAATATACAAAAAGTAATCCTTGCATTTGATATAGCGCTTTAAAACATCTACGAGACGTCTCAAAGCGCTTCACAGGATATACTGTGAAGTGAGTTATCAAATATTTTGTGGGCAGAACAAACCAATGACAAATAGGGTCAATTTTGTAAAATTACGATAAATACAAGGTCAATTTAGCCACTTTACAAAATAACAAAGTGATTGTATGGTGTGCAATAAGAACACATCATAAAAATCCTAAAAACAGAAATAAAAATATACAGTAATTGATATTCTTGAGAAAATGTTTAGAGATTAAAAAAATGAGCGACTGTGGAGAAGGCAGACGGAGTGTTACCCTCACAATAATACATGCACTGAATGCAGAGAGATTAATGTTCAATCCTTTTCCTTTTAAAGAATAGAGGTTTAAAGTTCATGTGTCTGTGAAGGAGTTCACAGCAGGCTACCACCGTACATATTCATCATTTTATATACAAACCGGATATCTGATTTATTCAAGATATAAGTAGAACAATTTGTATACCCGTGAGAAGACTGCCAAATATACAAACCTCTTCAATTTGTCTCCTTCTGCTACTTCCTTACTATATATCTTCACTGCTGTCTGAGTTTGTCGTAAGCTTACTGACCTAAGCAACAAACTGATTGACATCAAAATAATAAAAATCATAATAATCCTTGCATTTGATATAGCGCCTTATCACGTCATCGAGACATCTCAAAACCGCTTCACAGAATATATTGTAAAGTGAATTGACTGTGTATTTTATGGGTGAATTATCTATTCATACTGCTTTTACAGATCAGGTTTTCAGACCATTCTTGACCAGATTTCCTGGCGCCTTACTTTCCTAACCTCCTTTTACTATCAGACCAAAGCGCTTCGAGACGTCTCAAAGATGTGATAAAAAAATGCAAGAATTATTATTATTATTACTGCTCGCTTCCCCCACAATTAATTGGCTCCAGCTCAATAAAGAGAAGTCGCAGCAAACTTTGTCGTTTTTGTATATGAGGAAATCACAAGGAAACTCATATCACCAAGCCAAATTACTAAGAGCCACACGTATGCATGGAAATTTCCATTTGTCTGGAACTGAGAAGGCAATCGTGAGGTAGAGGAGAGGGGATTTGGATGATTCGAGTCTCATGAAGAATATAAACACCAACATGGACTAGTTAAGCTGAATGGCCTGTTTCAATGCTGTATTGTTCTATGTAATTGTATGTAAAAAGCTTCATTAGAGTCCAATGTAATAGACTTAATTCCATCCATCAATAAAATGCCATTAAAGACTTATGGGGAAAACTGGTCCATGCATTTGAGTTTCTATCTTGCAACCTGACAACATGCCCCTTAAAACTTACATAACATTTTTCACCCGGTTTTAAAGTTATTCCATTGAAAACCTCATGGAAAGATATGCCGCACATTTTAATGCTTTGAAAGGTATGACTTGAGCACCATCTGAATGCCAGAAACGTTTCTCCCAGTCTTAGAGTTTCACTCACCACAAATGCCGGATGTTTTGGTGAAGAACAGAGTTGGAGAGACCCCAACAGCAAACAGATCATTGGTCGGGCTGAAGACCAGAATGGTGTCCAAATCTCGGATATCTGCTACAAGGTTGGTCGACCCAAATTGAACAATCAGCACATCCTCAAAATGGAAAGGAGTAGAGGCGAGCTTTCCATTGACAGAGATCTATCCAAAAAAGAACAGTGCTGGATTAAAATGTGTCTAACAAATTTAAACGGAAGCTGTTTAAGAAGCTTAATATCAGGCTGTTTTTGTAACTTCATTTTGGTCATTACTCCACTACTGTTATCTGTTCCTATTAAATGGCGCAGAAAGCAAAGCCCTGTCTACATACCGTCATATCATCATGGAGCAGGATTGTCGTGTTGTGGCGCTGCACCTCAATGGCTGTAAAGCAGTTTTCTTGCAGGTTGTGGATGCATGGCACCTTGTGAAGGACTATTTGCGTATTTTGACCTTCGACTTGCAGCAACAAGTAAGAGCAGTTCCCATTTAAAGAGAAGGCACGCCCGTCAAAAGTGGTCATCTGTTTGTTCGAGCTCCCTGTGCACGTACCTGTTATTAATAAGCAAAGGTGGGTGAGACTGGAAGAGTTCGTATTGAGATCCCTCGAATTAAAACAAAACTGCACCTTGAAAGAAAAATCCACCCGCTTAACTTGCACTAGCTTTTTTTAGGTATACTTTTCTGCTACAAGAAGTCAATTATTATTATTATTATTAATTCCACTGTGTAAAAATGTTACTCCGACTGCGTAGGTGCAAAACATTGCTACTTTGCGGATTAGGTAAATTACACAGGGAAAGCAAAATCCACAAACTCAAACCAGATATCGTACTTAGCAATGAGTAAGAATATAAACATGAGCATGGACTAGTTAGACTGAATGGCCTGCTTCTGCTCTGTGAAATTCGATGTAATTATTTGTAAAAAGCTTCATTACACTCCAACATAATGGACTTTGTGCAATAGATGTAGGATTGCACAAAGTACTTTAACCTCAGAAGGTGAACTGGCATTGCCCCAATTTGGCCTCTCCACAGTCTCTCTCATCTCCCTTCATCAGCAGAACCAATTTTAAAAATAATTCTTCGGGTACTTTGAAGTATTACTTACAAGGACAGGCCCATCTACAGCCACACGTTTCTTCAATTTTGATATTGGGAAGATTATTACTGCAGGTCGGTTTGCGAAGTTTCTCACAATTTATTCTGTGGCTCGTGGAAAGAATTTCCCCATTTGGTTTGCATGTAAGACTGTGGCATTTATCAGGTAAAAGCCATTTCTCTCCAGCCTAGAAACAATGCAAATATTTCATGATTCTCCGACAATTGTTTTCTTAGCTGTTTAGCTATCCTTGCATTTGATATAGCGCCTTATCACATCATTGAGACATCGCAAAGTGCTTTGCAGAATATACTGTAAAGTGTAGTGACTGTATATTTTGAGGGCGAAACGTGGCAGCCAATTGCGCACGGCATGGTCACCCAAACAGTTGTGGATTGAGTGACCAAATTATTGTTTCTTTCAGCCCCCAGTTTCAAGTAGAGTCATAGAAATGCAACTCACAAATTTTCTCTCTTAATTTGACAGTTCCATTGGAAATCACTCACATGTTAATAGAAACAGCAAATCTAATAATGTTATATGCAGAGGAATAAATGTACCTGTCGCCGATTTCCTTTGTCATCTATACATTCCTTAGACAGATTCTCTGCGAACGAAGAGTGTAGATTTACAATAAATTCACGGTAAAATAAATCCATGGCTTTCTTTACAATTCTTTTTATTTTGTCTGCGATCACGCATTAAGAATAATAATCTATTCAACATACCTCTGCAGATCTTTTCTACAAACTGGTTACTGATTGTGACCATTGTGAGAAGATTTTCAGTGCTGTCCAGCTGAATGATATTATTTTCATTGAGAGGCCCAGTTAAAATTCTGAGTTGTTGTTGATCATATTCCCTTCCAATTCCAATTGGAAATACTGAAACACCTAGAATAAGAGAAAAGGATCCATTGGAAATAATGTCAGTGACGTTATCTTGTGGATTCCAAGAGAGAATGCAAAGTGGCTAACATAATCCAATTAAAGTCTTAAAGTAAAAATAATCAAACAGGCCACACTATATTTTTCACGGCTGGCTTTACTGTTAACCAAGATTGAGAGTACTTCATTTTTTTTTAAAAATATACTAAATTGCTGATAATATTCGAGCGAGCAAGCTTCAGCATTTGAGAACTGATGAACTGCTTTAGTTCCTATTTTATTAAATCAAGTTTTATTAAAGTGGATTACAGAGAAATGCCAAGAAGCTAATACAAAATCAGTCAACAAGTTATTTTTTGTGGGAATAAGTCCATTATTTCACACCATATGGGTATATTTTGCAGTTTGAAAGGTTTGAATCTAAACTAACAAGAACTTTTAGGAATGCAAAGTAAAGTCAAGGTACCATTTTCAATACAAACCACACAGAGCTTTGAAACTGTCCTATACATTATGTAAACAAAAATAATGTTGGTGTATTTACAAGTTGTCCTAAATAATCTAACTTGGGTTATTGTTAGATTATTTTGGAAAAAAATCTCCCATTAGAGCTGAATGAATGAGAGTTTTTAAGATTCTAAAGGGAATGGAAACACATCTGCAGTTTGATCATAAGTGAAGCATGGACTATCGTCGAGCCACCATGTCTCCACTGTTTCAGTGAGCGAGGAGTCAATGTATGGAACAGGCTCCCTTGAGGGATAGTAGAAACAGAAAGTATTGATGATTTCAAAAGCAAATTCGTTAGATTTCTTTTAAGAAATAATATCTTGGGATACAATATATAGTTTGGGACACGACGTGTGCCAACGATTGCCAGGATGGTGGAAGGCGAACTGGAAGGACCCTGGACTTCTTTCGTCTAGCAATTCTTATGTTCTTAAGATAGTTTTAAGAGGGTCATCAAGACTGAATTGACATTTCAAAAAACGAGAAAGCTCCCAGTTGATCTGGACGGACCATAGTTGTGCATAATGAAAATGATCAGAAGTGAAGCATTGACTATCGTATTGCCGCCATGTCACCACAAGCTGACAAAGCAAACTCAATACAATAACAGACAACAGTATTTTCAAAGAAAGACGTAATATGGTGTGGTTTTGGTGTTATTGAGAACCAATGCTTTTATATCAATAGCAGAGACATACCATTTACGCTTGCTTCATCTGCTGCAGAAACAAGATCGTCTTCTGAAACATCAGTGTTCATAACTATCACGAGAGCAATCTTGGGAACACCAGGTCTGGCTCCTTGAGACTCAGTCATCATGTTCTCGAACATGAAAGAGACTGCTTTCCCTGTGGGTACAAAATAAATATGGAGGTATTATTATTTACTGTCATTTTCTTACAAGGCTAGTTGTCTGGTATTAACCACAAATGTTACATTTCAAAGATATATATTTCAATTATAAAAACAAGTTCAAATATCATTATGTGGAGTCCTGTAGCATATTGATTAGAGCATTCAACTTGCGAGCGAGAGGACCCGGGTTCGATTCCTGGGCAGGGAGAAACCTTAGGCAAGTTTCCTTACTCTACACACCTCTGTTTACCAGCAGCAAATAGGAACCCGGTTGTTAATCGATTGGCGGATCGCTTTTCCAGGGATAAAAATCCCTTAAAAAAGAATAATGATTTGTGGACACTGCCGTGCGCAATTGGCTGCCGCATTTCGCCCACAAAATATACAGTCAATTCACTTTACAGTATATTCTCAACAATGAAATAAGCCACTATATCAAATGCAAGTATTATTATTATTATTATTATTATTATTATTATTATTATTATAACAACAACCCAAATGTTTTACCTATTTGGCTAAAGCCGGGTTCCTGCTGCTGCATTTCATCTACCAGGAATAGGAGCGTATCCCCGTCTTGGTTTTCGTCAAAAGCAATTTTGACTGTGTTCGTCTTTCCGTACTGCATGACAGAAAAGTGGTTTGCATCTTTCTCTGAATAAAAAATAAAAAACATTTTTATTAAAAGCAGAATTGGACAGGTATTTGAAAAGGATAAACTTGCAGGGGTATGGGGTAAGAGTGCGAGAGTGGGACTAGTTGGTAGCTCTTTCAAAGAGCCGCCACAGACAGGATGGAACAAATGGCCTCCTTCTATGCTGTAATATTCTATGATTTTCTCAGAACAAAAATATGTAATTTTTCTTTTGATGACAGGATGATTATCCTTAATACTCCAGATAATGGCAAACAAATGGAACGTAATACTGGAGCAAAGGAATTTAAAATGTTAATGCAGAATTGCAATTTTGAGACCGAATTCACCTATAATTTCCGTTAAAAACAAGAACGGGTGTTTAATGTGGAAATTGTGAATTTTATTTCTAGGAGAACAGAGGGATGCACTGTGGCTAGCTGTATCCTATGCTAACAACAGATTAACCAATAACAGAAGAATTATGACAAGACGGTCTGTAACTTTACATGGAAGAACTTTACAATTACATTATCTACCTTCATTCATGGCGCTGACGTAACTTTCATTTACCTGTGTTGAGTTTCTGGATTAAAGCTTTTACAAATAATTTCATTTCTTCAAATTCTTCAGGTCCGACAATCCCATTAACATCCAGCAATATGGCAATATCCATTGGCCCAAGGCATGAAACTACAAGAAAAAGAACAGCATTCTGCTCATTGAACAATTTGTGCCACGTGGCAAAGATAGAACTCTGGCTATATTGACAGCCTCAATCTGTGCAAATGATGGGTGTTCATGATCTTCGATGAGCTGGCTTGCTGCTCCTCAAACTGGGAGAGAATACTTTCCCAATTTTAGTGATAAGGAGCTGCATTTAAAGATTCTAATTTAATTAGTTATTGTTATAAATATGGCACATGTCATCTATAAAATAAACAGTCACTGCACTTTACAGTAAAATCCCTTAATGACTGTCTTAATGACATAATAAGGCACTTAATGACATAATGAGGCACTGTACCAAATGCAAGATTGATTGATTGATTGATTGAGTGATTGAGTGATTGATTGATTGATTGATTGATTGATTGATTGATTGATTGATTGATTGATTATAAGTTAACCGCACACTGTGTGCTCCCTTTAAATTCCAAATTTTTGGAAAATAAATAATGTTTATTAAAAAAAAATGTTAAGTAGTGTCGTGGGGGTGTCTTACCTGAAGGGGGTGCTGGTGTTCTCACTGAGGCTGGAGTGGTAGCAACAGTAACGAGTTGAGTACTTGGTTGACAGCAGACCTTAAATGCCACATCACTCATATTAACAATATCAGTGTAGTTCGTTTGTATCGGTGGACCAAAGTCACCGAATGGATCAATGTCTTGCAACGTAACATCATTCCCAACGATTATTGGTATTAATTCCACATTCTTCTCTTTTAGGGCAGTGGCGGATTGCCTGATGTTGTCTGTTGGTGGGTTGCTAGTTATCATAAACACTAAGTTAGGAGTTTCCTCCCTGTCACTGTTCTGCATCGTGAAAGTGCTTTCAATGACGTGCATCAAGGCATTGCCCGTGTTTGTTTGCTCTCCTCCGCGGAATTTCATCTGCTTAATTCTTTCTAACACTTCTGTGTAATCCTGTGTGCTTGTGAAGGTTAGTTCTTCATTGACAGCATCTGAATACTGGATAACAGATACTTGTGTTCCAGGCTTACTGACTTGGAACTTTTCAACAGTTTTCATAATAAATTCTTTGGATCTGTTGAAGTTGCTTTCTCCCACCTTGTCTGAACCTTCCAGTAGGAACACAACATCAAGTACAGCTGTAGAAGGGGAGGAGGTCACTGTTTGGGTAGTGGTTGAGTAGGAGGTAGTTGGCCTTATGGTTGGGGTTGGGGCTCCACGACTGCACATGTAGTCGAAAATTGCATCTCTTTGTTCTTCAAGCTCTTCAACATCATTCAAAGTAAATGATTTGCCTCCCGGTGATTTTTTTGTTAGCATATTTATTTCCTTTTGATTTACTCCTGGCCCAATGCCTATCGATATGACAGTGACCTTTTTCTTAATGATGAATTTCAAGGCACCTTTAATGTCTTTGGATGAGGTGCTCCCTGTCAGGAGAATAGCTATTCTGGGGACATCTTTCCTAGCGTCACGTCCAAACACAAGAATCGATGCATGTTTCAAAGCTTCGTACAGGTTTGCTCTGGAAAACCCAATATACGGCAGCGTTTCCACTATCTTCCTCAGTTGTCTTACGTTTTTCTTTTCCCACAAGTCAAAGTACTTTTGAATGTTCACGTGAAACTGTAAAACGGCCACCCGTATGTTGGATTGTCCGATCTGCATCTGTTTCATCATTTCCAGCACAAATCTTTTCACAACTTCAAACTGTTGCCTTGAGAATGACGTACTGCCATCGATGAGGAAGGCCAGTTCCATGACTTTGTGGCAGCCTTCATCAGGTGGCAGCTCTATCAGTGGAAGATCATTTGTTTCTGGTACGGGAATTTCCACTGCAGGGCAATCTTCACAATGCAAGGAAGTCCCATTACATAAGCTGAAGGAACGGGTAAAAAAAAACGAGAGTCAAATTTTTGCAGTATTTCTTATTGAGATCAAGAAGGTTATGGGTATGGCTTTGAAGCATACTTTAGAAAGACGGATCATATCTTTTGAAAAACAATTTATCTTCACATTTCACACAAAATATCTGAAGAAAATGTGTTTCAGAATAATGCAAACCTTCTCCAACATGTTGCGGCAATTGTCCAAATAATAACTTACAGCAAATATCCCAATAATGACTGACAGATAATCAGAAAAAACACAGGAATGTAAGGTTTTACAAACTCAAATTATGAAACCCATATGAATGTATATGTGGCAGTCTAGTATATTAGGGATATTAAGGAAAATTATAGATACCATATCTGGCATCTGCCTGTTCCTTTGTTCACAACAGTTGTTTGTCCACTTGGAATACGTTTATCTTCCAGGATACAGACTGGACAGTGTTCAGGGCTGATGCATGTCTGTGAATCCTCATCCAGTATAGTTCCTATAACCACAAAATAACAACACATTCCATTTCGATAGTGCCTTTCACGTCGGGAGGACATTAATGGTAGAATGATACTAGTTGATATTCCACTGCTATGCTTTAAGCGTGGAGATCTTTACGAGTGAAACGTCTAACCTGAAGGACAATATGCATGGCATCCCTCCACACATGTCAAAGGGCATTCAGTTTGTTCAGGATGCTGGCAGGACACAGGGCAGGCAGGTGCACAAGCATTGTATCTCCACTCACACACGTAATCCAACCGTTTACTGTTCAACTCTTCACAGCTTATTGCTGATGGGTCAAAAAAGGAAAAAAACGTCAGTTTTTCTTTCCAGTCAGTCAATGTCTGAAACCCTTCACTGTGCTTAAGATTATTCAAACCAGACTGAGAGTTCCAGACACCAATGGAAATGTCCTTGTGACTGGAATGGAATGTACACTCTCTCCTTAGAGGATCCTACTTGACTTAACTAATTTCAGAAAATATTAGTCCCAGGTTGGCAAGAGCCAAAACTTGGGAACAATCATTGTAAATACAAAACATGGTATGATAATGAGCATTGAATGCAACCAAGCGATTGAAATCATTTTAATTCTATATCACAACTGAACTGCTCTGAGAATCTGCATCCCCAATTAATCCATTTACACTTCTGTTACAAAGTTTTATTTTATTTTTACAAAGTTTTGTTATCTAAGGACGATAACAGATGAAATCCCACAAACCTATTTCTTTGAACGCTTTTTCAATCCATTCTTTATCTTTTTTATCAGGGTAATATAACATGAAATAGTAAATTAAGAAACATTTTAATTTTCTGGGATATCCTGGCCTAAGCACAAACCTTTGGTTGAGTTACTTACGGCACAAGTTAGCTGTCCTCCAGTGGACAACTACACCATGCTGTGCGCATTCGTGTGCATAACCTGAAATAGCATTGCAAAGACAGAGACATTCTCCAGTGGCATCACATGAGCAGGTATCATACATACAAATCTCCCAATAGGGCTGAGGGTTGACCTAAAAGAAAAAAAACATCCAGTTGCAGATTGGATTGGCACATTATAGAAGCAGGTGTTCAATGTTAACTGTTTAACTGTAGATCACAAACCCACACAATTCTGTTTTGCCCACTAATATAATAATAATAATAATAATATAATAATATAATAAATATATTAATCAATATTCAATATCATTTTTCAGAGTATTCTGTGAAGCACTTTGAGATGTCTTGAAGACATGATAAGGCATCATACCAAATGCAATAATTATCACTATTATTATTATTATTACCAACTTCACTTTTTATTCATATTGACAGCACAGAACCTTGAAAAATTTAGGAAACCACTGCAGTGGTGAAAAACAGTAAGAGGATCCCTTGTCACTGATGAACTCAGCGTTCGAGGTGGCAATGGAATCAGATTGAGACCAATCACTTGTATTTATATCTCTTTGGTCTCCATTGAATATATAAATATATAACAGGAGGTGAAATTGCTTACGTCTCCTTCTGAGAAGGATAGTGACAAGGCCCTGAACGTAACAGGCTCAATCAGTCAATAAAAGTCTGGGAAAGGAATCTTACCAAGGTTGCACATTCAGCGAATAGGGCACTTTTGATGATGTTGCAAGAGCTTTCCACCAATGCCTGTTTCAAACTGTTATCACTGCACAAGGATGGAGTCTGAGAAATGGAATGAAATTGGAACAAATCAATCATTTCAATAGAATAGCTGCCCTTTTAGTAAAAGATCGTTACCTCACAGCATAATGATAGAAGGAAAGATTACCTGCAAAGCATTCGCACACATATAGTTCACTGTCCACGAATTCCCAAAGTCAATTGACTCAATCTCAAGCTGATTGCCACTGCCCACCAAGTCATTGTTTTCATTTCCATCAAAATTTCCACACAGTCCACAGACTTTGTCCTGTTTGTGTTTTATTTGGCATGGTGGGGATTGAAAAGATAGAAATATATAATATACCCAACATCAATTTGTTTTAAGCATAAATAGCTTTACTGTACGCAACATACTTTTCTGTAATTATCCTATCATGAAACATTTCTCTCAGTTACGTATTGTGGTACTTAACAACAACAACTTGCATTTATATAGCACCCTTCACACAGCACGGTGACCCAAAGCTCTTAACAGTGGCGGAGCCTGAAGCTGGGCCAGAGGGAGGGAGGATGTGACTGTAAGCATATCAACATTAAATGTCAACTCAATTCATTCATTAATGTTTAGGGATCTAAACACAAAGCAAGTAAATCGAATTATCTGGGATCAGGACTTAGAAAATTGTGATTTTCTCGCAAGAATGCTAAATTCTATCAAAAATGTTTCAGAAACTAAATAAATAGCAGTGGACTAAACTTCACGATTGAGTAAAAGTGCATCTTTCAGTGACGTAATACAATGATGGCTCTTTTTACTCTCTTATTCCAAAAAATCATTTGAGGTATTGGGCAGCAAATAATGTGCATTTGTTACAGATTATTTTAAGATATATAGTGTAAGCCTCATGTACTACATAGACAGCAGTTGTACCTCTGAAATGTGGCACTAATAACATCACTAATAATGTAAAATGAAATAAACTTAGACAATAATAAATCTCATTAGAGGTACAGTGTATCAGATGAACATTGTTCTTGCAGTGTGCATAAACAGAAAGCACCATTTAGGAATTTATTTAACAAGGAAGAATCATGTCAAATCACATAAAAGTCTTCTCACTTTGTATTGGCCATTAATCTGAACGGAAACTCGAGTTCCCATATCCCACAAAATAGAGATCTTCTTATCCAATACAACAAGGTAGTAAAGTCCGGACCTCAATATCTGAACATCTTTGTCATTTGGCACAGATTTTTTGACGTTCACCTAAGTCAAGGAAACACATCAATTATAAGACAGCTTTGATGTAGTTTTAATATTTGGAAATGTCATAGCATAAATTGACCTTGAACAAACACTTCAATAATAATAACAATAATAATCCTTGCATTTGATATAACACCTTATCACATTGTTGAGACGTCTCAAAGCGCTTCACAGAATATATTGTAAAGTGGATTGACAGTGCTTTCTTTGGGCAAAACGTGGCAGTCAATCGCACACCGCTGATATAGAATCGATGTAGAAGGATAATGCTGAAGTAAAATAGTAGGTAACAAAGAGATAGAGTTATATATGAGACGGCACATACTTCTCTTCCGTACAGTTCCAGTTCTCCTCCCTCATATAAGACAGTAATGATTTTGGAGCACTCTTCTCCAGGCAAGCCACAACCAGTGTGCTCAACAAGTATGCGAAAGGTTCCTGCATTGTCACCACAAATGTCCTAGAAGTAAAAACAATGTAAGTAGAAGACTAATGAATTTGGCAACTAAGCTTTGTGTTATCGCACCCTGCTGTCAAAAGAGAAATAACTTCATAAATTAATAGGTTGGTTTGATCCTTGCTCGGTCATAATCCTTGGAAAAGGAGATTAAGAAATGTGCCATTTCTCGGTGATGGACCTGATCGATGTTTGTTATCCTTTCCTTGCTCGGTTGAATACGTTAATGAGAAGAAGGGATGTACCATCAGATTGTTCCTGTCTCGGTCGAGAAGTAGAACAGAAAATACCATTGGTGAGGTTCACAGATATAATAGAGATGTAATAAAGCACTTCACTGCACTAGACTTATTAATCAGGGTTCTGGATGATTATACCCTCGCTAAAGACCTTGTATTAGGTAAATGAGATATTGAAGGACACAGGAGGGATCAAGTGGGTTGACATATAGTCTTCAGTCTAACCAGTGTTCAAATGCAGATTTGTGTGTGAAATTACCCACTGACAAGTGCTACAGCATTGCCTGTGATGTCTTTTGGCCGTTAGTTACATAATTAGGTGGGGGGTGGGGGGGTGCTGCATGCATTTAGACATGGTTAGGCCATGAAGCATTCGTCCAATTCACAGTTTAGGCCCCCAATCTGTGAAAGCTCCCTTACCTGAACGAGGACATACTGACATTTGCCTGGGAAGGTATATTTCATTCCATCGAATGTTATGTAGTGCGCCTCACCAATTGCAGTGCAGGTGCCATCACAGTCATTGTGAGTGCAGGTCCACTTACGATTGTGACACTCACTGAAAAAGCAGAGGAGATAAAACGTTCCTAACTTCACTGTTCAAACTCCGATTTCACTGCTCAATGTCACCAGTTCAGTCAATAATCAGGTCCCAGCAATAATCTTGGATAAAAGGTTTGTCAGTAAATACCACTGAAGGATAAATTCTCTTTGTGTTAATCCCAAACCAACCCTGCACAAACTTTAATCAAAATTTTAATTTGAACAAAACACGATCACTTTATATAGATACTTGTTATGTTATGGAATTGTAAATGTTTTGAAGAGACATGGAATTGTAAATGTTTGATATGTAGACCGGCAGATAACTGAAGCAGCAAAGTGTTCTATAACAGCTCAGTCAGTCAAGTACAGTATTCGGGACCTAAACGATTTCACTTAAAATTCTGGTCTCGCCCTTCATGAAAAAAAGGAATAATTTTATCAAAGCAATCAATCATTTGAGAATTTCCAATCAGATACAATTTTGCCATATATTTGAAATGAGCCACTATTCGACTGTTCTCTTTATTTACCAGAATTTCTTTGGGCTAAGAACTCTTCTCAGCTAATGCAGCAGATAACTCTATAAACATAATTAACTTTTCCTAAGTAATATATCAAAGCACTGACATTATCCTACAATCTGACATTAATGGACAGCATCCTTCAGCTGTGTTTATTTTTATTTTATTCATACAGATAAAGTATGTGGCTTAATTCACTGCCAAGTCTGAGTTCATAAGTTGGATTTATTCAAATTACTGAAATGAAGCCAGTTTTCTGGGAACGGAATTGCTGTAACAATAGTGAACAATTAACAGGAAGCAGCAAAGCAAACTTTATTAAATGTCTTCAAGCCTCGCCTCACTGATTCCAAAACTTGATAAACAAGGCAGCACAAGATGAGAGACATAGTTTTCCTATCACCATTATTCATTTTAATTCAATGTTATAGTTATCGGTATTTCACCTTTCTCTTGGTTAGGATAGAAATAATAAAACGTCCCCACTGCATGAAATCCTCTTGTCTCAACAGCTATTAGAATCACAAATGTTTTCTCGTTTAAAAGCCCACACTAATAGATGCAAAATTTGTAACCTAAATAGTAACATTAATAATCCTTGCATTTGATCACATCGTATCACATCGTTGAGACGTCTCAAAGCGCTTCACAGAATATATGTTTAGCATCGCTGCTGTGTGATACCAAAGTGGATTATAAATATCCTGTGGATCAAATAAATATTTAAAAAGTAAATTGTTAGTCATAAACTGATTTTGCTGTCTCATTTATAATCTGTATTCGCCACCAAATGCACAATGGTTTTCCACTGAATGACATTGAGCTTCATTGTTTTGAGAGATGTATATTTTACGTGATGGAGCACAGGAGGGTGGCAGTTACTATGAATTAGTGCTAAATTAATTTAGCAGTGTTAAAGACCACGCGCTAATGATTGGACCCTCATCTCCAGGGCAGGACTTTTACCCACCTATTGCTCTCGTAATCAGGGAGAAGATTTTATAATAATAATAATAATCCTTGCATTAAATATAGCATCTTATCACATCTTGGTTAAAAGCCTCAGGTTGTGGTCCAGTAGTTATCAGGTAGCCTAGGATTTGCATTGATTTCATTGATTAATTTAGTAAGATGTAATATACAGAGATAACCAAACAAATAAGTAAAAGGTGCATCACAGACTGAAAACGAATGGAAACTCTCCTCAACAGGCTTCTCTCTGCTCGTTCATTATTGCTAGAAATTATACCTTGTGAAAATGCACTGGAGTGTGGTACAAGAAAATAAACTACCTCATGCATATTATTATTATTATTATTATTATAAGCTATCGCTTATCATCAGTTATTGAGTCTGATGTCCAATTCAGTATTTTCCAGTAAACCATTGCTCTTAACTGTGTAATACTTACCTGTGACTTTTTTTTCACATGTAATTGCAATCAATTGAATATTAGTCAAATTCCAAATGGATCTGGATGAACAATCATGAATAAAATGTACTCACCAAGTGTTACAATCCTTTTTCACAGTTTCCCCAGGACGGTATTCTTTGCCATTGTGTAAACATGGACACATATATGGAACAATACAAATGTCCGCATATAGTACCTAAAAGACAGAACCTATATAAGATCCAAGTGCAAACATATCTGTTCTGTATTCAGCAGCTTGAAACATATATTCAATGTGTTTTTACCTGCCCAGGAGGACAAACACAACCTGACATGCATTTTGAGGTTACGCACTCAAAGTCATAATTCTGACATGTTTTTATGCATTCTTTCCCCTTTGCTGTAGGGTCATCTTTTGGACAAGTGAATGTTCTCAGTGGTGGAGTGCAACGTATGTCTCGCTTATCTGCAAGAAGCACATGGTGGGTTCAAGTAAATCAAGTTTCAATTTAATATATTCGTATTTAAAACACAAAGCTTTGACATATATTGGTTGTTCCAAAGTGGACTATTTAATAATGTACACATTAGACCCACAGTGGTTTGTTTTGTATATTGCTTCTGCTATCTACCAACAGCTAGCTTTATTTTCCTATATATTGTTGCTTATTCTTTTCCCTGATCTCAAGTTAAACTCCCACTATATACAGTTCAACGGAAGTGTCTAAGATTTAGTTGATAAAACTGTGGTACCACGTAGCATTAAAATTGTATGCACTTGGTAGATTCAGAATTGTTAGCCAGTCTATCAGACCGTGAGCACAATGCTGACAATGTTTTACTTTAAATGTCTCTGTTATGTTGTGTTTCAATGGTTCTGAAGCCTCTGTCAGCTTCAATGAATTAAAACTCTACTCAGTTACCAGGGATAGAACGCTGGCAGATTACTATTCGATCACAAGTGTGATTAATGCATTCACTCAGTTATAAACATGTAATGATGTCTCTAATATCTACTTTCCTCTTTTCTACTACTGTGATACTAAATAATGTGAAAAGCTAACAGTGGATTAGTTTCACTGCATGCTTGAAACTGGGACTTTTATTTGGCAATTTACGATGTTGTGCATCTAGCATAATGTTAGTTGTCCCTTTGCACACACTCTTGTTCCCATTTCCAGCTTTGAAATAAGACTGACTAAGCTGAAGGAACATTGTAACATTGGATCAAGTAGCAATGCATTCACCATTACCAATGTTTATACAATAACAACAACAACTCGGTCCCGGGATTCATTACTGTAAAGCGCTCTGAGATGCCGTCCGGCGTGGAGGGCGCTATATAAATCCAAGTTGTTGTTGTTGTACAATAACATTAATAGATTAATATTTCACCATATGAGGCAGGGTCTCGCAGAGGGGATAGGGGTCATCACCCACTGATGTGACTGTCTTTAACCCAGTTTTAAAATACAAGCTTCGACCAGTGTAAGCGCACACTGTTAAATTGACTGTTATGAAATCCCCTTCTCACCTCTCTCGAACGACTCATCCAGGAACACACTTGGTGGATAGGCATGGGAAAATTCACTGGTACTGCAATGCATCTTGCCATTCTCACAGTAACTATAAAACATTCAAAGCCAAGTCATTTCATATTATTGCTAGGTTCTTACCTCTCTTTTCTCATCCTGTTTGTCTCCGTAAAGCTAGTTCTTCCCTATTCTCCTAAGGCCACTTATCTTTCTGTCTTTTGCAGCAATGTTTCACAAGCACACTCTTCAGTACCTCACCAAATAATTTTAGTGACTGGTGAATTGATGCATTTAATAATTTTTATGATAATAATTCTCATGTTTCTCACATTATTAATGTGACATTGTGGTAGATTTTCTCTAAACAAAATATGTGGTAATTTGGATTTTTCATTAGGTGACAAAGCTGTGATTGAACCATATTTAACCATATCACTGATCTTCTGTAACGTTTATCTATTTAAACTGTGTGGCACAGCACAAGCACTCATTTAATTAACAAAATTCTGCAGATATTTCCAACACAAGTCATTTGAATTTGCATTCCAATACAAGTAATTGTGGGTAACTCCATTGACTGAATGTTTTTGAATTGTTACACACGAGGTCACAAATTAACAATGATGTCAGCATCACATCCCATCATATTAATACTTACAGAATTCTAGACAAAGTGCCAGTTGCTCGACAGAATTGTATATTTACATTCTTTGTACTGAGCCATTCAATTCATAGCTTACCATATACTATACTGCAAAGAAATTTCCTCATGGGGATTGTAAATGTCACCGTCAAAATAGCAGGAGCATTCTGTTTTCTGTACACAATGCCCGTCTTCATTGAGATATTGATTAGGGGGGCAGTAACAACCTTCCAAGCAAAATTCAGTGCAGTCGGTTTCCGGGTAAGAGAGTGACCGACAGGTCTGATTACAAGGGCTCCCACATTGCTGATAGATCTGGCCTTCAGGACAGGTCATTTCTGTTAGAATACAATAAAGTTATCAAATAGACTGTTTAAGGTAACAACAAATTACAGTTGTATTGCGCTCTTCACGTTGGGACCACATCCCAAAGCGCTGATTTGATATCAAATATCTATTTCGTCCACAAAAAATACAGTTAATTCACTTTACAGTATCTTCTGTGAAGCGCTTTGAGACGTGTCGAAGACGTGATAAGGCGCTGTATCAAATGCAGGGATTAATATTATTATTATTTATTATTGTTATCGGCTGTATAAACGTGTAGAATGAAACAAATTCACTAACCACAGAAGTCTGGTGTCCTCCAGTTAATCAGTACACCTCTCCTGGCACATATTGCTGCGTATGTGGAAACAGCAGAGCACAGACAGTCTTTGCCATTGGAGCAAGCACAAACATCATAGTGGCAGTTCTTCAAGAACGGGGCAGGGTTTACTTCATGATGGCACGGTTCAAACTCAGTTAACAGCAGAACTGAGCACACGTCTTCAGCATATCTCACTGAAACACAAGGTAACGTGGGATGAAATATGCTTTTCAACTCCCTTAAGCATAGTCTAAAAACAATTCCAAACACTTTAAATATCCACACAAAGGACAGGGGGAAGGAATTGATGATCATACCGAAACCTTGGGCAAGTTTCCTTACTCCACACGCCTAATAATCCCTCCAAAACTAAAAACAATAATTAAATTGGTCATTTTCAATTTTCAATGTTTGTGGGACATTGCTGTGCGCAATTGGCTGCCGCGTTCGCCCACAAATATACAGTCAATTCACTTTACAGTGTGTTCTGTGAAGCGCTTTGGGACGTCCTCCCGACGTGAAAAGCGCTATATCAAATGCAAGGATTATTATTATTATTATTATTATTATTATCTTATATGAAACAATAGAGTCTAAAACAAACCGATTCCCAGTATTTCTGTCGGTTGACATAATGTATTCGTTCCCATGATGGTGCACATGCAGACATCGAACACTCGCTCAAGGTGAGAAACTTAGGCTAAGAGACCCTTCGGATTGCTATTCATAGTTTAAACTGAGAGTGAGAAATAGGTATACAATCTGCCTCCTCATTTGAGATCATACATGGTGCAAGGAAGTAGAAGAGTTAAAAGTTTTTTAACGAAAGAGGAAGGCTCCTTCTGAAAACGTAACTGGCAGCAAAGTCAATTTCCAAAGCCAGCTTCCTGATTGCTGATTTTATTTTCCTTCTCTGTCAAGTTTCCATTTGATAGAAAGGATGCCAAGCCTTGTAACTAGAATATTAAATAATTTTATATTGTAGCAGAGATTAAGACTGACTGTTGCTACTGATTCTCATTATCCAGTGAAGTTATACATCGCCTCACACACAAGCATCTCCCAGATGCGCTACATTGCGATAAAACATCACAATATACATAAGTTTCTTGTACAAGGAACGCACATGAAATTGGTATAATCTTACTGCTCGGGAGAACACAAACCCAGAAGGCATGTTTTTTCATTCTACCATAATTATGTTTTTGCCTCAGTGGGGAATGATTGTTATTCACTAAAATGTTTATTTTTACCATTTTAACACTGATTTTAATATAAAAACATAGCAGGGGAACTGAATTTATTCTTTGAATTTCACCCACACTGAGGCAAATTGACCTTCGTTTTTATTCCCCAGTGAGAAGCAAAGGTGAACGGTTTAGTAAACAGATTATCCTGATTGTGAGTTGCTTTTGTAGTTATAACTAAAATGATTTTATTGGGGCAATAAGGGGTAATGCAGATCAGCAAGAATAACTTTCTATACCATGTGGAAATGCTTTAACCTGGTTGTTATTATATCCTTTTTCTTGTTTAATCTAAACATGTGGCTCAGTTGGTAGCACTCTCGACTCTGGGTCAGAAGGTTGTGGGTTCAAGCCCCACGCCAGAACTTTAAGATCATACTCTTGGGTAAAACTATATTGCTATCTTGAGGGAACGTTGAACGTCTGAAATGCTGTCCTTCAAATGAGATGTTAAATCAAGCTCCATCTGCCCATTCATGTGGATGATGAAGATACCATGATACTATTTAAAAAGAGACAGGAGCTTCTCCTCGTGACTCCCAAATAAATTGGTGGTTCACTTCATGGCTGTGCATAAATTGGCTGCCACATATACAGGCAATACACTTTACAGCAATTACCCACAAAGGTTTTGAGTGGTTTTGCCATTATAGGATTATTATACAGTAAATCCAGGGTTTCTAAGGATTTACTGGAAGCGGATTACCTCTTTTAGGGTTTAATTTGCAGGGGTCGCCTTGTGTATGTTTCAGATCAGCACAGTCACCATTGGTCTTCCACGAGTTCCCGAAATTCACCACCTCCGATTCAACAAGTCCTGATGGTGTGAGGAAGTCATCTCCTTGATTGCCATTGTAATTTCCACATAAACCACAGGTTGAGCCAGTGTATGTTGGACTGAGCTAAAGAAATAATTCAGAGATAACATTTTGCGCCGGTGAAGTACTTCAATCATCAGAAAAGTACGATCAATTCAAACCAGCAAATCTAGTAAATCTATTGAATCATAACTGTCAGGGGTGAGGGGTACCTTGAAGTAAACTTTTCCTTGTCCATCCCAGTCAAACTGAAAATCTTCGTTGTAGGTCACCCGGATGGTGGAAAGCATAGTATGCTGAATACGAAGGCCACCTGCAAGAACGTTTTACCAATTAGAATAAATGTTTAGATTAACATCAGGCACTTTCTTTGTTTGCATTTATTCTCCCTAATTTTCTTCACTCCTTTCCTAAATGCACTGACTCTTCAGTTCCATGGTCAGCAGTTGCCATCCAATAAATCAAGGATAGGGTGTTGCAAATAAGGCTTGTTAGGACTGGGAGTAGGAGGTAAATATATTTATTTTTAGATGAGGACGGAGGCAGTGGTGCCCACCAAGACTCAATGAAAAGATTATTGTTTTTCTCCATTTATATAAATAATCTGGATTTGGATATAAGGAGAACCATATTAAAATTGACACATGATACCAAGATATGACTTGTGGCTAATTCTGAAGTGAACCTCACTAGGGGACATAAACAGACTGGGCAGATAGTTGGCAGATGAAAAATTATTTAGAAAAGTGTGAGGTTATATATTTTAGGAGAACAAATAAGGAGAGGGTATGGTACACTTTTAAAATGAGTGGAATGGCAAAGACAACAAGGGGTTAACATACATAACAACAACAACAACATCTTTAAATAAATCTTTAAATGCAAGTTGATAAAGCTATATAAAAAAGGTAATGGAAAATACTAGTTATAATAAATAGGGACATAGAATATAAGAGCAAAAGTGTAAGCTAAACCTGTACATATGATTGGGTAGATTAGACCATAGTTATGGTATCATGTCCAATTTTGTCAAGGCCAGAGAGAGAGAGAGAGTGCGGAGGAGATTCACTGGGATGATAACAGGTTTAATTTGAGGTTGTATTCATGAGAACTGGGGATAATAACTACATACCTTGAATTAGAGGTGTCTGTATGTCCATGCCATTAACTGAAACTCTCCCTCCATGTTTAAGTTTAACTGTCAAGTTGCCCAGCTCTTGGAATACCAATGTGGTTGATCTTATGCAAACTGCTTCGGGATCATCTGCACACTGGAAGCGATTTTGAAACATTATTCTATCTCTAATCACAGGCATGGGATTAAAATACAAAAACAATTATTTTAAAAAATACTATTTTCTGTACCTGGATTTTTTCTATATATGCAGCGAAAGTGTTGTCCTCACAGTCCTTTGCCATTAAGTACTGACACATCCCACTGAAGGTGAAGTATTTGTCGTCGAAACTCTTAAAATGTGATTGTCCAATAGCAAAACATTCACCTGAACATGAAAGAAATAGAAATCACGTGATCACAAGATTGGTCTGGATGAAGAAAGCCCTTCAGCTCATCTGATCTCATCTCTACTGAATAATACCAATACCCTACTGTCTCCCCCATAATTGCATCAAGCATTTTTTTTTAAATGAGTCTAGTGTCCTGGCACCAATCACCTTTCCTAGCAACGTATTCCAGTCATTGATTACTCTCGGTAAAGAAAAACTTTCTTGCATCTGCACTGAAATTGCTCTTCACAGCTCCAAATCAAGGTCCTCTTTTTCTACTGCCTTGATACATTCCAAAGTATTGATCTGTGTACACTTTATCAATCCCATTTAATTATACAATTTATTTACAAGTTTGATTGCTCTGCTCTGTTCTACTGATCATTAAGCATTTGACACGAGTTGGATGTATATGGTTTAAAAAAAATGACTGTGTATTGTAAGATGATCACTCTGATTAAGGAATTGGTATTGCTTTTAGCATGTAATAAAATACAGACCTGGGCAGTTCTCATTGGTACATTCCCATTTTGCATTGCTGCAAATGCTGTTAAAATAAAAGCAACAAAACAACTCGTCTTTATCCACAAATCAATTAACATTGCTGAAAAATTCATCAAAAGTTCAACTACTGCTTAATATCTTATTTAGAGCATAAAACGCTAAACCTACACGCTTCAGTAGATTAACACTGAACACTCTTAAAAATTGGTTTAAGTTCTTAAAGCCTAAGTACCCAACGGCAAATGAGCATTTGATCACCCTTCTTGCTTGGAGCAGGTCAGAGGAGTATTGTGGTCAGAGTCAAAGTTCAGTGAAGACTGGCACTGAGTTCAAAACACTGGATATATCCTATCTGGATCATTTCTAGATACCTTGCTTTGGTTACAATACTAACCACGTGTGGCAATCCTGGGAGATACTTGAACCTGGAGGATATTGTCGTCCCATGTGCATGCAGGAACACTCGGACAACTCTACACAAGCGTCCCCGTCCAGTACTTTCCCATCTGAAAGTCAAACGTTGTATCAGAATCCTTGCAGTATCCCATCACTCAAAGCAGAGCTGCAAACGAATAAAAGCTGCTCACCTGTGCACATGCAACCATCCTTGCATGGCGCCTCACACACTTCGTTGATATTCAAACTCCTGCAGGTCCTTGCGCAGGTTGGCACGCACTCAACATACTCCATGCCGGCAGGACATCTGTAGCCTTGTTAAAATAAAGAATGGATTTGCTTCAGACAGCTCGGTAACGCAGTTAGAGATATAGAGAGTGATATGGCATGGAAACAGGCTACCCTGTCGAACTAGTCTACGTTGGTGTTTATACTTCACGTAACCTCCAGTTCCCTTTATCTTGCCCCTTTATTCCTTTCTACCTCCTGTACGCATCACGTTTTCTCTTAAATACAACAATTCTTTTTGCTTCAACCACAGTTTCGAGCAGTGATGCATTTGCAGGTACCAGTGATGCGTTCTTTTTAAACAGATGTTAAAACGTTTAAGTTCTCTGATGCTACTTGCACAAACTAGTGACCGTTACGTAATGTACTAACGTCAACGAGATTTCCTTACAAACCTGTAGAGATTATGAAAAGCTGTTTCATGTTACATGGCAGTACATATGTTTTTATTTGTAAATTATTTTAGCATTCCAGCACAGCTCACAGAATTACAAAATTAATCTGGACGAAGAAGGCTTTTTGGCTTATCCAATCTCATCTGCACAGAACACCCACCCCACCATACCTACCGCAACCATACAATACAAAATTATATCTGTATCGCGTCTTTCACATCGGGAGGACGTCCGAAGGCGCTGGACAGTTAGGGATTTGGACCCAAGCTGGTGATCGGGATCGGGGAAGGTGGAGGGGAGGGAGGGTAGGTAAGTAGCTGAGGGCTCGGTCGAAGAGGAGTGTTTTGCGGGAGGCAAAGGAGGGAGCTATCTTAATTCTTCTGCGTATTGTTTTACTTACTGCATCCAGTTTCTGCAGACCAGTCATGGAGAATTAAACCAGTGTGAGCGCAAGATCTCGCATATTCCAGAAACACGTGGCAGTGACAGTTCTCTCCTTCACAGTGGCACACTTCATCCTCACAAGTGGCAATGAAGGTCTCAGGATTTATTTGCTGCTTACATTTCCCAAATACGTGGCTTGTACTGAGCATACTGCACTTTCCCAGCAAGTCCTACATTCAAATAAAACTTGATCACATAACACAGCATTGCTTTATCTTCTCTCTTACTCTCTCTCTCTCTCTCTCTCTCTCTGTCTCTCTCCAAATGTAAATTCTTGTGATTGATTCACATAAAAAGAACAGCATAGCCATTGCATTCAATAAGATCAGCGTAACATAAATTAAATGTATTTTTTCAATACTGTTTCCTAGTTCAGGGTGGTCCAACTTTTGGCACCGGCCAATTTTATCCAACCTCCCCCAGCCTCCCATTCCATTTCATCTGTCTCACCCGCTCCCTCCATAACCCATAAACGTTGTGTTGTGTTTCTAGAAAGAAAACACAAAAATATTGCTTATGCGGCCCGCAGAACTTTCTCAAATAGGGCATCTGGCCCTCAGCAGCCGAAAGGTTGCACCACCATCTATTGGTGTGTGCTTACCTGCTCCAGTGCTTCAGAGGACATATTGCATGTCTTACTGGGAGGAGATACTCTGGTGCAGAGTTCCTCTGCTCCGTGCATCGCCCAAGAGTTGGCAAAGTCATAACTGCTGTCAACCTGGAAACCTGTGAAAAGAAAAGCCAATGGTTATCATTTTAACCGCCAGAATTTCTTAAAACAATATTTCACATCCTGGTCGAGTTCTCGCTTTCTACAACTCATTGTCGACAAGACTGAAGCTCGACGGCTTTGCTTTTCATCACAGTCTTCTCACCTCAGGCACTGACTGGATCAATCTGCCCTTTATAACCCTCCCTCCCCCCCGGCTTGGCATCATCACAAACAAGTGGCCCCAACTAGAAAGCGAATGTAAGTTGAATGTTGGGAGAGAAAGTGATAGCTTTGGCTACGATGTTCTCCACAGTGAAATAATCTACTGACAACCAGTGTCTGGGCTCACACGTGAAAGGAATGGTGACTTGGGCAAAATACAGGGAGGCAGTTCCCGAAACTGTAGCCGATTAAGAATCCAGTCAGTCTGGAAAACAGGACCACAAAAGGGAAAACTGAATATTTGAAACAATTGTTGCAATGGCAGAATTGTTATTTTAGGTGTAGACATCCTGTTTTGCAATAAAAGAGAAGTGTTAGCCCTGATATACTGATAGTGTGGAGCATGCTGACAGTTCATATCCTTGAGCCCATTGCCTTACGAAAAAAAAGGCTTGAAACTTAAGAGAACAGAGCTTTAGGGATCTTTGGTGCTTTCCAGTGCAATGTGTCTTGAATTCCCTCCAGAGTGGTTTCTCGTTTTAGCTTTAGTCCTTTTTTGTCATAGTCACCATCTGACAAACAATAGGGTTGACTTTGTGTTCCATCCCGAAATCCCACTGACTCCCTGCCTCCCTCCCTCCCCACTTCAAAGCCAGCCTCAAGACGTTCAAAGCTTCTTTGACCGTGCTGTCGGTCATCTTTCCCCTCCCCACTCTCTTAAGCTCCCACCACCAGCGATCGGATGCCCAATCAGCAACATAAAGCACTTTAATGCATCCTTCTGATGTCAAAGGCACTATGCAAACATAAATTGTATTGTGCTGTATTGATTTCTAAATGGATGCTGTAACTAAACTGTCCGTGACCAACTTGCACGCGTAAAGTGCCATGTAGATCTGGTTTTGGAGTGAGGTACCTTCAGGTTCAAATAGGTAGCAAATGCTTTGAGATGCTGCCCCACGTGAAGGCTGTTATGTGAATATAAGTTGTTTTTCTTGCTGCTGTTAATGTACATTGACCCAAGGTAAACCACTCCCCGAACACATTGTGTTATAGCAGTCATCCAACAAGTGGTTATGGATTCCCAGATTCCTTAATTAAAAAATCCAGTGAAAAATCATTGCAAAATATCAACAGATACCCTGGTGTGATGTTAAGCCATTGGTTTTGTGGTCTGTGAGATTGCCTGAGTTCATCCATAAGATTACTACTTTGTAATCTTTCCCAGCTTTCAATAACATCTGTTTATTACCAGTTTTCTTTCTGTATAACTTATAATGCAGCTACCATCCACAGTTGGTTGATAGCTTTGTAGCCTACCTTTGATAACATATCATTTGATCTCCTGCACCCACATCCATCAAATAAACAAGTTAATAAAACACACTGCTGATATAAAGAAGTTATTCTCCTATGAAAAATCTAATTTATTTTCTGACTATTATTTCAATTATTTCTCCATTCCTGACAAAGTACATTAATAATTCTGGCCTTACCTTCTTGACTCATGTAGTCATCTTGAGGAAAATTGTTATAATTGCCACAGAGTCCACACGTCTTTCCGAAATACTTTTTGGACAAGTTAATGATCACGTTTCCAGTGGTGTCGATCTTGGCTGTGAATCCATATTCATCACTTGATATGAGGTAGTGACCTGCTTCAGTTCCTATGAAGACTCCGTGGGATGCAAAAGGCAGCAAAATCCTAGCAGGGGTCAAAGAAGGCAAAAACAAGGTTTAGATGCACAAATGTTGAAGTAGTAACTTTTAATGTTCATTGTGCTGCAACTAACTTTCACACTGCTGTGTGCAATTGGTCCCGTGTTTCACCCATGTTTTGCCCCGCTGGGAATCAAACCCAGACCTCTCGCTTGCGAGGCGAGTCTCTAACCACTAAACTACAAGATTCCAGGATGAAGTGCGTGGAGAATGGAATATTTGAAATTTAGAACAGCAAGTTCCGAATACTGTGGAGAATGTCAAAGACTAGTTGATATCAAGCTTTCTCTTCCCTTCTGATCAGAAGCTCCAGAGATACAGAGAAGTCTCTCAGAGGTATACAAGTCTTGGACCAAGTTGTTTAGGATCTATTAAAGCTGCAAAGTAGCAATAAATTGCATATGATGCAGTTAAAGTGGAGATTACCTTTTATTTCCCACTGATAGTTCTCCATTTAAAGTCAGATGAGCGTCAAAGTATTCTCCCAAATACAAAGAGATGCCTTTTCGTTTTCCACCCTGATAGTTACCTAGAAGTCAAAAGAGTGTGATTTAGCAAATCCTTTGAAGCAAAAAGGTGCATTAGCTCTCCTCATTGAAATGGGCATACCCTATTTTGTGGGATCGGGTTGAATTTATTGCAAATTTAACTGATATTAAACTCATGTTTGCAAGGAAGCAGTGACGGTGTATTCTATGTACCTAAAAGAGAGAATGAGCGTTTGTTGCAATCGCTGGCCAGCTTATAACTGCAGTCTCCTGGAAACTCATAAATTTTCCCATCGAAGGTCTGGATCCAATGTTCCCCAAAAAAGCTGCACCGAGCCATTTCCGTCAGTTTTCCTTTCCCCTCCAAAAGCAATGATCTCCTTTGTCCTGCTCAGCAAAAAAAAAAGAAAGAGCATTAATGGCATAACAGGAAGGTCGCTCACAAAATTTACAGTCAATTCACATCGCAGTATATTCTATAAAGTGCTTTCAGACATCTCGAAGATGCCATAAGGCGCTAGAACAAATGCAAGAATTATTATTATTTTTCAGTTACAACTGACTTGGTTACATTAACTACTGCTTACATTACAAGTACAGTAACACCTGTACAACAACAAGCACTTATATAGCACCCTCCACGCAGGGTCTCAGAGAGCTTAACAGTGGCGGAGCCTGACTCCGAACCAGGGGTTGGGGGGGAGGAGGTGGCCGTAAGCACAGTTGAAAAGGAAGATTTTCAGGCTGGACTTAAAAGAAGGGAGAGAGGGGGCAAAGCGAAGGGATTGAGGGAGAGTGTTCCAGAGTTTTGGGGCACAGTGGCTGAAAGCGCAACCTCCGATGGTGGGGCAGAGAGTGCGAGGGACGAGCAGAAGGCCGGTACCAGTCAAGCGGAGGCTACGGGTGGTGGATTGGGGAGTGAGGAAGTCGGAGAGATAGGGAGGTAAGTGAAGGGATTTGAACATACTAAAACTACGTTGCTAGATTACTTACTAAATAAAACCAGTTCTAAGATCAAAGTAACATAATTACACAAAGCACCAATGCAAGTGAAATGAAATGAACTAATGTATCTTTAAGAAGAAGGCATCCTTTGAAGGATTTAGTTGGCTGGAATTACTATATTAGCTAAGTAGATCATATTTAACTTGCATTTTCTAAAGGTCATTAATCGGTAGCTGGTTACTGTGCTTAAAATCAAACTGTAACGTAATCCTAAATACAAACCGAGACATCCCTAGGGGGAAACGTACCTTGAGACAGAGGCAACAAAACCCACATGAGAAGGAGCAGAGGATGATTATTCACCATCTATAAACATGCACACATCAAAAGAAAAGACAATAAGATGGCATGGTCCACAAGTCTTAAACTAAAACTGCTCCACATCTACACATATTTCTGCATAGACAAAAACACTTTTCAGTTTGCCCACAATCCCTTTTAACAACATCCACTGTGTTAATTTATATATTGTCGGAATAGCAACCTTGTAAGCTTGGTAAAAGCTTCCACCGAATGACTATTTGAACTTGGTGCAGGACTAAGTGAGAAGAAGTGGTTACCTTGCCCTCTGCTTGGCACAGTGGTGTGGAGTGAGGCAAGATCTGGGAAAGAAATTATGGTAAGTTCAACACGACGTTAAATCAATATATTTTGAACATCAACAGGAGTGACCCAAAGCAGAAGTGTTAAGTGCCTTTGCTGCAAAATGGTACAATTTATACAGGACAGGAACTGTTTAAATAATCAACACTGAGGAGGAAAGAATGTTGTATCCGTTCTGTTAAAAGTTGTGCCAATTATTTTGGCTCTGGTAGAAACCGTACTGTTTTGTTGACCATACAGAAACAATGGGAGGAAACGAGTTAGTGCCCACTGACAGATCCTCATATCGCCTCCAACCTCCGCAATGGGAATAGTTTAAGGCATATCACCTTTCAAATGATTCCTATGAGCTTAACGTTTGCTTTTTATTATTAATTACCTCCTACGTGATTGTGAGAGTTTTTTCATTGCTTGTTTATTGGAGCTCAGTACAGCACTTGCATTTCACAGACATTGGTGAGTTTGTAACATATAAGGAAACCATCTTCACATATTATGGGGTTGATATACAGCCGGATACATTCAGAAACTCCCAATTTTAGACAAAGTGACCATTATGTGGAATATCACATGATATATCACACCCTGTTTGGCAGGTTTGTTATGGATATTTCTGTTCCATTTCTATTCTTTCTGACTTCATTTTGTGCTAGCTTCCAGACACCGAAATCACTTCTGAACCACATTTCAGAATGACAAGGAACAGGATTCATCTCGAGGTAAGTAAATGCACACTTGTTACATATAAAAGTTTGTGATGGGAAGAAGTTTCTCGAAATAGCAATATGTATGAATATGCATATAATTTGGTCACTTAATCCACGACTGTTTGTGGGACAGAGCTCTGGTCTACTGCAGACTTGCCTGGCTCAGACCTGGCGTGTGCAGTAACTACTGGACCACTGACCCCACCAAGATTTAATAAATTGGTGGAACAGCCTCGATGGACTGAATGGTCTCTTCCTGTTCCTGGTTTTCTATCTTCCTAAATCCTCATCGTCAAATCCCGAGATTGCAATCTTCTCCAGAATTACATTGCAACCTGTACTCTTCCAGTGTTGTTTTTTTGTTATTTTTGTTAGGTAAGGGTGTCAAGGGAAAGAGGGTAAAGGCAGGTAATTGGAGTTGAGGTACAAATCAGCCATGAGCTAATAGAATATTGGAACAGGCTTGTGGGGCTGAATGGTGTACCCCTGTTCCTATGTTCCAGCTCTGATCTATTACTTGCTCCTCATTAACTTTGTCAACTGTTTTGAGATGTTCCTGGATGTGAGAGGCATTACATAAGTGCCAGTTATTTCTGTTTTGGAACAATTGGTTGTTGAATTTGGCAGTTTCAATGTGATTGGTAGTGTTGTAGCTCAGTGGTTACAGCACTCTCCTGGTAAGCGAGTGACCTGGGTTCAATTCCTGGCAGGGCGAAACCTTGGACAAGTTTCCTTACTTCACACGCCTGATAATAATCCCTCAAGAAAAAACTAAAATAATAAATTGTTCACTTCAATCCATGACTGTTTGTGGGACGCTGCTGTGCACAATTGGCTGCTCGGTTTAGCCCAGAAATATCCAGTCAATTCACTTTACAGTCTATTCTGTGAAGCGCTGTGTGTCGTCTGAACGATGTGAAAAAGCGCTCTATCAAATGCTGGGATTATTAGTAGCAGTAGCAGTTGTAGTACTACAGCTGTAAAGTAGAATCCCGTGCTGTTTCAGTAGCACATAGTTGGAAGAGCTTTAACATAGAGATGTATTTAGGATTCTGTGCTACTAATAATAATACATTTGCTACAAGGCAATAGCCCAGCTCAGTCGATATCACTCTCACCTCTTAGTCCGAAATTCTTGGTTCATGCCCCATGTCAAGACTTTGAGGTCATAGTCTGAGCCTTCACATCAGTGCAGTGATGAAGGGGCTTTGTACTGTCAGAGGTGCCATCCTTTGGATGAGATGTTAAACTGAGGATGTGTCCGCTTGTACAGGAGGATGTTAATGGTCCCATGGCACTATTCAAAAATAGAACAGTTTCTTCTCAAGATAAATAGGTCATTCACTTCATGGCTGTTTATGGGGCATTGCTGTGTGCAAATTGATTGCTATGTTTGCCTACAAATACACAGTCACTACACTTCATAGAAACTTTGTGAAGAGACATCACAAATGTGAAGAGACATTGTGAAGAGGAGTCCTGTAGCTCAGTGGTTAGAGCACTCGCCTTGCAAGCGAGACACGCCTAATAATAATCCCTCCAAAAAAACAAAACAATAATAAATTGGTCATTCTCAATCCATGACTGTTGTGGGACATTGCTGTGCGCAATTGGCTGCCGCGTTTCGCCCACAAATATACAGTCAATTCACTTTACAGCATACTCTGTGAAGCGCTTTGAGACATCTTGAAGACGTGAAAAGCGCTCTATCAAGGATTATTATTTATTATTATTTATCACAGGCAATATATCAAATGCAACGATTGTTATAATTGTAATTGTATTATAGAGCAACAATTACATTACGTACATTGGAATAAAAATGTCATGAAATAAATGTAAACAAGCATTGATTGCAGTAAGTTTCTAACGAGTTGAACATCTTTCTCATTGTTTAATGTGGCATTTACACTTCCAGCACTATAAACACAGAATTAGTGTGCTAAAGCGCTTTGGGACGTCCTCCCGACGTGAAAAGCGCTATATCAAATGCAAGGATTATTATTATTATTATTATTAAAGGTCAATTGCAGTAAGTTGCCAACAGATGGCAGTACTTTAATTGAAATGTAAGCAGTGTGGTCAAAGGTTGACTTATCTCATGCAAATATTATCATCTCTCATAGAGTTGTTGTGCTGAACAGCACATCATTACAATAATTACTCTAGCTGCATGTTTGGGCTTTAGCTTCAAGTGAAGTCCTATAAGTTAGTGGTTAGAGCACTCACCTCGCACGCAAGCAACTATACCCCTCACCTCTGAAACTCCCTCCCTCTATCCCTCCACATCGTCCCCTCTCTATCTGCCTTTAAATCCCGTCCAAAAAAGCTACTTGCGCTCAGCTCCCCCCTTAATCTCCCCTCTCCCGTGTCCAAGCCTCTCTTTGTGAAATTCATTTTGCAGTATATTCTGTGAAGAGCTTTGAGACGTCTCGCAGGCATGATAAGGTGCTATATCAAATGCAAGGATTATTATTATTATAATAATAACAGCAAGCTGTTGTTTTCCAGAACTGTAGGTCCAAGAGAGTGAGGAGCACTCATTTCATGCAGCACTTCCCTTCACGTTACATCAAGATGACAAATGCTATCTACAATACTCTGAGGATGTTACTGAGGACGTTCACTAATGAGCTGGAGGGACAGTACTACACAAAATATTTCTGACCACAGATCAATAGAACACATGATGGAAAAACACTGTGTACAGATAGCTTTATTTAATACAATTTGGATCGTGAATTAAATCAACAGAATACTTTTACCCTTTATGGAATACTCATGTGAATGTAGTTATGATTAACTACTGGAATGTTAAAATTCTGGCCTGTGTACAGCAAAAAGGGTGTTATTTGTGATTTAGAAGATTCTGTATTTTGTACTTTCGTTATAGGATTTATAATTTCATTTCTGTGAAGAATTCTAAATCCAATTGAAGATCTTGCTTTATATATATATAATTATATGATTTGTTTTTTTTTACTTCTTTTCCCGTTTGCTGTAGCTAAAGTAGTCATCTACAATTATTCTCATAAGTCCAGCTGCCATTACTAGTGTTTTTCCTAATACCTATACTTCTTATGTAGACTAAGAATAAATCATTGGTCACATCTCTGGTTATTAGACGCTCTTAACTTTTAAACTACGTTTAGATATTAAGGAAAATGCAATATGTTCCTACAACATATAAAATGTAATCTCTTCCTAACTCATGAAAATTGCTGTTTCTCCAGAGCCAACCGTCAATACTGTCCTTTCTGCCTCCCACTGTAAACAATTGGTTTGAGAATCTATCAGCAGAGGTTTCTGAAATTGGCTTTCAAACCGCATTTATTAAATATTACATTCCTCCACAATACTTCCTTCTAAATTAATATTCCTTAATGCTTTTTTTGGCTCTACATCAGGTTTCAAATTGCTTCAGTACCTTGGGATGTCTTCCCGACATGACATGAAAGGCACTATACAAATGTAATTTGCTGTTGTTAACAGCTCTAACCTAATTCCTATTTGACTTTGAGGCTAGGCTTCCTCCTTACATTCTTAATTCCTCCAGATAAAGAAACATTCACTGGACCTTGAATGTTCCTGGACCAGCATTTTCTGTTTTCATTGTTGAGACTTCACTGTTCCAGTTGGAACATTTTACTTTCTGACATCCTTAACTTGATCCGTCAGGTATCTTTGTTGTTCCCAGTGCTTCACCTGATGTCTGAGTCCATGATCCCTTTGGGACAGATGGTTCCATTCCAAAAGAGGGTCTCATATGCCCATGAAAAAATAAAAAAAAGATTAATTTTCTACAGGTTTGATTGTTTCTGACTGCACTTGTAATAGGTTAAGTGATGGATAGAATTCTGAACTAAAAGTGATTAGTATCAGTTAATTTGAAGATTACCCAAATGTGGCCCAGTTCAAGTATTTACAAATTACACAGCTTTACATTAGATTACCATTCTAGTGAAAGGAAAATATGCGGTTTCATACTCTCTGTACGGATACACTTGCTTGAGTGTGTTTGAGAGAGAGATCTCATTCAGTCAAGTTGCGAGCAGGGATGCATTATCTGGTTTCATACTGGTGTTTGTCTGTATCAAGTAATAATTATAATAGTAATGAGACGCTTTGAGATGTCTCAAAGACTTGATAAGATGCTATAGCAAATGAGGGTTTATTAATGGGGCTGGGATGGTACATATGACCATTGAGCTTGGGCAGACATTAGATAGATGCAATTGAATACCTTTTACCAACTACACATGAATAATGTGATAAATAGACC